ATTGTAAGTGTTTGTTCATAGTCCAGTTGTAGGAAACTAGGAATTGTGCAGAGCCAAGATTCCTACCAACATGAGGTTTTACTTGTGAACAAGTGGTTGGCTTCAAGTGTTTACTTGACAGATTTGCTGTGGGAACACTAAGCAGTTGCTTGCTTGCTCAGAACACACGCCTGACCCCCTGGTTGCTTATAGGGATGTGTAATACTGTGATCCATACTCCATCCCTGAATCTCCATGTTTCTTCACACTCTTGCACGGCTTCGACTCCACCACCTGGGCGCCATCTTATCACACTAGTGTAGAGGGCGGAGTGTCTGCCAAAACCTACTCCTTGGCTTCTCCCATTCGTCCCACTGCCTCACAGTAGCTGACCTTTGACTGAAGAGAACAGACTCAGTATATAGCAACCTTGTCCAGATATTTCAGGTGTGTCCTTGTATATGTACTAGAGCTCCCGATTATGTGTATCAAAATACACCTACCTGGATAGCTCATGAAGGTGACATGTCCCCAGGACACTGAGTGACTACGAGCTGCTGCAATAAGTGCTCCCTGTGAAGCTACTGTAATGATATCCTCGTGACTTTACACGATATCGTGAACCTGCAGCGAGAACCCCCTCGCCACGTATATCCAGTGGGACGGCATGGGTACAGACAGTAGAGCCGGTCCACTCTGTCTTGGCCTAGTATTCGAAGGAGACGCCAGACTGGCCATATCTGAGACAAGCAAATAAGATATTTCCATTAATGCGCCAGTCACACGGGGGTGGGTTCAGTGGAAGAGGAGAGCCTAAGCGGAGATAAAGGTAAGACGGAAGGTTTGAAGTACGAAGGAGTAACTCTTTCGCCAGCGTATGGTCCTGGCCACCTCAGCTCGAGACCAGTTCAGATCAGCGAGTACGGTCGGACGCCGAGAGCGGCCTGAGAGGCAAGAACATAGCCTCGAGTACTAGTAAGTTAACTTACGACGCTTGCTTTGCAGAGTTCGAAGCAGGCTTCATTCGCCTTCTCGACAAGCTTACCCATGGCTCAAATACAAGTCAATGAAACAGGTATCCTCACACTGTCCTTGTCTCAAAAAAAAAAACAGAATTACTTTGGTGCAGAGTTACTTGTCTGACTGTTGTGCTGCAGGTACTACCTGTTACAGACCAGGTCTTGCTGGTGGGTGGGACGCTGGGAACATGATGTCTCGCAGCGGTCCATCGGCTATTCCTAGAACCCTCGTTCTCCTGGCCCCCTTCGCTAAGAAACCAATCAAAGTCCCCTCGCGGAACACAACAGCTCTAATGACCCTTCAGTAAGTTTTTTTGGAGAGTTTAGAATGATGTAGACCTCTCTAGTGTGCATGTACATCTTGAATGTAGGTGGGACTAGTATCGAGTGTGTGTTGTCCCCTTTGAAAAGCGCTTTTTCTGACAACAACCTTCATCTAAAGGTTAGTTTGAGCACACTACAGAACAGCAACTTTTCAGCATACTAGAGGCATAAAACACGAACGTAATTTAGTTTGTGCGGAGAAGTGGCCTTTAGTTTCTCTTTTGTAACTAATTCTGGGTAAACAGTATTTTTGCTTGTTCCACTGAATTATGAAGCAGTTTGATAATTATTATAAATCTTCACTGATGTTTGTATGTGTCAAAGATACTGACTTGCGGTGTGTCGCCTGACCGAAGGGTCAGGAGGATGATACTGTGATCAGAATGAGTGAAAACTAGTCTTGTATGACGACGGTTCTGAGTGTAGGAGTGATCGTACGACCCCCTGTATATTACGATATGCAGATGCACAGTGGCTATATTCGCGTCCCAACGACCGAGCATCCAGACGGCCTTTGCTTGCCGTCCTTTTTACACCTGTCCTACTCACCACTCACTTCTGCTAACTAACTTCCCTCCTCCTCACTTAACGCTCAGTCTGGTGTTCAGTACAAGTGCTTGAAGGTATACAGATCAGAGTGTAATGTGCCCTAGGGAGGTGAATTTTGTTGGTTTTTATCTGTACACTATCCAGGGATTCCCTATGTTCACTTTAGCTGCAAACTCAACAAGTAATATAATGAGTGTTACAGTTAGTGCCGTGCAACGGCGTCCGTTATACTGTATAATAATACCTGTATGTTTGGATATCGTTGTTGTTGTACAACTATGCAGCTCTGCCTATACTTTCATGTCAAACTTTTTGGCAACTGGGGTGAGTCCCAGCTGGGAGACAGTCAGTGTCTAAGTTAGTTTGTGGTATGTCTATGTGTAATGGTGATTGATATTAGGAATCCCCTTTTCCTTATGATTGGGAGACCCTCTTATTAAATTCCCCACCATTGTGTATGAATCCTTGACCGGAGTGTTGTCCAGTACTGTTCTCGAGTGAGTCCGTCTTGTGCCAACAGAATGGTGGACTCTGCCCGCTCCATCCTCAACAGCTATCTTCCCGATGTCTACATATACACGGACGTAGCTCGGGGAGTGAGGAAAGACAGGTAGATCGTATATAACACTACACAAATTAAATACATATCGATGTGGCTATCAAGTAAGGTTTTGCACATTTAGACAACTAGAATGTGAATGCAGAATTTCCTACACAGGACACTAGTCATAATCACATGGCCTTTGGCAGCATGTGATGCTAGCTTCCAGGAAGTTGAAATTTGATCTGTTTCCTGTTACACTGTGGTTAGCTCCAGGTAAGATCTACTTCCTGCTCAGTTGCATCAGCTTAGTCTTTAGGTATAATAATTATAGCTCAAGGAAGCGTCTAAGTTCAGTGTATTTTATACCATATTAATCTTGCACTAATGGCTATATTTAGTCATTACCTCATTGTTTTACAGGCAGCTAGACTGGGATTGATAGAAGTTTAGTCTAGTCACATGTCTTGATATGTGATGAATATCCATCAATTACCTTATAATTTACTTGCAGCCAGACAGTCTGTATTGACACTAGTCTAGTCTAGAGAGTCAGCCCACACACACACTCTTGCATGATTTCATATCCTTCTTGTAGTAGTATATAGTCACATGGCCTTCCAGCATGTAATGCACCTAGCCCTGGAATCTCATATTGCAGTAATGGAATATGAATAGAGAACATAGTATTACCACAGTCCATAAACAGGATACACACATGCAAGGATGTGCTTTTCCCATTGCTTGACCTCAAATCAAGAGTTTTTGCTGAGAAGGCTCATGATTTCATATCCTTTCAACAGTTCCGTTTTCTCAGCTCACTGTCTAGCTCACATGTATATACAGCGTAGTCTATATACTTACATAGATGTTAATGTGCCACTGTAGGAGTCCAGGCTATAATATGGACTTACTCTGTCTTCCACTGTAGGAGTCCAGGCTATGGACTGACTTTAGTGTCAGAGACCACCGCAGGAGTGCTGCACCTCTGCAGAGACTCTTCTCAAACCAGCCCCTTGCTCAGGGGTTCAGAGGGGTCAAGAGAGCCACACCCACCCAGTCTCCCCGAAGACATTGGGAGACAAACACGCTCTCCTCTTAATACAGGAAATTGTGAATGTAAATATTTACTACATTGACATAATGTAGGACCAAATGTGGCTACTTGCTGTTAGGGGTGTCAAACAATCTAATACCTATGTAATTTTGTCTCATATTTTTGTGGGCAAAGTGTAAAGCAACCTACACTGCGAAATCTTATTTTGCTGCCAAATTATGAAGAGAGACGTGTTACCCACTGTGTACTGGTGTTGCTCCCCACTGTCTGGTGCAGATCACGACAGATTTATCCTTCTGAGGTTTCCCATCTTCGGATCTCACCCCACTCTGGACATCATACAGGGAGGCTAGTTGTGACTCAGGATCTCAGGTGATGGCTCTGCGTGTTCATGCTCTTGGCCAGAGAGATGTCCTCCAAAGTTCAGCTGGGAGAGCTCACCCCTTACACGTATGTGTGTGTGGACGAAATAGGATTCAGCTACAGTGGAACCCCTCTAATCCGAACACTAGTACAGAAGAAGTGTCCATATTTGTGGGGTGTTCTACCTTGAGTGCACACAAGAACTGTCCATGGGGAATGAAAATATGTCCTTATTAGGCAGATGTTCTTGTACATCAGAGGTGCCAGAGAGGGGTTCAACTTGTGTCTTACCATAATATTTGAGTACTCTTAACATATTACACAGCATTGAATGCCACTCTGCCTATTGTTAATCCCCCTTCTGAGAATGCAGCATACTAGGACAACCCCTACTCACCAATAGCCAAGGATTCTAAGGTGTGAACTTACCATATAGGTGACACCATCAACAGTACCATATCCAATGTATATAGCAGGAAGTCTTTGTCAGTGGTAATGTTTATGTCATGCATATTAGTGTAGTAAGTGTGTGTTGGCTGTCTATTATGCATGCGTAAACAAGGGAAGGTCTAGTTTACGAGGCTATAAGGTTACATGACGTAACTGTATTACTCCAGGATGCAGTTTCTACGTCACATGAGGGACTTCTTCAATCTGATGTATAAGATAGTGGCGAAAGAAGAGGAGATGAGCCAGACAGAGGGTGATGGGAGAGAGGAGGAGGAGGAGGAGAAGGATGATAGAGATGATGAGTACATTGTTAGACAGCTAGTCACCTTGTCTTGTGTTGGTGTAGGGTTTTCCCAATGTCAGTAAGGGATTATGTGACGTATTATGTGTATTCACCGCAAACTACATGTATAACACTCGATCGGCGCCGCGTCACGGGGCGTCGACGTCCTTTAATTAATTATACACGCGACCGATTCCAGAATATTCCGCCGACTCGGCATCGGCATGCGCAGGGGATTCCCTCAGAACATCACACGACTTGAAAAGTCCGTGGAGATGGAGGTCCTTTACAGAATTGTTCGGAGTTTTCGGAAAACAAGTCTGCGCTAGTGAACTGTCCGAAAACTTGCACAAGTATAACGGAGAAGTGTACGGATTGCCGGCAGCGGAGCAAGCCCTACACCGCCCTCGTATGCAGAGACATCGTACTACAACAAGACGAAAGTTTGAGCCGCCCGATCTGCCTCCTCCGTTTCAGTGGTGAACATGAAATCTGTACCATTGTGTCTGATGCTGGTTCTTGCGGAGTCTGCCCTCTCAGAAGTTACGCGGAAACATCCAGCACGTTATACGGTGAGTTTTACCGTCACTACACCGCGCGCGGGACCCGTCGGCTGAGTGTGCGGCGTGACGCACGTTTCTGTTAGCTAGCACTTGTTGACCACGAGCTAGGTCCCGCCATCCACGGTGTCCCCACCACTGCACGAACCAACCCCGCCCTTCCTTTATCGTAGCGTGCATGTTGTGTGTTATGTTGTACGATCGAGTAGGCTACAACGACGAGCAAAACACATCATTCTGTTGGTATTTTCCATACTCCAGGTACACTGCACGTGGTGAATGACAACACAACCACTTCCCAACTCTACAATTACACTGGTGTAACTGGAAACCGCACTACCTCTCCACTGTCCGAACCCTTTCCCCAAGACTGCACCACGTGTCTCCCAGGATATCCAACCGAACACTGCGACTATGAAAAAGGCTACTGCGTCAAGCTGTCAGACGGCAAATATGCGATAGTTGGTATAAATGGATCCTTCCTGTACAACAGTCCACAGCAACTGAACACTCCTTGTACCCCACTGTACCTCCATAGGCTGGAAGACGAATCGTACGCAATCATCTGTCTCGAATCTTCCTTTGACATCCTGCGCTTCAAAGATGACGGTAACCCCGAACTCGATGGCCTTTTAAGTTACGTTGGAGCAGGTGGAATCCTTGTAGAAGTTGTTGGCAATAATCGACAAGCTAACCTATATCAGGTGGGACTAGAACCTGGCTACATTGCAACACGTGAGGTTAAACAGGACTTAGATGGTTGGATTTTTATCCCCGAGAGCTGCGTAGCAGACTCGGTCTCGTTTCGCCCAACTTTCTCTCTGACAGGACTCTTCTTTCTTCAGTGCACAACAAACAGCAACGACCAAGCTTATTTCTCGTGCTCGGTGACAAGCCACAATTTCCAGAGGCTTGATCTGTGTGCCAACCCTCTCCCTTCTCCCCCTGATTCTACTGGTGGCGATACGTTTACCACAGCATGTGGTGACATCCTCACAGTCTACAACACTATCGACGTTTCTCAAAACCGCTCTCTATCGTTTGACGGCAGTATTGCCTCGGAGTCCACTTTGGATAGAAACACCCGGCTAATCCACGCAGGGAATTCGCAACATCTAGTTAGTTTGGATATGTTGTTGAAGGACAACGGCTCAAGTGCGGCAGTGACGTTAGAAAGCACTCCCAACTGCTCGATTAGTAAGCTCATAGCTCCAGACGTATATGCCACGGCCTGCCAGAGCAACTCATTCTATGTCATAAGATTGGACAATGTATCCAGTGGGCAACATTTAGGATCGATGCAGGGTCTAACAGAAGAGTCACGTGACATTTTGTTTGAGGCACAGGAAGCACCAACTTCCCCTCCACCAGAAATCGCCGTAACAACTCGCTACACCTCTCCCACCCCAACCACCACTTCGACTGTTGCAACCGATATCGATACTACCTCCACCACCACGGAACAGAAATCATCACCAACCAACCCACCAAACCACTAGAAGGAAAACTTCCGTGTCAACTGAAGCGTACGCTATTGCAGCGGTGGTGGTAGTGATAGCAGTTACAGTCATCATAGTAGTATTGGTTTTTATCTTCAAGTGCCGGGCAAATAAGAGGTCGCAGTTTTCTACCTTTGCATTACGATGCAGGAGAAGGCATCCAACCGAGGAAGCAAATATAGAAAACTCAAGCAGAATCATCGCAGTTCGTAACCCCACTGACCCACAATCGAGCTTAGCCTCGTCACAGTCGAGTAGCGCAAGTTCAGTAACGACTGTTGCGATACCAGAGAGTGGTTCACAGTCACGGACATGGACATAACAGACTGCTGTATATACCTGCATGCATGTATGTGTGGTTTATGAGTGTGTTAGGACTAGCACACTGCCACAATGTTGTGTATATTTTTTTTATGTACCTGCATGTATGTGTGGTTTATGAGTGTGTTAGGACTAGCACACTGCCACAATGTGTGCATACTTTTTGCCTGTTTGTCATTCACCTTTATCATTTCCTGGCCCTGTCATCTCATTGTCATACTTCATGGCTGTAACATGCCCTAAATGTCACATGGTATGCTCATGTATAATAGCTTATGGCCCTGTGTATGACCTAACGTTTATTTCAGTCCATGGCCAATGTATGACTGGTAATGTGTATGTTATTTCACCTCTTACTAACTTCTTCACGTGTTATCAACATTCTGAAAAACGATTTGCCACTTATCCAGTCTCTATAAACCCAGACCTCATTCGCAAAAGAGGAAAAGAGTCTGGTGACAATTGAGCCTCCTCAGTGTCACTTGCGACTACACATGCTATGCACAGAGCTTCAGACTGTGGTCACGTGTGCTTATAATCTTGTGATATTTGAGGATTTACCAAGAGAACTAAGACTGCACAACAACAAATTTCACCAGACCTTTTGGAGGTGGGGTCTGGGTATGGGAGTGCACCTTGTTGACAGAAGACACACAAGACAAAATATGTCCATGGCAGGAAATAGGAAGGACTCAATGGGATACATTTGCTTATTCATTACCAAGAGGGCCTAACGAAAATAGCACAGGTATATACATAGTGGTGGTTAAATTGATGATACAGCACACATGAACTCATCCAAACAGATCATCAATACTGACATTAGCATCACGTGTATGTAGAGCTGTTTCATTGGTCATCAACAAACCTCCTGATATTTCCCTCTCACTGTGAATGAGTCTAGAATCTTCATCCCTGCCTAGGTCTTCCCCATACTTTAGAGTACTCCTGTAATACTCTGCAGACGATTGTTCTTGGGGCTCTAGAAACAAATCTGAAATATCTGGATGCCCCACCATCGGAGGAATGTCAGGGTTTCTATCGCATGTGGCCCTACTGTGAGGTGGTGTGACTATTCCAGGAATCGATGATAATCCTCTGGCAACATCTGAGCTTCCTACACTCAGTAATTTCCTAGAGGGATCGATAGTATGTGGAGGTGAGTGTGTGTGGTCGTTAGCAGAGTCTATGACAGGGGGTGGGGATGGGCTTGAGGGAGGGGAGATGTAGGCTGGTCCGAGACACTCTTTCGTGCGTTTCTTCCTGACCGGTTTACTTGAACTCCTTGACTTTGTAGGCTTTTGTCTGGGGCTGTTTCTCTGAGTCTTGCTAGGGGCACCCTTTTTCTTTCTACCAGCAGGTCTTTTGGGTGGGGGAGACGCGTTTAGATTGTCTTCACTGTTGTGTTCTGGAGGCCTTTGGTGGCTGCAGTGACAGAATTGTCAGTCAACTGTAGTTGTAACAAATTTTTATAAATTCCACTATATAGATCCTGATATGCAGGAGACAGTAAGACAGTATCTACACCTGATAGACCCTGATATGCTACATGCCTAAGTGCAGTTAGTAAGACAGCATCCTGCTTATACCTCCCATGATGGTTAGGTCTCGCAGGAGGGGGTGGTGTGCAAATGTTGTCACTTTCGTCACTGAAATCCTATGGGTGAGGGATTGGGTTTATATGGGGTGGTATTCGTGTCAGTATTCAAACGTCGATTTTGCCGAGGCGCGGCAAAATTAAACTGCCGCGGCAATTGCCCCGGCAAAACCTGGGCCGAAAAATCCGGGACATGTGCCGCGGCAAGAATAACTAGCTGGGCCATGTTCAATCGTGTCAGTATTCTTGTCGTTGCCGGGCCTTTTGCCGCGGCAAAAGTGCTCTTGCCTCGGCAAATTGCCATTTGCCGCGGCAATTGCCCAGGCAAGAGCACTTTTGCCGCGGCAAATGTCCCGGATTTTTCGGCCCAGGTTTTGCGGGGGCAATTGCCGCGGCAGTTTAATTTTTCCGCGGCAAAACGGAAATGCCTCGGCAAAATCGACGTTTGAATACTGACACGAATACCACCCCATAGGTTTATGGTCAGCAGGAAGTCGCACTTCTAAACACCCACCACCGCATGCCACCAGGTGGGTGGAGAACGGAGAACTTTATATTCATGGCTTATATAGGGGGATTTACCAGGGAAATACCCCGGAAATAACTGACATATCACAGGAGTTGAATTATAGTGACAAAGATTCGTACCATCGGCGAAGGATTTCAGGCCATCCGAATCCGTGCAGCATGCAGACAACCTGACAGATCTTTTCTCATGGTGTGCATTTATTAGACCTCCGCACTTTCGCTCCCTCTGCACTTTGACCCGTGCGCTTTAATTAGGATTAATAATGACGGCGGCATCATGAGCAGCAAGCAGAACAAGAAAAGTAGCCAGTGGACGTCAGGGTCGAATCGCAACTTCAAGTTGGTCCACCAGAGCTTGACCATCAGTGAAATTAACTTCAAGAAGCAAACAATCATTGTAAATGAACACAAGGCACACCTCTACACACAAAAATGACACACAAGGTGATGATTTTGGGGGTTTTCTGTGTCTCTTTAGGGCTCCACGGAGCTGACTGTACTGCCTTTTACTAACACTGGAAAGCTTTGGAGACTTCCACTGAATTGTAAACAGTGCCGTATCCCACCCCTATATGTATAGTATATACACACTAACACACACAGTGGGGGTAAGTATCCCGCAGTGTGTCTTGGTGATAGGAATTCGGGATAGCCTTGACGAGATTCCCAGGAATCCTGAGAGTTACAGTGAATGGCTCACACAAGGCCAACAACTCATATGTGGACCCAACCCTCTCCATCTGTCCTCCAGAGACCAAGAAGTAGGTTATAAGGTCAACAGGTCAATCATATTCATCATCCATATATAGTCACACTATGACCATACCTAGTCATTGGAACACTCCATTTTTTTACTCCAGACTGAGTTATGGTCATTGACTTGGGGCCTTATATAAAAAAAATATTATACCCTTTTTCTTAGTGATGACACTGCCATGTCTAATGCACTGTATCCACAAGAAAATCAATATGGAACCCCTCACCTTATTACGATGGTGTGTGTGTTGTAAGTAAGATGTCCAATTGCTGTGTCATGCAGACGAAACCTGGAGTATTACGACACGTGTCATTATGATGCGATCCAGTCATGTGACAGTGACTGCTCCTCTGGTGCGGGAGAACTCGTCATCAAGATTCCCAAGGCTGCCTACGACAGTCTCGGGGCATTCGGTGAGAACTGCTTCACTGCAGCAATTCTCAGTTTATTTATCCATTGTAGTGCAGTCTTACTCTCATATTCTGTTGGAGTAAGGCCAATTTTAGTCAGATCTTGAGAAGCCTATAGGACGACCTTCTACGTAGCATACCCACTCCCTTCTCCTACTTTTTGCCTTGTTATTACATCTAAGTTTTGAGTCACAATATTTGTTGTTTGGTAGTATGCCATAAGAAAAACATGCATCAATAACATGAAGTTTACAACGGGTAGGATGCTAGCTGTGTTATAAACAACCTCGTTGTGTACACGCGCGTGTTGTTTGCCTTTTCCTTGGAGACGGAGTTGTTGTTTACGCACAGTTCTGTTTGAGAACAAGCCACTGAAGGTGATGGTAGAATTCTCGCTGGAGCAGCCAAAAGGAGGAGTCCAGTTTGTCATTCCTCCAGGCTCCGCCTCTGACTCTCCGGTTAGTGGAACTTAAGCAAGATTTTTTTGCTTTTTAAAAGTAGCTTTTTTTGAAGTTATACACGATTAAGTATTAAAGTGGAACCCCCCTAAAAATACACCTCAGAAATGAGGACATCTCTCTGAAAGGTTCCAAGTCAAGAACAAGTCTTGCATCGAATATAACTTCTGAAATGAAAAAGGCACCTTCTCTCGCTCCATGAATTTCCCATTGAATAAGGCCACCTTGCCTTGCCACTTCCTGTCTGTCCCATAAATTCAGCATCAGGTGCCACAGGGAAGGTGGGCAGTGGAGGATTCCGTGGTTGCTTTATCCTGTCTTTGTGTGTCCATGTTTGCTGAGCAACTGTCACCCTAGCCCCTCCGCTCTTTCCTTCAGCCTTGCAGGTACATGCATTTAGTGACCCCCAAAACTTTTGTGTCTGTGTTGTTGTGTGTGTGTGTGTGGCATTTGTCATCTCTTTACCCAGCTCTTCATGCTTTCACTACGGTTGTTTGCGACTAAGCGTCATTCTCTAGCCTCCTTCCTGCCTCTTTCCTTTTTCCACCCCTTGCAGGTACATTGCATTGTAGTGCATCCCAACAACTTTTGTGTGCCTGTGTTGTATGGTGTGTGTGTGTGGGTGGCATTATGTACATACATGTCTTTACCACAGCATCTTCATGCTTTCAGCTACAGTTGTTTTCTGAGCTAAGCTGTCATTCCTCTAGCCTCCTTCCTGCCTCTTTCCTTTTCCAACCCTATGCCACAGTACATTGCATTGTAGTGACCCCCAACAACTTGTGTGTCTGTGTTGTATGGTGTGTGTGTGTGGGTGGCATTATGTACATACATGTCTTTACCACAGCATCTTCATGCTTTCAGCTACGGTTGTTTGCTGAGCTAAGCTGTCACTCCTCTAGCCTCCTTCCTGCCTCTTTCCTTTTCCCAACCCTTGCCACAGTACATTGCACTGTAGTGACCCCCAACAACTTGTGTGTCTGTGTTGTATGGTGTGTGTGTGTGGGTGGCATTATGTACATACCGTTTTTATTTCTCTATCTATCTATCTATCTATATACCTATGGCTGGTATGCTATAAACTATAATTTCATACATGTCTTTGTCTTTACCACAGCATCTTCATGCTTTCAGCTACGGTTTGGAAAACGCTTCAAGGTAAAATTCCCTACATAAAACCTGTGATGTTTGGCAATATTATGCTGTATTGTACAAACATGTAACTTCCGCTACGCATGTTTATGTACACAAAGTGCTAGCATGGATGATATCTGTTTCGGCAACTCTTTACTACACTGTCGCAGGCTGTGGTTTCCATGTGTCGACTCTTACACTGAGCCGTGTCACTGGACTCTCTACTTCACCGTCCCAGCTCACATGATGGCCATTAGCTGTGGAGACCTAACTGAGCAGGCAATTCACCTCACCATACGTGTACTATAGCTCCATGCGGTATTACCCTGGAGGTACAATCAGCCCACTTAGTTTGTGTGTAGCTAGCCAATAAGAGGGCCATGCTGCAATACCTCCAGGACAATACCCTACATTTTTCTACTGTACATGTACAGCTTGTATGTACAGAGTTTGGCATACATACTACAATGTGTTGGTGGTATAATTATAGTGTCTGCCTCTTGTTTCCAAACATGTGATTATTTATGCCGCTTGTCTGTGGTCCCTACTGGGAATAGCCTAACTGGCTTGTAACACGTGGCGGATAAACATCCAGTGTGTGTGTGTGTCATTACTGGAGGAGGTACAGTTCTCGGCCCACTTTGGTTGTGTAGTAGTGAATAGTAGCCAATAAAAGGCGTGCTGCAATACCTCCAGGGCAATACCCTACATTTTGCTACCGTACATGTACAGCTTGTATGTACTGAGTGTATTGTGTTTCCCTCATTGCTGCAGTTGCTGTCTGCTGATGGGAAAAAGAAGACATTCCACTACACTCTCAACGTACCTACAGCAGCTCCATGCATTGCCTTTGTCATTGGGTGAGACCTGCAATACCACATGCATGATGGCCTGAGGAGATGTCATACAACTGGGCTGCTGGTTGCAGGAGTTTCGAGGTGTATCCTGATCCAGTCATGCAGGAAGTGACCCACTTCTGTCTGCCTGGTCTCCTCCCTATCCTCAAGAACACCGTCCAGTTTGTCCACGAGGTATATACATGTGTTGTATATTATACTCTTGCATACTGCAATATCTATGAAATGTGTACATGAGTTTATGTATAGCTATACTTAAGTAAGGCATGGTTAGCTTCTTTCAAGACCGCACACTATTTGTGTTCTGTTGCTGACAGAAACTTATGACTTCAGATAAAGGATGCACACATTCACAGGAGTCACATGCACATATTTGTGGCTGATTACAGATTAAGTCCAAACCACACTGTTTTGAATCATTTCCCCTGCACTGTGCAGGTATTTGGTTTCTTTGAGGAGCTACTGAGCACCAGGTTCCCCCACTCCAGCTACAAACTGGTCTTTGTTGACCAGACCTACCAGGACACCTCCAGCTATTCCACCCTCACCATCTGCAAGTAATACTGTACACCCACCACTGTACTATTCCACCCTCACAATCAGCCAGTAGTCCTCTATTCGACACTCACCATAGTGCCTCACAATCAGCCAATACTTAAACCATAGTCCTCTATGCCAATACACACCCACTAATGTACTATTCCACCCTCACCATCTGCCAGTACTAACTCCACAGTTCTCTCTGCCAGTACTAAACACCCACTCACCATAGTGCCCTCTCTGCTATTCCACCCTCACGATCTTCCAGAAATTAACATCAATACTTTTCACCCTCACAATCAGCAAGTATATACTAACATGTACAAATGTACAGGTATATACAACCTATAGCAACACCACACACAATCAATGAGTCCAGCAATTTGAACCACAACTCCTTTGCCATATTCTGTTACATCATATATACCACCAAAAGGAATGCAGGGGGGTGAAGGTGTGTGGGTTTAGTTCCAATTGCTTCCTATATACTAATCTCCGTGATTATTGTTAGCCCTAACCTAAAACACTTTCCCCTTCTCTATTGTTACCTCTTTTCCGTCTTCTCCTGTCACTCACTCTTCCCCTCCCTCCCTACCTTTTCTCACTTCTCTCCCTTCTTCTCTCCCTTCCCCCTCCCGCTCCCTCCACTCTCTCTCTCTCTCTCTCTCCTCTCTTTCCTCTAATCTCTTCTCCCCTCTCCCCCCAGTACCAATCTGCTCCATTCAAACCGTGTGATAGATCAGGTGACTGTCACAAGACGACTCCTTACTCGTGCCATAGCTCAGCAGTACTTTGGCTGCTACCTCCTTCCTCAGTTATGGTATATACACTTCACAACACACACACTTGTATTAGTTCTATCAAGAAACTGCAAGTAGGGCGATACAACTGTACCATTAAATATGCATAACTAGATTTCCTTGTCACCAAACATGTATAATAAGTAGCTAATCCAATTTCCTGTTCCGTTACTTTGTGTGGGTGAGTGAGTTTTTTGGTCCTCTCTATGTCCTCACAGGAATGACTGGTGGCTGCCTTGTGGTATTGCTGGCTTCATCACCGGCCTCTTCTGTAGGAAGATCAGTGGCAGCACTGAATACCAACACTGGGTCATGGAGGTTTGCTTATAACACAATTGGGACCAGTTTTAACCCTTCTTTTTCTCCCCCTCCCTCTCCTCTTCTGCTGGCAAAATAATCCAACTTTCAGCCTTTTATACTCAAGTACACTATAGCAGCTATTGCACATGAGACTCTATGCACGCAACCAAAGTTTGCCATAACACTACCAGCTTTTTGTTTCTGTTTCACGATAGCCAAGTAAATATCCTACTAAGACAACAGTTCTCGAGTTTGTATGTCCGTGTGTGAGTGTGTTCTTGTGTCCATGTGTGCAGGAGGTACAGCGAGTGTGTCAGTATGAAAGTGAGCACACGTTACCTCCTCTCTGTGGAACACTACAAGTCACCTCTGCCTCCTCCTCCTCCTCAGGTTAACCAACCACCACACTCAGTCGATCATGTAACCAGGAGTGTACATTTTGCATGGTTTGTCCATAGGCGTACATGGGGGGGTGGAGGGTGACTTCTGGTTTTCTTTCTTTTCTATTCTCTGTGGCTAGTATGCTATAAATATACTTTTCGTGCATGTGCAAGAACATCTGCTCACCACACTCACTCATTATTCTATAGAGGGTTTAACTAGACCATAGTATACTACCCATGCATCTACATAGATTACACTGCACGCCAAGATGTACATAGGACTTCCTGAATGCTTACATACATAGATTGTTCTAGTGTGTTTATGTATGTTTGCTGAGTTTGCACAACCTCACACAGGTCCCCGAGCCAGCATCCACCCTCATCTGGTCAGTGGGAGAGAGCTGGCCGTCCTCATGAGCAAGGCACACCTCATCCTCCGCTCCATTCAGCTAAAGATTGGACATGACCTACTCATGCAGGTCCCTGACTGTGTGATCACACTGAGTTCAACACTGAAATTATTGTATTCCTCCCGCCTGCCTTCTCCCTTCCTTCTCTCCACCCTCTCACTCTTTCATCTACTCTCTCTCTCCTCCCTTTCCTCCCTTCTCCTCTATCTCCCTCTCTCTTCCTATTTCTTCTCCCATTCATCTGCGTTCCCCTACCCTTTCCCTCTCTCTCCCTCCTTCCTTTCCACATGTCCCTCCACTCTCTCTTTCATTATGGCAGGTGTTCCACAAGCAGCTGACACTGGCCTCTTCTGCCAGTCAATCCAGTGACTTTGCTCACTGGCACAACCTCATTATCTCTACTGCTGGAGTAAGTCAACCCTTTCACCAATGTATGCTCTTTTGTATGTATGAAGTGTGCAAGTCTTTTGAGCAATCAAAGCGGCAAGATGTTAAGAAGGAGAGAGAGGAATGGAAAGAACAAGCATTTGTCAAACTCAGACATAGTCACTTTCAGTCCACTCACTACCCGAGCTACAACTCTTTGACAAAGCCTCATATGTACATATGCTTATATATAGCATACATGTATCACTACCGTAACGAGTAATTTCATTGCATATTGGAATTGTAGTAGATGTGATTTCTAGTGTATTGTAGTGTATGACTTACAACATACATTGGAAGTATATTTGTCTTATAAAGGAAGTTTAGTTTGCCAATGTTTGATACGGTAGTTGATATCCGCTCGTGTGTTCTGTAGTTGATGAAGTCGATCCAGACGGTATCGGGCAAAGATCTGTCTCATTTCATGGAGCAGTGGGTGTGCAGAAACGGAGTCCCCAGGTTCCACGTCTCCTTCTCCTACATGAGGAAGAAGAACTACGTGGAGCTGCGGCTGAAACAGGACCTCCCGCGAGGCTACTCCAAATTCGTGGTCGGTTTTTGCTCTCACACAGTGTCTAGAACATGTGTTGTGTGATCACAGTGTATATACACATGCTTAGACTCTCACAGTTCTGTATAGGGTGCATGTTGATATAATAGGTAACAACTGGCGAATAGGGAAGTTTGTCTGGTGTGTTCGCAATGTGCTGTGATGGCAGTACAAAATGTCTAGAATTACCCCATTTCCTGTCCTTGGTGACTGGGCATCTCCTAAACCAAGGAGACCTTTACCGACCATGTATTAGTCGGGACACTGTACGTACTGAAAGGTCTATAGGGGTATATACAGGTGGGGAAGTTCAGCTTGTAATAGTATGGCTATACAGGAATTCATAATCGGAAAGGGAGTTCCACGTGTCTGCGGTCTGCGACCTCCCATGGGGTCAGGTATGCATGTCTAGACAGAGGGACCGTCAATTAATATTGAATTACGTGGCCCATTATGGTGTGGACAGTGCTGTGTACCACAGATGACTACTGTAGGTGGGTCCAATAACACCTAATTATTGCCATACACACAGGGTCCAATGACACCTAATTATTGCCATACACACAGGGTCCAATGACGGTGGTGGTGCAAGAGTTTGACGGCCATTTCTCTCACACAATTCAAGTCGAGGACATTTCCACTACCCACGAGCTGCCCTGCCACTCCAAGATTAGGAAGTCAGCTATATACACTCTTTAGGATTGCTGTACAGTTGAAAGTTGAAACCCTCTAATCTGGACACCTTGGGGCGTATCTCCATGCTAATGTGGTGTCCTTATTTCAGGTGTTAAATGCAAGCAAGTTGCATGCCAGAAACTGTTCTTGGGAAACAGTATATAGAGAGGTGGGTGTCCTTATTTCAGAGGTGCCCAGAAACTGTTCTTGGGGAAACAGTAGAGAGGTGGGTGTCCTTATTTCAGAGGTGCCCAGAAACTGTTCTTGGAGAAACAGTAGAGAGGTGGGTGTCCATATTTCAGAGGTGACCTTAGAAAAAGATTCCACTGTATTGGGTCATCTCATATCTCATCACTGTGTCCACTACAGGATGACACCTGCACACTCCCATAGGTCAAGGGTGATAAAGGTCTTGGCTTGTTTACGATCCTTTCAACTTTCAATGTAAATATATACCTTACTGCCAACTACCATAGGTCAAGGGTGATAAAGGTCTTGGCTTGTTTACGATCCTTTCAACTTTCAATGTAAATATATACCTTACATGTATACATTTCTTGGGAAAGTGTACTCTGCCTCAGAAATGTGGGAGAGGAATGCAAGCACACGTGGCTGAACTCTCCTTGAGGGCCAACAAATTAATGGCTGTTACCTAATCCTAGTTTATCATAACTTCATTCTGTCTATACCTTTGCTCTACAAGGATTTGGGAGAAATGCCTGTTACCCTTATAAACACATATTCCAAATTGTAAGGGTCACCGACACCTCTAATATTGAAATGTCCCAAACGTGTCCCATATTCAGAGGATACGTGTATGTACACGTGCAACAATTCTCAGGTTCCCATATTCAGAGGATACATGTATGTACGTGCAACAATTCTCAGGTTCCCATATTCAGAGGATACATGTATGTACACGTGCAACATTCTCAGTTCCCATATTGAGAGATACTGTATGTCACGTGCAACAATTCTCAGGTCCCATATTCAGAGGATACGTGTATGTACACGTGCAACAATTCTCAGGTTCCCATATTCAGAGGATACATGTATGTACACGTGCAACAATTCTCAGGTTCCCATATTCAGAGGATACATGTATGTACACGTGCAACAATTCTCAGGTTCCCATATTCAGAGGATACATGTATGTACACGTGCAACAATTCTCAGGTTCCCATATTCAGAGGATACATGTATGTACACGTGCAACAATTCTCAGGTTCCCATATTCAGAGGATACATGTATGTCACGTGCAACATTCTCAGGTTCCCCATATTGAAGATACTGTTGTACGTGCAACATTCTCAGGTTCCCATATTCAGAGGATACATGTATGTCACGTGCAACAAATTCTCAGGTTCCCATATTCAGAGGATACATTATGTACACGTGCAACAATTCTCAGTGTTTCCCATATTTCAAGGATACTGTATGTACACGTGCAACATTCTCAGGTTCCCATATTCAGAGGATACATGTATGTACGTGCAACAATTCTCAGGTTCCCATATTCAGAGGATACATGTATGTACACGTGCAACAATTCTCAGGTTCCCATATTCAGAGGATACATGTATGTACACGTGCAACAATTCTCAGGTTCCCATATTCAGAGGATACATGTATGTACTGCAACAATTCTCAGGTTCCATATTCAGAGGATACATGTACTGTACACGTGCAACAATTCTCAGTTCCCATATTCAGAGATACAGTATTACACGTGCAACAATTCTCAGGTTCCCATATTCAGAGGATACTGTATGTACACGTGCACATTCTCAGGTTCCCATATTCAGAGGATACATGTATGTACACGGCAACAATTCTCAGGTTCCATATTCAGAGGATACATGTATGTACACGTGCAACAATTCTCAGGTTCCCATATTCAGAGGATACATGTATGTACACGTGCAACAATTCTCAGGTTCCCATATTCAGAGGATACATGTATGTACACGTGCAACAATTCTCAGGTTCCCATATTCAGAGGATACATGTATGTACGTGCAACAATTCTCAGGTTCCCATATTCAGAGGATACTGTATGTACACTGCAACAATTCTCAGTTTCCCATATTCAGAGGATACATGTATGTACACGTGCAACAATTCTCTCAGGTTCCCATATTCAGAGGATACTTATGTACACGTGCACAAGTCTCAGGTTCCATATTCAGAGGATACATGTATGTACACGTGCAACAATTCTCAGGTTCCCATATTCAGAGGATACATGTATGTACACGTGCAACAATTCTCAGGTTCCCATATCAAGGTACATGTATGTCACACGGTGCAACATTCTCAGGTTCCCGTTTCAGAGGATCATGTAATGTACGTGCAACAATTCTCAGGTTCCCATATCAGAGGATACGTGTATGTACACGTGACACATTCTCAGGTTCCCATATTCAGAGGATACGTGTATGTACACGTGCAACAATTCTCAGGTTCCCATATTCAGAGGATACGTGTATGTACACGTGCAACAATTCTCAGGTCAAAGAAGAGAAAGGTACCTCTAAGTCATGGAGAAGAGGTGGACATCGATGTCTCGTCTCTGGAGTAAGTACAATATATACCCTTCATTTCCTACTTTCTCTGCTGGGTGTACTGTGTATTAAGGCAGTAAACTTTAGAGTGCGAAAACATGAGCAGGACAATTAATGTCAGTATCGGAGGTCCCAGTACTGTGGCTATGATACAGTATCTCTGTGTATTAATGTCAGTATGGAGGTGCCAGTACTGTGGCTGAGAATACTGTATCTCTGTGTATTAATGTCAGTATGGAGGTCCCAGTACTGTGGCTGAGAATACTGTATCTCTGTGTATTAATGTCAGTATGGAGGTCCCAGTACTGTGGCTATGAATACAGTATCTCTGTGTATTAATGTCAGTATGGAGGTGCCAGTACTGTGGCTGAGAATACAGTATTTCTGTGTATTAATGTCAGTATGGAGGTCCCAGTACTGTGGCTGAGAATACTGTATCTCTGTGTATTAATGTCAGTATGGAGGTGCCAGTACTGTGGCTGAGAGTGGACCCAGAGTTCCAGTGGCTGAGACAGCTCTCTATGGAGCAGCCTGACACATTGTGGCACTCCATGCTCAAGTATGAGAGAGATGCAGTGGCTCAAGTGGAGGTCAGCCATTGTGTGAGGAGAGAGAGAGAGAGAGAGAGAGAGAGAAGAGAAAAAGGACAAGCTAGTGACTTTGAATATTGTTGCAATGGGGAATAGTTGAAGTTGTAGCAAGCCTTCATTTTGAGATTGATCCAATGGTGTATCTATGAAAAAGAGGGATCGGGGCAAACCCCTGTGTCTGTGTGTGCATTAAAAGGTTCACGACTGTTCCTCAAATTCCTGTTAGGCAAATGTATTATGATGTATGATGTTATAGGCCATAGAGGCTCTGGAGGAGTTCCCATCGTCCACCAGTAGAGACCTGCTGAGAGAGTCCATTCTCAACACTCAGTTTTACTACAAAGTCAGAGTCCAGGCTGCTCACAGTCTGGCAAAGGTTGGTTAGCAGTGTTACAAGGTTATTAGTTGAGGGCTAAGAGCAAGCATCTCAGTTTTCCAACACGGAGGGTTGCTGAGGTTTGCTCAGTAATTACCTATGTATTGTGTTGTGTCATCCGAAACTGGTCTCCCAAAATGTAAATTGCAGTGGGTGCACTCAGAATTAAGCTGCCTTAGAATTGGATACTTCCTCCGTAATGTTACACTGTAATGAGTGTATCAGTGCATACTTCTGCTGGGCTCACAATATTTTGTCACGTTGCACCTTGCTGCTTTGCTGCGTCGCGAGGATGGAATCCATTTCTATCTTCGTGGCACCACGCGACGCGGCACGGCACGGTGGGGCAGTGCGACATATTGTGAACCTAGCCTTACTCTCACTCTTCCAACTCTCTGTCCCTCCTTCTCTCGCTCGCTGTCTTCCTTCCTCGCTATTCTTCCTCACTCTCTTTCCCCTCCTGCTCCCCTTTTTGATCAATTCTCTCCCTCCCTCCCTCTCCCTCCCTCCCTCTCCCTCCCTCCCTCCCTCCCTCCTTTCCTCTCCAGCTGATAACAGACACGGCCAGTAGCGGAGGTTCACCAGGATTCCTAGTCTCAGTCTTCCAGAAACTCTACGGTTCTCAGGCCCACCTCACCATCGTCAGATACAACGACTTCTCTGATATTGCCGCCTATTTTGTCCAGAAAGTGAGTGTATATACAACGTAGCCAATGTGGTAGAGTAGATAGTCACTTATCCAAACGTAGTTGGACTAAAAGAGTGAATGTGATGTGTGGCATTCTGTACAGTATATACTGTGTATACAACCCGTTTCATGGATTCCAAGGCATCCCGGTGTATGTGTTTAACAATAACTTGCCATATTCTATAGCAGGATGCACGCTAGGAAAACCACAGCCGTTGAGAGAACTGATGAAACTGACAAAATGATGTGCAAGCACTGCGCCATCACAATAGACAGACACCTAATCACTTCCTTTTCATTAATCACTTCCTAAATTCCATCTCACCTCCCCCATTATCTTTCCCTATATATTCCCCTCTCTACTCACCCCATCCCAATTGAGCTAACCTTACCAAAGGTCAATACAATGCATGTGTATTGCCAAGCCTACTTCAAGGGAAGTACATAGGTGGGTTTACAGTTCCCCTGCTTCTCTGGTTTAGCACTGAAACTTTGATCAGATCCCTTGTCTGTCTCTCTCTCTCTCTCTCTCTCTCTCTCCAATAGGCCATCGTACAGAGTGTGGCTGGAGTGAGGAACATGCACAATCAGTGCCCGAAAGAGGTCCTCTCGTTCCTCTGGGACCTCTTCAAGTACAGCGACAACCAGATCAACAAGGTGGGGGAGGAGGCCAAGAAACAAGGTGGGGGGAGGAGGCCAAGAAACACCACATAAGACAGTACAACAATACTATGCCCCCTGGTCCCTTCTCCCTCCTATAATTGAAGGGGTCAGAGCCAGAGTGAGCCAACCCTCAATATACAACTCTTGCCGGTTTGTTCTATAAGAAAATTTAGTACATATTTGAAGGAAGAGTTGTATATTGAGAGTTGGCTCACTCTGACTCTGACCCCTTCAATTATCATCTCACCTATAAACCTGTCTGTTCCCACTCACTGTGACTCACTGTGTTTCTCCTCTGCAGTATTCTGATGGCTACTACTTCAGCACTCTGGTCGACAGTCTAGCTCTTACTGTCACTCCTAAAGTGGCCGTCGTCCCCACTCCCCTAGGGTATGTGTAGTATCTACATAGATCTCCCTGCAAGACTCAAGTGGGGAATTTTGAGAAGCATACCTTACCGCTAATTCGTAGGGAAATGTCATAACTGTTTGCCTAATTGCGGTAATCACAGATACATAGCTTTCACTCACAGTGCCACGTGTATATCTCTCACCGCTGCACAAACAGTATTGACTTGTGTACAAACCACCAACAAGCAATATAATTGATATCTTGGGTGCAGTTTGGATGTGGCCAAGATACCAGTTGCCATCATGACCTCTGAATCTCAGGTGAGGTTCACCTGACATTGCTAAAGTCATAATTTTTCCAATCCACAAAAAATTTATGCATGATAAAGACCACTTAACCAAGCTTTGATAGTATATACCTGAAGTCCTTTGTCGTGAAAACTTTGAAACTGTCTGTGTATATAAATTTTTGATGAGTGTACTGAATGTATGTGCTGCAGGCTATACTACAAGAGATAGTCCAAGGACTGAACATTGAGAAAGTCATCCCTTCATACAAGCATTCCATAACTGCGAGGTTTGTGTACATTATAATACCAGTGGCCTAGCTACAGAGTGTATGTACTACTTATATACATACATACATCTGCTATCATTGTGAGGGACTATTGGTGTGTTGATTACACAGTTGTCTGGCTGGTTTGAGAGTTCTCCAGAAGAATGGACATCTACCAACCGACAGCAGTCTCTTTAGAGAATATGCCAGGTATTATACAATAATACTGGGTATCTAGGACCATAGGCAATAGTGTACATTACAGCTACATAATATAGAGGGTGGATTCAGTCCTAGTAGGTGTCTTGTGTCTATGCTGCAGTAAAGACAACTTCGTAGAAGTCAGACTGGCGGCCCTGAAAGCTCTGGTAGATATCGTTCAAGGTGAGCTCCACAGCCTCCTTCAAAGTCCCTTGTAGTGTTTTTTTGGTATTCTGGATGTTTGTATAGCCGAACACAGTGAAGGTGATATGAACTTTCTACTAGACATAGTCGAGAATGACATACCAGCAGTAAGGTATATATTCACATTCATAATGAGCACTAATTACCTTGTTTACCACATTCATAATGCACACTAATTACGTTTTTAAAGGTCTAAGAGCATGATTTATCTGTAAAATTGATAATTTTTGTGTTTGTGGGTTGGGACCATTTGTAAACCAGTTATCCATGAAGTCAGTCATTCAGGAGACCTGCAATGTTTCCCGCTGTACAGTTCATTGCTCGCTGCTATACGTTAAACATATTATCACCGTGTTCAGGTTGTGGGTACTTCAGATGTTGGCCAGTAATCCACCATTCACCAGGAAGACAGAGAGCAAACTCAACACCCTCACCCTCGTCGAGAGAATGTGGAGCCTCATATGGTATTCCGATTCTCTCACTTTACCTAACATTATGTATGTGACTTATTGTCTGTCTCCACCTTTTGACGCAGTGTAAAGTTTTCGCACGACTCGAGATCGAGAAATGCAGCAGTGGACGTGTATTCGGCTCTCTATGGCAGACTGACTCCTACCTGCCTACCTCAGGGGGTACGTTTGTTAGTTAAGTACGGACCATGTAGTATGAAGTCTTTCTTTGCTAACTCATCTCTCTCCATTGCAGCTGGGTATCGTGATAGATCTGAAAGAGAAGGTGGCCAGATCCAGTCTCGCCTCGCCAGCTCTGGTATGTACGCGCCCCACACTATCTTCTCCACCACTACATAGCCGGTGTACTGTACTGTGTGTATGTTCCCAGAGCCCAAAGACACTGATCAGTGCTACTGATGACACTCGGCCAAAAACCATCTCACCCACTCCTCCTGTATCAGGTATGGACAAAATCCCACGACACTCCGCTATTATATAATCAAGGTCAGCTGTGGAAACTCTGATACTATACATCTCCTTTACTTTTAATAAGTAGAAAGCTGTCCTTTATTTCAACTGTCTATTATGTACATACTTTAAAGCTGTGTGTGTCAAATCTCCCCCACTCCCTTCACTCTCTATACATAGGCTTGTTACAGAAAGAGTTGCTAAACTCAACACCATCTCCAGTGATTCCACAGGTGAACACCACTCTCTCATGCACGACACTTTTGTCAGGAGTTGCTTTGGGGAAAGGGGTGGAATTTTGCCCCTTAGACGGATGAAAACCGTAGTACGTGATTACTTTGCCTCATTAATGTGGAATTCTCTTCACAAACTGAACACACAGATCAAGATGGAGCCTATGGACACATCACCCGGTGCAGCTATCACCAGTGGAGGCAGCACCAGCACCGGGAGTGCATCAGTTAAATCTCTCTCACTCAAGATCCCCACTTCGCACCTCAAGAGACCTCTGCTGCCGTACACACACGAGGGGGGCGAATTTCCGACCCCCAGCCCTGAGCTGGGGCCATCGGGGGCCCCCAGTGAGGGGTCACTGAGCCCCTACCCCAGCAAACACAAGAAACGCAAGTCGGAGCACAAACACAAGAAGAAGAACAAACACAAACAGAAACACAAGCACAGGAGTTAATAATAATGTTGCATCATATCACGACTACTATACAAAAACACATGTAGCTACACAATGGAAAAAATATATGTCGTATCAAACATTCCTATAGTTTGTCACCAGAAAAAATGTCGGTTTTGGATCACTAATCGTCGTCATCACTGTCGTCGTCGGCAATGTGGAGAAGTGCAGTACGGAACTCCTTGGCTGAAACCACCAGACCAGGTACAGTTTTCATCGCATTTATCAGCTTCGACCAGGATGCCTCCACGTCTGATGTTATCCACTCCCGAAGTGCCTCCCTGACTGAGTCGGTGTCACTGAGCTGCCTCTTGGCATTGACAATCACTGCCTGACTGATGCCAAGGTAGGTGACCACGTCTTCCCAGTGAGGGGCTATCTCTTGAGTCGGTCTAAAATACTTTTTCTGGGCCATCCACACGATAGGGGATCATGATGAGTTTCTGCATGACTGGTCTCTCCTCTAAAGGGTAAAAGATCACAGTATAGAGTAACCCGGGCTTGCATATTGTAAGACAGTTATTTCTACCCCCAAGGGTATACTACAGTTGAAACATAGTGGTACTGCTAATTGATGGGGTAGGTGCTTGTAGGCCACCTCGGAGCCTGTAGTGTGGGAAGAGCTTCAGACAAACAGACTGACACACAGACCAAGTACTGTACCTCGCTGCCATGCAACCAAGGGTAAATTATGACACCTTGACTCATTGAGGACATTGAAAGTGCCCATGTGTTCAGAGGTGCCCCTTATTCGGAGGTATATGTCATTATACTATGGGGTACAACCCTAGTGTCCTTAGAGAGTGGTGTCTTTTGTTGTGGAGTAGGTTTCACTGCAAATCATCAACTATCCAGTTAAGATCAAACTCACTAAGGATGGCCTTGTTTTCAGCCTTGCCAGTGTTCTCAGCCTTGCCAGAGTTCTCAGCCTAGCACCTCCTCCAGTGGGTCCATTACCAGAGGCACCATTGGTAGCTAGATTTTCAATGACATAATATATACAACATTTATGACTACCGAAAATCACAAAGTCTCACTCTTTGTTGTAGAGTGGTTGTGGGCGATATCCAGTGCTAACCTCTTTGTCGTTTCCTCCATTGCGGTGTGCCACTGCTTGCACAATGAGCCTCCACGAAGGTTGCCCGTGAGCCTTGGTGTCATAGTTCATCTTCAGGAACTCATGCAGCGTCTCACGCAGACATTCTCCTGGGTCGCCTCTCTTCTCAGCCGCAATTCTTCTAGTACCTTTTCGTCAATATTCAATGCACCTCCAAATTTCTTCCATTGTGGTGAAATATCAAGTACCTCATTTTCAATATTGAATAGGTCACCGGTACCTATGAAACACATGGGGCTTTAGCTACGGGGATCAGGGATGTGTATTGCTATGTTACCTAGCTTTGTGTCATCCACAGAGGGTAGGAGTTCTTCTACTTCCGTTGGCACAAGCTTACTCGCTGCAGCCAAGAAACAATAAAGGCGGCTTGTTCACATCATGTAAACAAACTGGCGCCTTTAGAGGGGGTGTGATGGAAGCAGGCCCAACCTAGTCTCGCTAGCCATAATCTCCGTAGGACGCGCCGCCAAAAAAGCTGAAAAACTAACGTACCCATTTCCAGGTGTTCCCCGGCCGACAGCAACAACACAGACACAGTGTGAGGGTGTAAAAATAAGTGGGGCTATATACTACTACGTGCACGCATGCGCAGTACGTCCGACGTCCGAATTATAATTATGGCGCCCCGACCATCGCTGGATCGATCTATGAGGAACCACTACACACCACATCAGATTTTTTAAACACACACACACACACACACACACAATGCGAAAGAAAGTTACAGAATGATAACGGACAATAATGCTTGCGACAAGAAAGCATTGTGTGCTCATGTATCCTCGCTCTCCGTGTCGCTAGGGCTCCGGCAGGATTTCTTCCGATGGTCGTCGTACAAGTAGTCAATGTCCGCAGAACAGGTCGGGAACGAGAGGACGTATTTGCGTCCGATGAGCGAGTCGTACTGTTCCTCTTCCTCTGGAGGACTATGTGTCTTGAGGAAGGCCTTCTGCAGCTCGCTGTACATGTACTCTCCGGCAGAGAGGTGGCTACCGAGCTGGCTGGCCTGCTGACTCGTTGAGGCGTCGCCGACTGGTATGTGCAGGAGGCTGGCCTCATCTTGCACCAACTTAACTATGATATGCCTGAACTCTGGACGGCGCTGGGGATTTGGATGCCTACAAGACATGCAGATCTCAATGATGTACAGCTTGGGAGTGACAATGCCATAAAGATTCTCACCAAGTTTGTATCATGAGCTCATAAATGGCCCTAGGTGTTCCTGGTGGCGGGGGAAGTCTGTAACCAGAATCAAGCCTCTCCAATACCTGCACAAACAGTTAGCTAACCAAGCTGCAGGATCTGGCTTTATAGGAATGGTAGCCCCGACCTTACCTGTGCATTTGTAAATTTCTTGAACGGCAATCGTCCAAGACTCCATATCTCGTACAGAACACATCCATAGCTCCACACATCACTGGCACTGGAGTATTTGTGGTAGTACATGGCCTCCGGTGCTGTCCACCGTACTGGGATCTTCCCACCTCTGGAGATGTAGTACGGTGCGTTGGCTAGGTCTCTAGACATTCCAAAGTCTCCAACCTACCATAAGAAAAAAGAATGGTGGTAGATGCTAGGTACTGTCTATGCTGAAATCGCTATAGCAAAGCATGTTTCAGGTAATTATGTTGCTGCTGTGACACAGTATTCTCCCCACCTCCCTAAGTCCTCTTGCTATTTCTGTGCACACTGTTCTTAGACACACACTTTTCGTGTCTGGCCCAAAACACCACCAGGTAAGTTTTACCTTACAAGTGTTACTCTCAGACACAAAGATGTTTCTTGCTGCAAGATCCCTGTGTACAAATCCTTTACTGGCGAGGTAGTGCATACCCAGAGCCACTTGTTGGGAGTAACTTGTGAGTAGTTTGTCGGTACTGCTCAAAAGTGTCCTATACAGTACATAATTGGAGGGGTTAAGAACATGTAGGGACGTTCTAACTACTGTAGAGGTATCGTTATTATTCAGCCATTGTTGAACATTATGTTTCACTCACTCTCGGTTCATTAGCAAAAGGTGTGTCCTGAGATCACCCTTTGCAAGGTAGCCCAGGACCAACATGAACTGCAGGGAAAACAGAGCTCTAAATCAGCGGCAGTAAAACCCGCGTGAGAGAAACGTGGATGCATGTTTCCCACTTCTTTCGTCAAAAACACATCTGTTTGAAGCAATAACAAACAAGGGTCTCAGCCATTGCACCATATGGCACCTCAAAGACGAAAGCAAACACGCTGTCACTGCCGCATATGTGTCGCCTGTAAACTCACAGACGTGCCAGCTGTGGCGATCCCGTGAAGCTGGACAACGTTTGGGTGTCGAAACTGCCCCATCATGACCGCTTCCTGCAGCAGTTTCACTCTCTCTTCGCTGTTGCTGCAGTTCTCCAAGAGGGGCACGCTCTTAACTGCCACTTCAACTTGTCCAGACTTTCTCTTCCAGTATGCCTTAGCCACACTGCCAAACTCCCCGTTTCCTATGTGACTGATTACCCTGCACCAAATGTATCAAACTCTTGGTGATTTAAGTATCGTGTAGCATGCATTAGGGTTGTTTGTAAGGAACGTACTGAATGTCCTGTCTGGGTATGTTTTGGATATTCATTCTCTCAAGTGTTTCCATTATGTCCTGCTCATCATCTGGAGGACTGCAGTACATGTCTTGTGAGCTGTTGATATTGGTGTCGATACTTTCCTGCGAAAACAAAGATTAAATCCACTGCTGAACATGCAAGCCACACTCTTGTTGTGCTTTCCTCCTACTGAACCAAACATGTGCTGTTGGTATTTAGTTCTGAGAGGCCACTAGCTTTGAAGCGACTGTAACACCTCTCATGTGTGCTGGGGTTGCGTTTGATGGCATCAGAATGTTTACAGAAAACTATTTACCAGTGGGTACACCTCGTGTGCAATCAAGAGCTACAGTCAGATTGTGTGCCCACACAATTATGTCTTCTTTTGAATTTTCAGCTGTGAAATGATCATGCTCTTTCGTGCATGGTGTGTGTGTTCTTGTGTATATATGTACGTACCTGTTGAATAAGCCTCACTGGGTGTCTAGCGGTGCAATACCCTTCGTCTGGAGCACTCTCCATGTTGCCAGTTGGTTCTGGTGTCGTAGGTGCCCTTGGCTTTGGTGGCCGGTCGGGCACTGTGAGTGTTGGTTTCTCCCTCCTTCTCCTCTCTGGTACTTGGAGTTGGGCTGCGGGTTTGTCGGAAGCGAGGGTTGCAGAGGGCTTTATGACCGGGAGAGGTTTCTTGAGCTTGACTCGTCTCAATCTATCCAGGGTCATGGTGCCAGGCGGGACGAGCTGGGGGTGGACGGGCGCTGTTTTGCCGACAAACACATCAGAGCCTGTCATGGTGTTGAGCGTGCTGTTTGAGGTGAAGAGAGAGCTGCGAGGGGTCACGAGGGGAGTCTCGTAGGGCTGTGCACTTCTGAGGACGCGGTTGTAGTGGTTGTGATGGTAGCGGTGGCGATAGTGGCTCTCTGATCCACTGAATATGCTGCACACACTCGAGTTGGACGTAGGGGAAGTCTTGCACGGAGCATCGTACACTGTGTCGGTATCTGGCGTATGACGTGATATAGTATGAGACACCGTGGATGCTTTTAGTGGCAGAGGAGTTTGGATGCTCTTGTAAGATGAGCTGCGCTCTAGATATATAGAGAATGAAAAGATTGACAAGGGGAATGCATGAAAATTGCAAACACCAAACTCACTCACCGCATGCTTGAACTGCTCTCTCCTCATGGTTGATTCTCTGCTGCTGTGATGCTGCGACTACATTGAACAGAGTGTCCGACACAGTGTCACCGCTGTACTTGTCTGAGTCTTCATCCCCACGTCTCAATGACACAACAAAGATGATGAGCAAAAATACGATGACTATTAGGACCAGCAGAATCACACCCACCACCAGCCCTGCGATAAACGGCCAGTTGACAGGGGGCTCTGTTTCTTCTCTTCCCAAGGATGTTTCACTTTCTAACGGAGTGGCTGGGATTCTATTTACTGGGAGACCATTACTAAAAGTACCACTGTCTGATTGCACAGTGCCAGTAGGAGGTGCGGATATACTAGGCGATGTAGTAGGTACAGCAGAAGTGACATGGGTGGTTGAGGCTATGCTGAATTCAACTTCAACTCCGCTAGATGACGAAAAGAAGAGCTCAGAAGAAGTAGGGCTTGGTTGTATGGGCGAAGGTTGAAGTGACACAACAGTCTCCACTGGGGTAGAGTGCATTGTTGAAACTGTTTGTGTTGGAATAATCATGGAAGGTGCCACAGTGGAGAGAGGCACATTTGACAAGGCCACAGTGGAGAGAGGCACATTTGACAAGGCCACAGTGGAGAAGTACGGTAGCCTTGAAAAAGCCACAGTGGAATATGTCATCTTTGAAACCACTGCAGTGTAGGTTGGCGTTTGTGAAAGGGTTTTCAGCGGTGGAGGTTTGCTGGTAGAGCTGCTTGGCAGAAACTCTATATCCAACAGAAAATGGTACTAGGGGATATGCATACTTCATAACCTAGCATTAAAACCCTACCAATCTCGGGATCCACATGAAGTGCATAACCGTCCAGTTGCCTCAGAAAACTGTCTCCTTCGTCAATATAGAGAGTAGATCCTCTGACGCCTTGACCTACGACCGGCACTAGCTGAGCAAAGCTAGACGGAAAACCCAAGAAATCTCCTGCCTCAACTTCTATTGGGGTCTCGACTATCTCTCTCCGACACTGAAAACCCTCGTCTCGGTCTTGGAGATCGGTAACCTGCCGGACGTGGTGAGTGTGGACATGCTGCAGAGTTTGGCCGTCCGTGGCTCTCCATATCTGGAAACGTATCCAGTTGATAGTGGAGGAAGAGAACTCATCGTTTGAGTAGTAGCAGTATTTCCATGCGGTGATGTTCCCAGCGCAGGGGATTTTCCGGTCGAAGTCAAAGAAATGTCCCTGTAACTGAGACGGCGTACCTCTACTATCCAACCTCGATGTCATGTTACAAGTTGAATCGCTTCTCGATGTGTACACACTCCATGTAAAAACTGTATAGGACACAATGAGTTCATAGCTATGTATACTTGTAGATGACAATGATATCTACCTGTCAGTAGAAACAAAGTAGTTGCAGCCATCGCTGTAGCAAAGTCCACGGTGTCGGTTTCACTAGCTATAATATCATACAATTTCAACAACACTACAACTACACTGACAACCAAAGTAGCAAAGCAGATCCATGCATCGGTGAAAGAGTGTCTGAAGTGACAAAAATGTATTTGACTGTGTTGGGCTGAGTTATAAAGGAACGGTGGAAGTGCAAAGCCACACTAAACAAAGCAAGTGCATTGCACACATTGCACATGAAAGGCATCTGAAAGCACTCCCCCCAATATTGCCAAATCCTGACTACCACACCACTAACCAAGGCCGCAGCATTGTTATTATACAGCCAATTGGGTTAATGTTGCAAAACTTTCTTTATTGAGAGTTGAAAGTGTGAAAACAAGCAATTAGTGGGGGCAGCCAATGGGTACCCCTTTCTGAGATGCAAATTCCCGTTTGATTAGGTCAAAGAAATTTTAATGAATATCAAAGGCGGAAGTGGGGCATCTCTGTCCACAAACACCCACCTGTGTACTACACACAGGTCATGTACGTTATAATAATTATGGACCCATTCACCATACCACATATTATGACAATATATACCACCTTCAAAGGCAGCTCTCTTTGGAGGATTAAGCAATACCCAGAAAACATCTTGTCAAACTGATACTGTGGTTAATACACAATGCGTTTTTGAAGAGGTATATATATAATTATATATGAAGCCAGCCGATTGTAAAGCTATCCTCAACTGACTGTTCTTATGATTTCTTCAATGAAAACAAACTGCATCATATGACAAGCAGTGTATATAAAATATGAAGCAAAATGACTTGTATAACGAAAAGATCACAACAAAAGGACACAAACGAACAATTATACTATGTATGATACAGATGCCGTGCAAAGTGGATTGCTATCACACAAGACGAGTGGCTGAGAGACGCGTGACGAGATTTGGTTCAGAAGAAGATAGACGGCAGTTGAAACATGGTATGATGGTGTAGTACTTGAAAAAGGTTGCAGAGGAGCCGCCCGCTGTTGAGTGTGAGCGACTGGCACTGCATGGAGAATACCTGGCAAGATTGAGAGTAAAGTGGGGAGGTTGAGGGGGAGGTGGGAGTGGCGTGGGATTACTGGCAGAGCGTGCACGTCGACGTGGAAACTGCGAGTAGCCCGGGTATCGTTCTCTGTCGAGATCGACGGCCTCGGCCTCCCCTGTCCAGAGAGTCCGGGAGCACAGGCTGTGGTCTCGGGTCTCGAGGTCTTCGGGGAAAGTCGGGAGGGGCGTGTTATGACCGCAGCTGTGTCTGAGGCTACGTCGCTTGCTCTTTGACGCGGATTTTGGCGTGGAGCGAAGATCGACCATTCCGACTGCTAAACTTGACGGCGAAAAAAAGGTGCTCGGGTCAAATGGAGGGAAGAGTGCCTCCTGCACGTCCATCGAGAATCGAAATGGTCTACTGTATTGAATTGTGGGCGAGGAAGGGAGGGAGCTGGAGAGACGATAGGAATTGGAGCGTAGTGGGGAGGGAGGTGGTGCCCAGGGGGTCGAGGGATTGGGGACGAAGAGGGAGAGGTTGGAAGCAGTACTGGGGCTGCAGCAGCGATGCGGGGTAGTCGGTGGTACCAGGTCATTTGACGGCGACCGGAACATGGGTGGGGCAGCTATGGCAGTATCGGGGTGCGTTCGCTCCAAGTGAGTCTCGGATGATTGCGGTTGGCCCAGGAAGAACACGGCGTGTGAGTTAGGAGAACAGTGGCCAGGTGGAGTTGTATCACCTTCTGTCAGAGATTGCACAGCTCCGATCTGCTTCACCGGTTCTTTCCACATACTTTTGTCTTGCTTGCTACATGACGACAAGCTCATCTGGTTTCCTCTCACGTCGTCGCTGGGACTAATGACAGGGGCGACAAACATCTCCCCCGGGTCTATCCCCGAGTCTCCCTTGTTCGTTCCCTCCTCGTCTGACTCCAACTGGCCGTATGAGGTTCTTCCCTCGTTCTCTAGCGGAGCCGTTGTCAGTATCGTTGCCAGCTGTTTCTCTTGCTTCGCTTCTTCACTCGTTGCGTCTTCAAATACGTCGTCGTTTTTCGAACCGTCTGTCTCTTCCGTGGTGACAGATGCTTTGGGTTCTTGTTCTAAATGGTGCCTCCCTGTGCCGAGACCGTTGGCAGAGTAGTTGTCGAGGGAGTCTGAACTAGTGATGGGTTGGAGGATATGGGAACTGGATGACTGTCCACTTGTGTAGCTCACGTTGTCATCCGAGTCTTGAAGTCTGGAGTTGTGTGTGTGTGTGCGTACATAGGATGGAAATGTTGTATATCAAGATAAGGTGCCTGCCAACAGACTCATATTAAGGTGAACACACCATAGAGCGGTGTTAGGAAGCTGAGGATATATACACAGTAGTTAGTCACGTCCTTGAGGTAAGTACAGCACGATTTGTTTATGTCCAAACAGACATCAGACGATGTGTGCACCAGTATTATGTTCACTAGAGTCCACCACACACACATTTTTGCTCAATAAATTTGAGTTCACTGCAGGTAAACTTCCTGCTTTGCATTCACTTCAGTGGCATGGGACGACACCAAAACCTGTAGATTTTGCCCGGGATTACATGCAGAAAATGGGTGTGGCCATGTCTATCTGTGGGTGTGGCCCCTGTCTGTTTTTTCAGAGTGCCACACATCCTATTCATGTGGAAACTCAATTTCTGGGTGGCACCGTTCCGTTTTGCCTTGGTACGTAGAGAAGCTGAGGAGGTACAAGTATTCACCAGCAAGTGTTGGTAATTCTCATAATGTATGCTCATCCCGTTTGTCCAAAGTTGCACGATATCACAGCAAAAACATTCATCCTAAGTAACGGTTAATGTTCCTACACTAGCTATTCCACTCATGTACAGTATATATACCTAAGCAGAGGTTCAGAGAAGCAAGTCCTCAGCTCCTCCTCCTCTCTCCGCCCCTCTCTCTCCTCCAGAACTCTCGTCTGCTCCAGGATCTTCACGGCCTCGTCAAACTGGGGCCGCTCGTCTGGATCAATCTGTGGGTTAATACATACACAGTCAGTGAGGAGTGTGCAATAAAGTTACAGACACAGTTCATATTTTTCTGCGAGGGTCATTTTAAGTTTAACTAGAAAATGTGGCAGTGTTATGTTAGTGGCTACGACTGGTGTCATAATTATTTAACATGTATAACTTGCTCTAGTCACACTATTACAGAAATTATGTGAAGCATGCTCAATTAGTTTTGAGGAATTTGGTAGCACTGCGTATTAGTGGTTGGAGGGAGAAAGTATCAGCGATAGAATGCATATCATCGTACCTGGCAACAGCGGACCATTAGCTCCCACAAGCCACGTGGGCAGTTTCGACACATCTTGTGCAGAGCTTCAAAATCCATTCCATACACCTACAGACACACACACACACACGAGAGAGAGAGATAGAGAGATAGACCAAAGGTGAAAAAGCATTCATTCCCTAATGCAATGCTCCCTTCTATAGCTACGGATGCAGCAGAATGACACGTATGCAGTGAACTATATAAACTGCAGTCTATGAGCCGACTGGCAGTTGGTGGCCTGTTCATTTTGATATGCAGCATAATTGTGAGGAGTCTTATGTGTACACATCACATCATCTATGTCATCATGTATGTATATTACATCGTTTTGTCATTGCCTGCCAGTGAAGCCTCTAGCAAAAGGCTCTCTGTTGCTACATCATTTTAGTGTTTAAAAGAGAGTCGTAGAGCAAGGTGTAACTCTAAGGCTTGTGTCGGTTAGTGTCCCACGCATTGTTCCAGCAGGTGTGGTAACAAGGTACTCTGTGCTGTTTACTACTACGCTCTGACATACAGGGTCAGGAAAGAGCTATCCTGTACTCTAGCGCTTACATACCCCCTATAATGGAACTGCCTGTAAATTTGGTCACATAAATCTCTATCCTGTTTTTCTCTCTGGTGTCTTTGATCAGAATTTCACAAGAGGGTCTGTAAATGCTAACGTTCGCCCTAAAATGTTACACACACAATACCATATAGCACTAAACTGGGTTCACGATTTGATACACCAGTCGAGTTTCTCTTGGTTTCGCGATGTATAAGTCAGTGAGGTGGGCCATAATTGGAGTATAATCTCACTCTGGTGCGAGGCATGAAGTCTGGGTCAGCGGGCAGTCTGGTGGCAGTCTCCGCCAGAACAATTCCGTAGGAGAAGACGTCGGCTTGTTCGCAGTATTCCTTCCCGTTGAGACACTCGGGAGCCATCCAGTATGCAGATCCCACCACTTCCGTGTGGCTCCTTCGACTGTGTTAGAGAGAGAGAGAGAGAGCGGGAGAGAGAGAGAGAGAAGAGAGAGAGAGAGAGAGAGAAGACAAAATTTGAGAGTGCTAAGTCTTTGCATTAGCAGTTTTGTTTACAGATAGCAATAATTGGTTGACACCTGTAATAACTCCATAATTATAGCTCCACATGTAGTACTAGTGAGGTTGTGTGGAGGGTTTCTGGCATACAACTGACTTTGCCACTCCCCCTTTCAACGTTGGGTCTCATTGCAAATGAAAACATTTCACATGCAAAAGAGTACGCATTAACAACGATAACGCTTGGTACTGCACTGCAATTTGTCCTAGCCACTTGAAGCTAATTGTACCACTAGGCACAGACAACATGCACACACACACACACACACAAAAACGAGGTATTCATGCATGTGTGTGCGTGTGTGGTAACCCAGTGGTCTGTTTGAAATGTCACGGAAATTATTTCCATGCATGCACCCGTTTCCGCTGTCAAAGCAGGAATTCGGGGAATGCTCCTTGTATGAGCCTCGTTTAGACTGTGTCTCTTGGCTCATTCACTCCCAAGACACTATACACCTGTCTTGCTATAGCTGCAACCCTTGCTTCACTGCTACTATAATGCAGTGTACATAAGTGTACACACTGCTTGCATTGTGCCGTGGTTACACCTGTGTAAAGTAAATTTTGCCAAAACGAGAAATGGGTTTTGTATTGCTCGAATTCGTAACGCCACCAGCGAGTGGCTATATATGTATGACAGTTTAGAGAGTACTGTGCGTTAGTTTACGGGACACTATGTGATGAATAGGTGCAGTATGTTTGAAACAGGGTCAAAAACACTGCTCGTGTCGTGATTTCAAGTTTACACAGATTGTGCTCCGTATGTGTGTGTGTGTGTTGTGTTGGTTGTTGTTGCACACAATAGAGCTATTGCGCAAACACTGATAGGAATGATCGGAATGTAGACCCAAGGGAGGAGGAAAATGGACTGTAGCACATAAAGTTCAACAACTAACCATCTATACATGTACCAGTAATAAGACTTACACTTGAACCCACATGCAGAGCGCATATCTTAGCCATTTTGTGTAATTATACCGTACATGTGTACTAGATGTTTATAGGAAGCAACTGTGTTTATAGAGAAGTGTCCGGCGCAGCTGGTGACATATGGCAGTGTAGCAGTGAAATTTACTTTGGAACAGGTAAAGATGTAGGTGTTTGTACCGGGATTGCTTTATCTTAGCAGCGAGGCCAAAGTCAGCCACAATACACTTCATGCTTCCGTCTGTCTGCATCTGAATTAGGCAGTTCTGAGGGAGGAGGGAGGGAGGGAGGGAGGGAAAAGAGAAGGAGAGACAATTCTATTGCATCCATAGAATGCGTCACCAAATGTCTATTACAGTACATATTACCACCACTTAATGCAAATCCCAAAGTGATCATGCACACATTGCCTTCCCAACACACTACACACTGGGCACATCTGATATATACATCACGTTGCATGTGGCCCGGTGTGGAGGTATTCTCCAGTGGTAGGAGGGTTAATCTGTGGGAATTTTAGAAATTCAAGCCCTTCGTCTGCATAATGAGATTGATTACTGCCGAGTTTTAGCAGAGACAGCAGATCTTCCTACACTCAATAGCTCAGTCTCCAATGGCTGTAATCTAGTAGCTACATATACATAGTTTTATTATGGCGCATCTGGGACCCTTATGAATGGTGCTGGGGGTAATGAATGCTATGCAAGTAGACTTCAAGTTAGGGTAACACCTAGACCAACAAACAAGTGAATGCTGTTAAAGATGTCTCCTGGTGGAGAGCCCTACACATGAATGTGTCTATTAACAGTCTGAATGTCCACCAATGGTGCACATGTGTCCACGGAGATGATTATTGTCTCCTATGAGCTAAGAGTCCATCCAGCAACACCCACCACAGTTCCTGATGCAATTGCACATGGGGATACAATGTGTGTCTTGCATGTAGTACATAGTCAATAACAGAGGTTTTTACAAGCAACTAAAATGGGTACTTGATTACACTGTAGGTCAGTATCTTTTCAGCAATGTGAATGAAAATCTTTTTGACCTCTGAACGCAGAGTCCACACACACGTAATGCCAATCACAACCATAGTGGTCTGCAATCACAACTCAGATGAGCCGGTTACGCTAGCTTCACTTGTGGCACACATCATGAAGGAAGGTGTATATACACTAGGGTCTCCTCTATTTAATCTTGCACAGTTCTGACAGAGGAAGTAACAGCTCGCTGTCTATTTCAGTCAAGTATGGTGAAATCTCTTCAAGAAGTACACTTTGAAAAATACGCAGAGATATACATACAATACTAGAGAAAAGCTGGTCAAGGGTGAGCGAACAAAACTATGACCTCCAAATAGCGTCCATATCTGAACTTATGGGTACTCACCCACAGACACAACATATCGGCCACTGATAGACAAAGCTGTGAGAGGAAGGGGAAACCAGGGGTGCTCTTCCCTGAAAATGGTTTTGCCCCCCTACATTTCATCTCCACTAAGTACACTAAGTACATGACATACAATATTAACTACACCACACATACCCTGGAGGAGAGATCTCTGTGGAAGACCCCACGTGAGTGGAGGTAGGCCATCCCCGTGGCAATGTCGAGAGCTATCTTGACTCTAGTCGACCAGGACAGGGAGATGGAGCGGTTGTGGAGGAAGTCCTCTAGAGCTCCTCCATTGATGTACTGCACATTACACGTACCACACAGGGAGAAATGGGAGAAAAGGGCTGTTTGTTGTTGAAGCTTGAAGCATACAGCAGTGCTTGTTTGTGTGAGTGAATGTGTATGGATTGGTTTCATTTTGGAAGTCAGTAGCGTAGGAAGATCTTCGGACAAAGGGGGGCTCCACACGCATGCGTAAAGAACACGCAGGTGCTGCCATATCCACTGATTTTCTACGAGCGAGCCCGAGAAAATATAGAGGAGGGGCGCCATCCCCCGGAGCCCCCGTGGTTCCTACACCACTGGAAGTATAATAAGAGTCAAGGGCAGTATGATGTGAAAGGAAATTCCATAGGGAGCTGTGCTGCTGTACAATGTGGTGGTGTTGAAATACAAGAGCATCTACGTTCCTCGTAACAACAGGGGGAATAATTGATTATTAACTCAATTATTGAAGACATCATTGGGCTTGAACGACAGTAGCTGGAGCGTGTGATATGTTGTACAAGCGTACAGATTGTCAGCAATGACATGCCTTTTAGATTTATGCGTGATGTCACACATCATATGCACGCATACAAAGTTCACACATTATTGTGGGTGTTGTGTGTTATACATATGTAAGCACATTCTTCATGCTCTGGGGTAGCTATACGCTGATAAAGTACACACCTTCTATGTATATGTTGCAGTGCCCAGACAGGACAGCATGAGCCGTGTAAGGGCGAATGCTGTCCTGTCTGGGCACTGCAATATATTTGTTGGACATCCCTAGCAACCGACATGTATGAACCCACCTTACATCACGCAGGATAGTATATGCTCATAAAACTCCCCAGTACGCTAGCTTCATACATGTCGGTTGCTTAGGGATATCCAACAAATAGTCGTAACTGCCCAGTGATGCTAGCTCACCTAGTCATCTCTCAATTGTGCATTTTATGTGTAGACAGTCCTGTCCATTCCGTAACGTTTTTATGCACGTAATTCAAGCTGCTGAATCTTCACACTAGCGTTCGCTCACCAATAATAATAATATATTGCTACTAATATACGTATGTATGTATGTGTGTATAGCTTACCTCAGTAAGTGCATGTAGTTGCCCCTCATGTACACATGAGCCCTTGAACCTGTGTGCACAGCAGGAAAGGGATTGAATGTCATCTACATGTCACGGTAGGGTTGCATACAGCAACAGTGTGTAGTAAAAGTAAATACTACAGACATGTAAGGGTTTCAATGGTATTCATGCACACTTGTGATTAAAATTTGAAGCCTCATGGCTTACTACGTATGCAATACAAACGAGTTTACAAAATACACATGTTTACGACTACAAGTTTGAATACCGAAACAGCTCAGTTACACATACGGAAAAGAAATCCAACCACTGTCTCGCACACAAGAAATGTAATTGACAACTGTAAAAATGCAAATCACAGCCAAATACACGATGAGGAAATGCAAAAAAGCCAGAAATCCACAGCATAATGACCCAACCCTGAAGGACTATAAATTTGACCTACAAGGAGGTTATCCATTATTGTTGGAGTGTATCCCACAATCTGTTATTCGTATTACGGATAAAGTCACGCGCACTATGTTGCAAGCCACACTGTCAGCAGTCATGTAGCCATGTAATGCAGTATTACCAGAAGCATGCGGTGTTGGGGGAGGGGACGTAAGGTTTACAATAAACAAAGGAACTGACTGATATGGTGTGCAGTAGTCTAGCCAGGAAAGCCATTACTGAAGTGTGTAAACTTGCTACTAATTAGGAAGTTCATCGTGTTGCAACAGATATACTATGTTTGCTACAGTATGTACATATGTACTTCCCCACAGGCAGACTAACCCAGCATCAATTGACCAGGGAAATTTGCCAATGACTAGGAAGTTCGTGTTGCTGTCACAACAACCACTGGGTATGTTCTGATTTTTGCAGCTTGGCTAAGCACCTAAACTTCCCCAATAGTAGGCCAACCCAGCATTAATAATGGTCAGAGAATTTGCCACTAGCTGAGGGTTGACTAAACTTTTCGTACTTTTAGCAAGTAGGTGGGGGGGAAAGGCAGGCCAACCAACTATCCTGAATGCCTTGGCTATAGCTGGAGTATGCTGTGCAAATAATCCTCAGGTTTTATTGTAGAAGAAAGTTGTCTATTTAGCAAGCAAGTGTGGGTAAGGATTGGCCAACAAACATCTTCATTGAAGTGTGCAGTGCAAGGAAAATAGGGTGGGCTACACTTTTCGTACTTTTAATAATCAGGTGGGGGGAAAGACAGGCAAACCAACCATGTTTCTCACCTTGACTAAAGCTGGAGTACGCAGTGCCTATAGTCTTCAGTAGGTCCAATGATAATTGTATGGACCGGTAGCCAATTTCAATTAATGACAAGATCAGCTACATATCACTTTCTTTCTATTTACATACACTACTAATGCATATACATGCATGTAATGCACAGAGGATCTTGGCCCAATACACTGAGTGCAACATACAGTATTACAGCACTCTTGTTTCCCCCATAGGACTATATCTGGAATAACATCCCTTTGAAAAATGCGCTAAAATTCAGCACCACTGTGGAATCAGTTGACATATCAGTTTTCCAGGGCAATCATCAAGAGAGTGAAGCAACACAAGTTGTAGTGGTAGGAGTAGCACATTGTGAGGGGTGAATAAAAGTGTGCAAGCTGGAGGGGGGCCTTGTTTGCACTGTGCTAGCATACACTACAATCAGCCAGTATTCAGATATCAATCACACGCTCATAATCCTTCATCCAAACTCTATTCTCTGGCCAAATTCTATGCAACAACACTTGAATACACACCATCTTTATTGTACAGACCCTTAAAAATGTCAGTGTTTGCACTGGATTTGTTGATTGCATAAACACTTTTGCAGCTATAGCTATACACCCCTTCAAACTTAGAGTCCCCATCCTCTATTATATTTCAGAAGGCTCCATCTCACATATCAATGTGTTTGGCCTAGTTTTCCAACTAATACTAAGCTAGGTGTAGCAGCCTACACACAAAATGATTAGTCTAGGGGAGGGGAATAAATCCCCTCCTCCCTCCTAAAAGAAGCCCTGGATACATGTATATACACTTAGCCTCCCAAGGAGTTGGTGTAGACAAACAGACCTGAGGATATTTGGGTGTGAGAGTCTGTTCATGAGCTGTATCTCTGAGAGCATCTGGCGACTGAACTTGCTGTTCTTGTTCATCTTGAGGACCATCACCTCTCCCGTGCTCTTGTGGGTCACCTGCAGAAACAGGAGAGCATAAGGGCTAGGGACTATGAGAGAGGGGGGAGAGGTAGACATGTGTAGGTAGGGTAAAGGAGGACGTTGGTTGTCAAGGAGAGTCTTTATGAGGCAAAACATTCATGAGGTGTTAAATGAGTTTTAGAGCTGCAAATTACAGCAGAGCCAGACACTACACACACATTTCCTCAAGGCAACTCCACCAATACAGAAAGTAGGAAAAGGCTGTATGGGTACATGGCACACCTTCAGCAGAAGAGGGTTGGCACCATTGACAGTGCAGTGGCCACAAAGGAAAGGTCTGGGCAGCTATTGGCAGCACAACAAAGCCCGAGCTACAGCTACACAGACTCCAGATCCTCTACTATAGAACTGTACACACCATTATGGTCAATGTACAAAGAGTCACGCCTCGTTGATGCAAGTTGAAGTGGGACTAACATTTAGGATCAGCCTGCTCTGCAGTGTGCAAAAAATGTTTTTATAATTGAGGCACTAAGGTGTGTAATCTAAGAAGAGAATTCTCATCAAGAAGTTCAAAAGTATAATATTATACAGGGGAAAGTGCAGCTCATTTCGCAAGAAGAATCGAAGCACCGTAGAAACAACAGTTCACACTCAGTGCCCACAAAGGTGTCTGCTACACTGTTTACCTGTCATAGACAGCCTGTTCCACCTCGCTAATGCATAATGTGTATGCAAGACACCTGTTTCCAGGCATTGCTAGGTAAGACCTGTGCATCACACACACGAGGCAAGCTAGATACCCACTCTGTACTAAACGTGCAAAGAACACGGACTCAGGCAGGACCATTACCTGTTAGTGCAGCTTGACAGCAGTGTCCCCGTAGCTAACTTGCAACCGCTAAAACCCAGTACACTGAATGATGCAGCTGCCTCAAAAGCTAACCTTGAACACATCGGCGTAGAATCCCCCACCTATCTTCTCAGATTTGAAGTCGTTGAGGCGTGTCAACTGGTAGAGAGCGTCTCTGACGGCTATGTACGAGGCACTGCAGGGACGCGGGCGCCTCTTGGCTCCCGAGCGAATCCTTACATCTCTTTCAGCCTCCATCATCATGTTGTTTCAGCTAGCGAACAGGATAACTTGGCTGACTCTCTTGCACCAGCTCCCATTCTATGACATAAACATTGTGAGCCAGACAGGCTGATGAAGGCCTTCGTAAAGTTCTGTCGCTTTTTGCCTACACGTCGACCAATCAGTAAACAAAAGGGGAGGAGCCAGCGCGTCATCGGTCATGAATACTATTACACGTTTACGTCATGAATACGATTACACGTGAGAGGTTCTTACTTTTTGCCTGTGCACTACACACATCGTACAGTACACATAATTATACTCACAATACGGCATGCTAAAAATACACAGAACTATCTACTTGACTAGAGGCCTCCTGTGGCCCTCACTGTCTGTACAGTTTCGAGCCTCGTAGGCCTTCACTTGAGCCATGTAGGCCTTCCAGGCACTGCTCTTGTCCTTATCATCTTGTTCCTGGGCTAACTGCTGCTCTTGCTGTGACACACAGTATCATGCATGGACAGAAAAGCTACGCAGTAAAATTTTGCACAAAAGAACACAAACACATTTCACATAGCTATTTTCTAGCTACAAATTAAGCTGCTAGACATGAAGACTAGACAACGAGGTGTTCATCAACTGATTAAAACTTCAAAGGCGGCATTCATAAAGAGGCAAGATATGGGTGGAAATAATGACCAACCCTGAGAGACAGCCAAATGATATTTCAATGCCTAATGTCTTTGTTCTCTATGAGGCAATCCCTGGCATCAGAAGCATGCAGAGGCAATCCCTGGCATCAGAAGCATGCAGAGGCACACTGTACATAATACCCACACACAGACACAGACACATAGTGGCCATTCCCGGCCACACAAATAGAGCCTTTGGCAGCAGCAAACACACACCAATTCAAAACATGGAACTGCACTCGCCGGGCCCTGCCAATGGGACAGCACGCAGTAGAACAGCACCATAGCCTATTGTAGCACAAGTCTCCCGCAGACGCTACCCACTTACCATTTCGGGCAGACACCTGAATCGGAGCAATAGCCGTGAACAATGCCGTGGTGCAGATATTAAACAGCGAGATGACAGGGATAGCTACAGCGAACTATTCAGTCAGACAACCAACACTGGCTCTACCTGAACAGAACTATCTATTCTCTAGTCCTGTGTGTGTCCGATGATATGCAGAGCTATGTTCAATGATGCTTTTATCTAATGTGAAGTGTTCTAGGAAAAGTAATAATCCAACCATACACACTGCTTGACTACAGAACACACACACACGGTATAGTGCCAAATTTTCAAGATACTAAAGCTTTTCACAGCACGAAAATCCTCAACAATAGTACTAAAAACTGTGAAAATCAGTCTTTCAAAACTTCAAATGCATGCTTGAAAATTATCCACCTTGAAAAATTTGGTGCTATACATACATCACGCCATTTAAAAAAAAAGTGAGACATAATTATATATATCAGCAGAAAAACTGATGGACACAAACAAGATAAAAGAACAACCTCCAGCTCCTCTCTGCGACGTTTTCGCTTCTCTCTTAGCTCAATTGATTTCATTAGAGACTTTCGTTTCCCCAGCATTACTCCCTGTATATACAGAGAAACTTCAGGGCTAACACATGTACTAGAGTGCCGTGTGAAACGTTTGCCATCGTGACACATAACACACGGAAATGGTGCGTAAATATTGTATACACATGCATGTGTGTGAAACACGGTATGCCCACATATGCCTGCCATAGGGGATCTGCTGTCGTCATGCATAATCTTCTGAACACACAAAAGAAGAATGACGCAGGCATGAGTAAATAGGCACATATGGACAAAAGGAAATCAATTGTAAAGGCAATTTGTGTCCCTTTACACGCTGTTGAGTGTACCCAAGACACTTGGCTCCTCATAAAAACCTCTGTATATAGGCTACTGTGTAGAGTGGGATAAGGAAGATTGACCTACAGCGCAGTACGCTAAGAAAGATTGACAAGTGGTTTATTCAGCCACCTGGGAGGCCTTGACCACAGGCGGATCAATGTTAGTGGTGGTCTTCTCCAATGCTTTCTTCTCCTCAGAGACTGTTTCCTTGTTTATATCTGACATGGGGCCGGAAGTTTTGTCCGGTTCACGCTCGCCTTTAGGTGCGCTACTTCCGCTCTTTGAACTGTCTTCTGTCGATGTAGTTTCCTTCGTATTATCTTTCTGCTGCTCTTGGAGCCTTTTAAACATCTCCATGAAGCTCCCATCGTTCACAAAGGAGTTACCGCCACCTTCCCCGCAGTTCGCCATTTTATCGATCTATCTAATTAACCGTCAAGGTGTGGTCAAGAAAAGGAAATTTCGTAATCTAGCGCTGCTCTTCACCCCAGTTTTTGTTCGGCCTTCAAGAATCACTTTTAGCAGTCTATAAAGAATCATGGAAAGCAGGTGAGTGTGGGGTTTTAACCCCCCTCTTATTCCTGACCGTTTCTCTAGCGGTGGACCAGAAGAGCAGGGGAGGAAGGGGGTAGTGTTCAGTATCATGAGGTACTTGCAAGACCAGATAAAGTCCGGCCAACACTCTTCAGACAGCGTCGAGAGCCTCGAAGGTTAGTGTAACACTTTAGCTTGGTAGTATGTTTCTCTTAACAATGTGTAGTGGCTCTGGACTGCATTGGACAGGTGTACCACCTAGACCTCGCTAGTCAGGAAGATACTGCTACATACAGCATTGAAAAATCACTGGAGGTGACCAGAACTGTGAAATGTGTTTGTCTATTTGTGGATTTCGGTTTTGGCTTTATTCTTTGGCCATACCTTCTGTTGACATAGCCGTTTGTTTAGTTTCACATGTGGTCCAATAGCTGTACCTGTTTATATACACTACACCATGCAAGTATCGATTTTATGGTGTCAGCTTTTAGTCCATGTACCCCAAACTGAGTGTGTAGCCTAGCGTTTCCTTAAATGTGGCTGTTGAATACTCTGCAGGAGATATTTTCAACAGCAGCTCCCTCTGTGCCGTCCAGCAGTGCCAAGAGGCAAGCTGAGGCCTTCAAGACCCAAGGTCGGTTTCTTGTATGGCGAGCAAAAGGCTTTTACAATGCGTACACTGTCAAATCCACATCTCCACGTTAGGAAATGTTCACATAAAGAATGGGGAGGTGGACAAGGCAGTGGAGTGCTACTCTAAGGCCATTGAACTGGACCCAACAAACGCCACATACTTTTGCAACCGGTAATGCATCCACATCATGTACTAGCCCCGTGAAGCTGATGCTATATATTGTTCCCTGTGTGTCAGTGCTGCGGGGCTCATCAAACAGCAGAAATTGGATGAAGCTCTTGAAGACTGCCGAAAGTCTCTCGTGCTCAACCCCGACTATGCCAGAGCTCATGGACGAATGGGGTTAATGCCTTATTTTTCGCCATGTCATGTTGTCATCGTTGAGTGCATAATACTCTACCATTCAGATATGTTTATAGCACTCAAGGTCAGTACGCAGAAGCAAAGAAGAGCTTTACTGAGGTATTATACTAACCTCCTTTTACCACAAAGTTTTACATCCACTGAATGCAAACTATCTGTTTTTTTAAAGGCTACCAGATTAGACCCGGAGAATGCGAGCTACAAAGAGAACCTTACAGCAGTTGAGCAGCAACTGGGGCCTCAGCCACAGGTATTGCACACAATCTACTCCACATGATATATTGGAAGTGGAGTAGATGTATTAGAGTTATGATGTTGGTTCTAGGGAGGGCAGCAAGGTGCACCACCACCCTCATCATCATCAGGTAGTGGAGGAGGAGGAGGAGGTAAGGTGTATTAAGACTCCCCCATTAATTCTTAGCGTTCCTTATAGCATGCATTGATGGAGGGTTGGTCTGTGTATTTGCAGGTATGCCAGGACTTGGTGGCATGAACATTGGTAGCATTATCAGCAACCCAAGATTCATGAACATGGTATTATACACACTGTACTCCAATTAGTGCTTCCCGACTGGATTGATTTACATGTATGTATATAATAGGCTTCAACACTCATGTCTCAGCCTGGATTTCAACAGCTGTAAGTCATTACATAGAATGATGTGCATTCACAAGGCTTTGTACTGTGCAGAGCTGGTGGGATGATGCAAAACATGGCCGGTGGAAATAGAGGCCCTGAAGGAATGATGTAAGCTTCTTCTATGTAGGATTTGGGTATCGAAATTGGGCACTCGCGTAGATGAAAGACGGCATTTCTGTTTTATAATGTACCGCTTGGCCATTATTTATTATGGCTAGAACAACCTCCATGTAAAGAGTTAGAATTTCTGTTTCAGTTCCTTGTCTGTACGTAAACTGTTCATGGACAGTCTTCCTCCTCCTCCCCCCAGGCCTCAAGTAATGCAAATGGCCCAGGAGATGCAGCAAAACAACCCAGAGCTATTCCAAAACCTCCAGCAGCAAGCACAAGGACTTCAGCAGCAGAACCAACAAAACCCTAGCCAACCACAGTGATGTGTGCCTTCGTGTATTTTTCATCCATTACCCCGCGTACCTGCGCATGCGCACAGCCTGGGTACCACTAACATTCTTCATAGCATGAAGTCATTTGTCTTTACTTACTCTCATCAGTAATACTGTATCTGTGTGTTGTATAGATTCCCTTTCATCCCCTATCACCGGGGGCAAATGAACTTTTATGAGCTTTACTTGCGCATGCGCACAAAAATGGCAATTTGCGAACGTCACACAGAAGCGAACCTCGCCCGGGTTCGCCTAGAGTATATATACGTCCTGCCTCTAGAGTCTGTTTTAGCTAGCCTAGACGTTTACACGTTGTGGGTAGTGCAGATAGAAGTGTGGGATTCGCACTCTGGAGGGGCTGGTATAGTTTAGAGTCCAACTATTGGTGAGCTGCGCCGAGTGGAGATGAACAGCAATAAAGCTGCAGCAGGGCTTTTCTTCTGCTGTTTTGTTGGTGAGTTTGTATATAGCCCGGCACGGAATACGGCATACTGCGGTGGATCTGTTTTACTGCTAGATTTGTGCCCCTCGCAATGTAGTAGCTAGCTACATTAGCTAGCTATGTAATGTACACGGTCCGCTAATGCAGTTGGGAAAGCGGAAAGGATAAGTACTTACCAAGTGCATTTGAGTACTTGAGCTAAAATAAACGTCTCTTGAATTCCTGTTTGGCTAGCCCGTGCCCTAGCTATAATGCAGAACGAGTACTCTATAAGAACTGTCTCCGTGAGCCCCGCCCCCATTTTCCCATTCTCCCTTGGTTCATCATCAGCACACTAGGGATCAAGGACTACTCACATTGTGCTCACTACTAAACTGTGGCTTGCAGTTGTTGTTGCTTGTGGGGGGAAATTATTTTGTCTGGGCAATGTTGGTTTTTCTAACGAAGACTTCTATCTATTCTGTGATGGATAGTGTGAAGCCAAGGTGCGTATAGGTCTTACCAAAAACACAACCCACGAGGGTAGGTTGTGCTTATATCTACTGGGCAGTTCAGTGTGGGTTTTTTGGCCGGACTGGTCCGAACTTTCGGCTCGGGGATTATTATACCACATCTCACATGCTAGCTATAAAACTATGCAGCTCTGCAGTTCTGCACTAAGTCAGAATCAATTGCTACTTTGATTGACGCTGGCTTAGTGCAGTGTAGTTATTGCATGTAACACATGAAAAGAGGTGGAACAAGCTTACGTTGCAATTAATATACCGATATGGTCTTTTATCTGTGAATTCCATACATCTGGTATATGAATACCTTTGTTTGTGTGATAAGAATGTGACTACTTAAAATTAGGGACTGTGCTCTATACTTTTATTAGTAATCACCTCCTTTTACTGTTATAGACCCCCAATTTATTTGTAAATTAAGCCAGCTATGTGCAATTTGAGAGAGAGTGTGGTCACTTTTGTGTTCGTGCAAAGTTCACCTACCTTCACACAAGTTCAATCACATATGTAGTATCCTGATGAACCTCTTTGTTATGCTCAAATAGAACTGGAGCTGTTTTGGTCGTACAATGTGTGAACATGTCCTAAAATCACATGTCTATTAAGGTGTTTTGTCCAAGGACATTGTGACAATGGGCAGAAAGAAGTAGCCTGCAATCGGTGTTGTTAAAAAACACTCCATACACAATTACACGGCCCTGCACATGCAGCTCCACTGCATCCAGTGGTATTTGCACAGCTACAAACTACTCTTCATGTGATACCACATGCCTTAGAACAGGAGTGTGATACGATCACAGTTTGTGCATAAACTAGCCCACTGCCCACTGGCTGCTTGTTTTTGCCATAGAGTACATACATCAATCATCTTACTGACTTTCAATATCCCAAACTAGCAACCTACATGTTAGTTGAAGAAATGACAAAGTATGAAAGGGTCGCTGACAGTTCAAGTGAAAGTTGTGCTGAATTAACAGTCTCACTTTCGAAGTACTGAATCAAGATTGAATTACTTGGCTGCTTGCGTGTGTGTGTGATATTGCATGACCATTTATAAGGCAGCTGGATGCACGGTGAAAGCAACTACACAAGCTTGTGATCAATGACAAAAACAGACCTCTTTCTTCTCCAGGGGGCGGGGTCTAGCCGCAAGATTATTCTGAACTTAGACCAATCTAGAAAATCTAAAAATGCGGCAAATCAGGGCTAGAAATGTTGCTATTATCAGTGATAAACGTGCTATACACTTACTGGACTATCTGTCTCATTGGGGATAGAATAATATTTTGGCTCTCTGGCTATTGCTTGTTTGGTTTGTGTGGACTAGATATACTAAATATGGACTTTCAGTCTGTGAATACCATAATGACTAGTTTGTAATCTGGTGGAAAGTACATAGCTACCAGAAACGGCTGGGAAGTGGGTGTTGGCATCAGCTGCACTGACCCAAAAGCATGCGGCACGCCTACACAATTGACTAAAGAGAGAGTAGTTTCAACCCCCAAACTCCCTTTCCCTGCTTAGGTCTCGCTTTCTCTATCCCCTAAGCACACACACAAGTTCTCCCTAGATAGATGAAAAACTAGCTGACCAAAGCTTCCCCAATGTATTCCTATGCAGAGTGTCTTGTTGGGGCACTGTGCTCGCTCTCATGTGTTAGCCTCAAAACCCCACAAGTTCCATTGTTAATGTATCTCATGTTACGTTACCTTCTTTTTTTGTAGCTGTGGCCCAGGGGCAGCTAGCACTCCAGGCCCTACCAGATGTGTTGTTTGTGGACAACGGTGGAGTCCATGGAGTGGAGCTGGGGACTGTTGTTAGAGCTCGCTGCACTGCCAGCAGCAGCTCAGCTCCCCTCCTGACCTGGTTCAAGGATGGCGGTATTCTAGCCAGTGATCCTCCTCACATCAGGATACGGAGCAGCTCTAGTGGTAGCGAGGTGTCTTCAGTTTTCACCGTCGACAACTTTGACAGTGTAGATAATGGAGACTACTACTGTGAGGCCAGCAATGATACTGACACTCTAGCCAGCACCACACTCAGTCTCTCAGGTCAGTGTGGAAAAGTATTGGAAGAGCATGCAATGGATGGTGTGTTTCATTGCAGTTGTTGATGATGACTCAATTAGACTCTTCCGGAATCCCGTTACTTATGAAACGAATGGTGATTTGGGCGACACTTTGAAGTTTTATGACTTGGTTCGTGATAATCGGTCATCATTCGCAATAGGAGATGACTTTGAGCCAAGTCAATTTATAGATCTGTGTTGCCATGTGCTCAGATGTATAGCTGCAATCCCAGGAGACCAAACACAAGCAACAAACATTAGCCAACTGACAGTGACATGGCTGAGGAATGAAGAGGAGGTAGTTCACTCAGCTGGTCAAACAGAGATAACGATTGACCTGAGATATCAGTTAGGACCGAATGAGACTAGATATGTATCTCAGCTTCGTCTGCTCCCATTTCAGACTTCAGACATTGGAGTCTATCAGTGTGTGTACTCAGACTTTGACTCTGATAGAGAGCTGGTGTACAGCACTCCGTTCAGTCTTGACACTGGTTAGTAACGAATACTGTACCCAACACTGACTGAGCCTTACTTGCACATTGTACAGATAACAGTTCGGAGGTTATGCTCGAGGCAGTGTCTCCAGTAGACATTATTCTTGATCCTCCTGAGAAGCTCGTGATTGAAGTGGAGTCGTCTGGAGGATACTACCGCCATGCCTGGTACAAGAATGACGAGCAGCTCTACCCCAATGACGATACCACGTTCAAACAAGCCAATCCTGCTAGATTCTCAGAGTTCTTCCAAGTCTTTGTACAGGACCCAACCACCACCTCAGACCATGGAATATACAGAGTGGACCTTGTTGATAGTAATGCTTTGAACGCCATAATCTCTGTATATCAGACACTGCAGTTCTCAGTAACCCCATCTGGTGAGTTTGATAGTGTATTCAAACTGCTCCCATAAGTCATGTATTGCTCCAGTACCTCTGAGTGTGGAGGCTCTCAATACGACTACTGTCACTGTACTGGAAGGAGAAGATGTGGACATTTCCTGTATAGCAAAAGCCAACCCTCTCCCCTCCAACATCACGTGGTCATTTGGGTGGGCAGCTCCACTTCCTTCACACAAACTGACTCTGTTGAGACCATGACGGCCAATGTTCCTAGTGCAGGGACCTTCTCCTTCACAGAGGGCAATACCACATCCACACTCCACATATCAGCTGCTCAGTATCCCACACACAGTGGTACCTACACCTGCTCCTCCACCAATGACACCACAAATATCACCGATACCATCGTGGTTGAAGTTCAAGGTGAGTATCATGATTTGCATTAAGACCATTGCAGATATGAGGAAGCTTTTAAGGGAGAAACCAATTGCAATGCGCAAGAAACATTATCCCATTAGACAAACAATCTTGTAGTATCCTTACTGAAATGTGAAGGTTTTCTTTTTCTCGTGCATGGTAGCTACAACTGTTTGCCTTTGCAGTACCTCCTGAGGTGACAGTATCAGCCGCAAGTTCTCGAGTGTCTGTTGGGCAGTCCCTGAACATCACATGCTCCATTTCAAGGACGTTACCCTCTGACTACACCATAGAGTGGACATTGAGCAACACCACTGGAGGCGCTACAACACTGACTGAGACTGGGGAGACTCTGACTCTGAGTGATATCACTGACACAGACTTGGGGACCTACACTTGTACTGTCACCAACTCGGCAGACCTCAGTGGCTCTGCTAACATCACCATAGAGGAAGGAGGTGAGACCTCCAACATTAGTTAACTACAGGTGATAGTCTGTTTATATTCTGTGCAGTTGGACCGTCAGTCAGTATAGCTGATATTGAGGCAGCGGTTGCTGGAGATGACGTCACTCTCAACTGTACTGCTACTGGAGACACTCCACTGGTCTATCAGTGGACACTGGAGGGCAGTACAACTGTCCTCAACTCTGACAACACCACTGGAGAACTTATCCTGACAAACATCATGGAGTTTGACTTTGGAACGTATGTATGTGAGGTGTCCAATGCTCTCCAAACTAATAATGCCAGCATAAACCTCGAACAAGCAAGTAAGCGGTTATAGGGGGGTATCAAACATTATTGATTGGGTTTCCTGCTCTCTTAGCTCTTTCTACCACCTCATCGGAGGAGAATGTTACTGTTGTGGAGGGAGAGACTCTGGAGCTGAGTGCTGCGTTCCAGTTCAACCTGATACTGGACAGCATCTCGTGGAAGAGAGATGGAACATTGCTACAGAGTGGCTCAGATGGTGTCACTATCACTGATTCTGACCTGAATCCACCTAATGCTACATCTACACTCAGACAGACCGACATTCGTCGATCATCTGACACTATATTTTCTTACGTAGCGAATGCTACCAGCCGTGCCGGATCATCTACTGTGACTTTCAACGTAGACGTTCTCTGTAAGAATAGCTCGTAGCTCTATCATGTTCACACCAATTTGTTCATGGTATTTGCGGTCTCCAGATCCTCCTGAGGTGAGTGTGTCTGCTACTCGGACAAGGGTACCTGTGAACGGGTCCACCTCCCTCACTTGCTCAGTCGCCAGCAGCAATCCTCCCGATTTCTCCCTGGTGTGGACTCTAACTAACACAACTGGTGTCACCACAACACTCAACACCGCAGACCAGACTCTAGAACTGTCTGGATTAGGTTTGGACCAGTTCGGGACGTACACCTGCAATGTTACCAATTCGGAAGGTCTGAGTGGAGAAGCTAACGTAATTTTAGAAGAAGGAGGTAAGTAGCACTAAGTATGGTAGCACATTAATCTCCTTTGCTCAAAAGAAAAGGCCCAATAAGTTAACTGAACCACTCTTGCTTTCAAAGCAGTCACCAACTATACGTTTTTGTGTGTAAAATGCTTCTTTCAACCTCTCAGAGCTACCAGAAGTCAATATTGATGGGGTTGACCCTGCTGTTACTGGAGATAACGTCATTCTCACCTGTACTGCTACTGGAGCCACTCCACTGGTGTACCAGTGGACCATGGAGGGCAGTACAACTGTCATCAACTCTGACAACACCACTGGAACTTTGGAACTGGCAGACATTCAAGAGAATCAGTTTGGGACGTATGTATGTACAGTGACCAATGATCTGGGGATGGCTACAAGTGAAGTGATTCTCCAACAAGCAGGTATTCTGCCAACCAACTCTCCCTGCTAATCGCTGTGGCAATAGACTCCACTAGCCTAGTGGAGCCTTTGCTATCTATGTGTCTAACTAGAACCGTGCTATGTGACACTTTGCCTCTACTCCACAGTGGCTCCAACTGCTGGCAACAACGCAACACTCACATTCAGTGTTGGAGATGATCTAGTTTTGGTGGCAGTATTTTCAGAGTTCAATCTGGAGCTGGATAGTATAGTATGGACCCAGAATTCCTCCATATCACTGATGGATGGAGTCACCATATCAAACACTGCTCTGAGTCCACCAAGTGCTAGCTCCACACTGACCAGACCTCGCATCACTGGAGTCTCCTACGGAGGAACATACACTGCCACTGCCAGCAACAGGGCTGGATCTAGTTCAACTACGTTCACTGTTGAAATCACTGGTAAATGCCCTGTATTGGTAGGTGTAGGGCATTTTTGTTAACAAAAACACCTCTTGTCTTTTGTAGCTGCACCAGAAATTATATTGGAAGAGACCCAGCAACAGAATCTGTTCAACGAAAGCACAGAAGCGAGCCTTACATGTACAGCATCAGGGATACCGCCCGTCACTGTAAACTGGTCGTTTGCAGGAGATATGGTGAACGAAAATGAAACTGCCAGCACAATTGAGCTAAGGGACGATCTCTTTGTAACCACGAGTGTCCTAACAATCATGTCTGTTGAGAGGTCTGATGCTGGCACGTACATTTGTATCGCAACCAACGGAGTACTACCTAGTGCTTCAGCACTTGTCAATCTCACTCTCAACTGTAGGCACCTATAAAACCTTAGTGTACGTTTTAACTTCTAAATGTCCTCGTGCACAGTTGCTCCTGTCATAGAACAGGATCCAATAGGAGAAGATGTACTGGCTCCAGATGAAGTCATTCTAATGTGTACTGCTGAAGGAGAGCCTTCACCAGATATTGTGTGGGTAAAGGAGGAAACAAATGGAGCTATGACAGAGTTCTCTGAGTCAGGGAACGGTCTGATCGTCGACACTGTGAAGTCTACCTCCATGTCTTTCAGTACACTGACCATTAACTCTACTGACTCATTTGACACTGCCAATTATTCTTGCATGGCCGAAAACATCCTTGGCAGTACTACCAGTCAACCAGCAGAAGTAACTGTCTTTGGTAAGTGAGATACACAAATCCTCCTCCTTTTTTACCTTGTGTTTTTTTTTATGTAGTGTCGCCGTCAATTCAACCAGAACAGGATCTATACGTGGCCATAGAGTTTCAATTGCAGGAGGTGACCTGCAGTGCTACAGGAGTGCCCCCACCAACTATCACCTTCATGAGGAGAGATGTAGTATTGAATGGGAATAGTAACAGTAGTGATATCAATGACAGAGTCGATCTTCAAGACCCAACACAGCCAGTTATGAATGGCGACAGATTGTATGTGGTGAACAGAACGTTGCAGATAGTTTCACCTATTGGAAATGACACTGGAGTTTTCATCTGTCTAGCGAGTTTTGAGGTGCTCAATCAAACGCTAACGGCCATTGATTCCTTCAATTTCATTGTCCAAGGTAAGCCTTGCGAACATTAAAACACTTGTTTCATGCACGTTTTTTCCACAAATGCAGTTGCACCCACTATTGAAGTTGCCCCTACTGATATAGAAGTTATATCTCCAAGAACAGCTATGTTTTATTGCGAGATTATCGGTGTGTTCCTTTCAAATACCACGTGGCAGATGAATGGGAATGCCCTAGAGTCAGGGGGAGATATAGACATTGAAATAGACATAAGAGACGATCTGAGAAACAGCACATTAACTATTAAAAACACGGTACCAAGTGATGCCGGAAACTACACGTGTCTGGCTGAAAATGATGCTGGAAGGACTTCTGCATCAGCTCAGCTGACAGTAAACTGTATGTCAATTTCTTAATGCAACTCTTTATTGGCATCGAAAGTGTCTTTTGTTGTGCAGTTCCTCCAGCTATAATGGACCCACTATTGGACTCAAACGTCACAGTAAACGAAGGGATGACTGCAGTGTTTGGGTGCGCTGCCACCGGCGTACCTGCTCCCACGTTAACCTGGAGAAGGAGCGGATTCTCAAACTTCTCCGTAGACCCGCGGGTATCACTGGGAGTGCCAACCTCTCCAGAGCCGCTGTCCACATCCAATGGTACCGTCTATTTCGTCAGCCGTCAGCTAAATCTCTCAGACACGCGAGACTCTGACTCCGGAACTTACTATTGTGAAGCTTCCAGTGGCGAGGAACAGAGCCTCAATGTGGAAGTCTCTTTTGAATTGATTGTTAGAGGTACGTATCCTTTTACTGCATATATATTCCTTGCAGTACCAACCAAATCTGTGCAAGTGAATGAGACAGTTACTATCTTCCCACACAGTTGCACCAGTTATAACAGCAGCTCCTGTGGACATGGCAGATCTTCGAGGGAGCACCGTAGTGTTATCATGTAATGTCACAGGGAGACCACGACCCGACATAACATGGTGGAGAGAAGACGACAGCAGTGGGGACTTGACTCAAGTTACTGATGTGACGGGGAAGACCCTAATTGATTCAGAGGTGATTGGTGGAGAAAGGGGACGGATGAGTAACCTGGCAGTAATGGACATTCAACCTTCTGATGCCGGTGTGTATGTGTGTCGAGCTGACAATGATGCTGGACAAGCTGAAGCACTTGCAACACTCACCGTGCTCGGTGAGTTATCCCTCTTATTATTATGCGTCGATGTAACTACTATTTCAATACAGTTGTTCCTGAGATTGATTTCCCACCTGAGGATTATGAGTATACGACCATTCAGTTTATGGATACTGTGTTCGAATGCAATGCCACTGGGATCCCAGCTCCAACCATTCAGTTCTTCCTCGATGGCTCTCTTCTTGAGTCAAACGAAACCTTTTCCATCCTGGATCCCGTGAACGACGTCATTGACGTCAGTGGTGAAGGTGACCTGGTGCATTTGGTGACCAGAAGACTCCTCATCAGTCCCACACTTGATGGGGACTCCAACAACTACACTTGTGTTGCCACCAATGATAACGGAACTGATTCAGTAGAGTTTGAATTGGTTGTGTTTGGTAAGCCACACGTTCCGTTTCTCAAACTTACCATCTATTTACCCTTTATCGATTCACAGTTGCTCCTGTAATAGTGGGTAGGCCAGACTCCCAGATAGTTTTGAAGGATGATCGGGTTGTACTGTCGTGTGTGTCTGAGGGGAGACCTCCTCCAGCCATCACATGGTTGGAGCAGTTGGTTCAAGCAGAGGAGAGTGATAGAGTTAGCATTGATATTGTGTTGCGAGGGGCACGTCAGGTTGCGAGCAATCTCACAATTGAGCCTGTGCAACCTCGTGACAGTGGCCAGTACACATGCATGGCCTCCAACGTGGCCGGAAATGATTCACAGTCAGCTGATCTTACGGTGCAAGGTAGGTGTATTGGTACATATTTCCAACTCTTTGTTCACTCGATGTGCTTTTTGCAGTTTTTTCTGAAGTCCAGTTCCTGGTTCCCTCGCCATTGCTCACTGTGAACCAGTCAGATTCAGCAACATTCACATGCAATGCCACTGGTATCCCAGCCCCTGTCATTAACTGGTTCATGGGAGACCAGAGGCTAAGTGATGTCCTCCTCTCACGAGTTAACATCACAGAGACTGAGGCTCGTGAATACGCCACACCTAATGGCGACGTGTTTGCAGTAACCAGTGTTCTAACTATCGAACCAACCACGGGCAATGACTCTGGTACATACACATGTAATGCATCGAACACAGTTGGTGCCTCTATGATGCCAGCTAGTGATGAAGAAATCACCGAATTATATGTCCAAGGTAGAGCCACCTTACTCTATCTATTGCACAAATCTATTAGCTAACAGATGTTTTCTTCTTTAGTTCCACCAGTTGTTGTCGCTATTGTGGAAGAAGTGATTGGAAATGAAAATGAAAGTTCAACGCTTCAGTTCATGATTGACAATGCTGAACCTGTGGTCGAACTGAGTGGACTGAGGTGGTTTTATTCTGCCGAGATATCTCAATCAGCCACCATGGAGGATATTACTAATAGCACCAACAGAACTACAGGATCCCAACTCATCACCTCATTTAGTAGCGATGGAAGGTTCTTCAACCTAACAGTTGTCAACATCCAACAGCAGCGCCAGGAGGGAGAGGAGACAGACCAAGGACGATACTTTCTGCAGGCCACCAATCCTGCTGGAACTAGCTCGGCATACGTAGACCTTGAAGTGTATGGTAAGCCAGCAGTGTATTTTTCAGAACAGTAGCTTGTGACTGTATTTCACTCACAGGGCCACCACTGATTATTATCCCACCAGAAGATGAGTTTGTCATTGCTGGAGGTTCTGCTGTGTTCTCTTGTGCTGCGCTAGCTTTCCCTGCGCATATCACAGAGTGGACATTCGTCGATAGCAATGGAGATGCAACAATCATCATCAGCACTTATGATGGAGAAAACAACTCGAAATATGCTGTTGATAACTCGACTTCATCTCTTTTGGTCAACTTGTGGTATTCAACACTCAGTATTCAGACAGAGGGGAGTATATGTGTACTACCATCAATGAAGTTGATAGCAGGAGCGCCTTGGCATATCTCACAGTTCACGGTATGTTGCTTTAAGTTCTCAGTTCTCTATTTTGAGGAATTGTTTGTTTTACTGCAGTTCCACCAGTGATCGTATCGACTTCACCTGAAACAAGGGCAAATATAGTAGAGCAGGTTGTTCTAGTGTGTAGTGTCACTGGGTTCCCCCACCCAACTATCACGTGGTCGAAAGACGGTGAACTACTGGCAGAAGATTCAAATCGAGTCCGGACCTACGTATTTGAAGCCAGTGCCCCTGTAGCGAGTGCTAGTGGGTCTACCATTAGCCTCATAGGTAGTGGATTGGTTGGTAGTGGGTCTGCTGGCAGTGGATCAGCTGGTAGTGGCTCCATTGCTGATCTCATAAGGTGAGAGAGTCTGATACTTAAAAAATTCTTATAAACTTTAATCTTTATTCAACAGAGATGCTGTGTTTTCTGAGGAGGATATTCAGAGTCTTGGTGAGCTCGGAGTCGTGTCTGTTTTGGCGTTCCAGACACTAGTGAGAGGGGATACGGGGGATTACACATGTACCGCCACCAACAGTCTTCCTGGGAGACAGACTGGGACTAAAATGGCCGACTCACCACCCATATCTCTCACTGTACTGGGTGAGGCAAAACAGACACAAAGGGAAATGTGGAGGGTAGCAGTGCTTAATGTACTGGACTCTCAGTAGATAAAGTCACTCGTGTGGTGGCCTGTATAAGCTAATACCTCCAGGAAAATTGTCCCATGGACATATACTAAGGAGTGCCCACTTTGTTTTGTGTTGATAGAGGTTCCTGATGTGGTCAAAAACTTCACAAGTGGTCTCATTGGAGCTCGATGGGCGGCGCTGGAGTGGACCTTTGGGTTTGATGGAAACAGTGACATCATCTCTCTCAGAGTCCTCGTCACTCAAGAAGACGAGACAAACATGATCGAAATTAACCAAGATGTGAACAGGTACACCAACATGTGTGCTGAGAAAACTAGAGAGTGACTTTAATGTCTGCTATTTCTAGGTATAATGTAACGGAAGGAATTTTGCCCTTCACTTCATATGACTTCCAAGTGTCTGTTTGCAATGCCATTGGCTGTGGGGTATTCACAGATACTGTGACGGTCACAACTGAAGAAGATGGTGAGTCCAACATACTAGTCCACACTTTCCAATATGTAGAAACCTTTGACAATGTATTAATGCTCATCACACAGCTCCTGATGCAGCCCCAACCATAACTACAAGTGTCTCGCCATCATCTACTTCACTGCTGGTCTCCTGGGATCCTCCAGTGGCTGACAAACGAAACGGAATCCTCAGGGACTATATTGTCTACTACACAAGCGATGCAGAGCTGCCCATGAGTATGTGGGAGAGAACTTCTACTCCAGACAACGGCATCACTCTCACTAGACTCAGGATCTTTACTCTGTACACTGTATCAGTGGCAGCTTCAACCACGGCTGGTGTTGGTCCTTATGATACGGTGGAGTTTAGAACACTGAATGACAGTAAGATAATACAGATCAAAGCCATCAAATAATTATTGCGTGTTTGTTTACAAGCTTGCAGCGAGCCATTCGCAGTGATGTCTACAGATATTGGGGAGACAACCATCAGCCTAACATGGAGTGAATCTGCCACTCCTAACGGCATCGTTGATAGCTATTTGGTAAGTAAGACGTTTTAAGTGCACCATGTAATGGCGAGTGTGATTTTTTTTGCCTGCTATCACTCAGTTTTTACCAATACTATTGCGGTTCTATTTAGGTCTCATATGGGATTGAAGGCACAGATGATGGAGATACAGTTATCTCTGAGAGAGAAGCAGCAGTGCAGCTTGTGAATCTGAAGCCTTTCACACAGTACACTGTCACTGTGACTTGTGTCAATGGTGCTGGGCGTGGGAATTCTAGCTCTCCCCTCACAAGGACAACCAATTCAGCACGTGAGCACTCCACTTTGAACAGAGGAAGGCAGTTTCAATCTATGGGATTGTATTTATTCCAGCACCAACCCTTCCCGACGATGCAATATCGCAGGTCTCCCAACAGCCAGGTGGAAGGCAGTTCTCAGTTGTTTTCAACAAGCCCGATGAAACCAATGGCCCGATCAGGTGGGAATCAGTAGCTACAAATATGGCATGGTATATACCTACATAGCATCATAGATGGTACATATGCAGGTGTTGAAGCTGAATTATGTTACTGTTTGGTTTTACAGCCACTACCATGCAGTGGCAGTATTAGTTTCCCAAGACTCTGCGTCAGACGGCTCACTTGGTGACCCTGACACTGATTTCAACTCATTCGATTCAATCGACAGCGTCTACTCTCCTGCCTGCGAGAAAGTTTCGCAGACAACAGCATACATTGCAGCAGAGTTTGGCAGTGACGAATTCCAAGGGAGCACTCTTGAGTTTACATTTGGAAAAGAAGAAGATACGGTGAACGACAGAGAGCGCTACACTAATGGCCCTCTCTGCTACTCCACAAGCTATGGCTTCTTTCTCCGGGTTTACAATGATGTGGTAAGTATTAACCTTCACTTGTCTTTGATTGGCATACTATGGATTTCTCTGTCTGTGCTGTACAGAGTGACAATAATGTCCGGAGATCTGTGAGGCAGACGGCTAGTGACCGGCAGTACAACAGATTCAGTTCAAGTGGATATGTGACTTACAACACTGGTTAGTTTGCTTCCACTTTTATATAATATATGAGCCATCACGCCACTCTATTTTGCTCCATAGAATCTGCACCATCAGGTGGAAGCAGCAGTAGTAACAGTGGTGCTATTGCTGGAGCGGTGGTTGTGGTGATTATACTGCTTTTTGCAGGAGTTATTGTGGCTATTGTGATAGTATTTGTTATGTGAGTTCAGAAATTCACATTACACCACTATATAATACCGGAGTGAGAGAGAATAAGAGCCTTATTCCCTCTTTCTATCGCAACTTGTGTTCATGAGAAGTGAGAGAGAAATATTATTCCCCCTTTCAGTTCACATTTAACTCATATGTACCATAATTCTATTCTTATCATAGTAAGAAAAAGCGGGTTACTGTTTACAAGACTCACACTGAAGTAAGTTTCTGTGAAACGATTTTCTAGTGTATGGATAACTGCGGGGTTTTCATTGCCGTGTAGGCTGTGGATTTCGACACGTCATTCTATCAGAATGAGCACGTCGAACTGACAGACTACCGGAGCCCCGAAGAAGGTCTGCCATTCTCACACTTATACAGACATCCTCAACACCAGCTAGGTGTTGTAGATGCAGTGGGCAAACTTTCTCCCTGCTACTTAAGTATTCATTAGGCTCACCTTTTCAATACAACTCGAAGTTGCTCCCCTTATCTGCTATTGAGTAGGCTTGAAGCACGAATTGCAGGATCTCTGTTAGGCCTGGACTTTGCATATACCACACATTAAATACAGTTTGCTGCTAACTTAGCAGTGCTGTCTAGTGAATGCGCTCCTGGTAGCCTTTATAAACTCGTGATGCCAGAGAGAGAAGTTGCGGTATGCTCTGCTGATGAGGGCCAACAAGCCCGAAACAGCTGTCCAGAGCTCCACATATTTTTTCTCTTGGCATCACATGGTCTAATACCTTCATGGGAATGTCTGTCTGTGGTGTTGTGTCTTGTGCAGGTGGAGGTCGTGAACCCATTGAAGTCGGGCAGCTTGCCTCGCATGTGGAGCAACTGCACTTGAACGAGAACTGCATGTTTGGGGAGGAATACAAAGTATGTAACACACACTATGCATTCCAAATGAAAAGATCGTGACACACAGTATACCTTTACACCAGTCTCGCGGGCCTGCTGGGCTTGCTAGACTATATACTATTCTCACACATTCAATGAGATGCTTTGTGACTGCAGGTCCTGCAAGAAACGAGTCCAAAGCACCCAGTAGAAGCCTGCATACACTCAGACAACAAGCAGATGAACCGATATGCAAACATACAATGCTGTGAGTTTCCCTGGAACTATACTAAGTCACCCATGCATGCATTATCAGAAATGCTTTCAATGACCGCTTGGTTCTTTGCAGTTGATCACTCCAGATGTGTCTTAAAACCAGTTGAAGGACAAGAACACGACTACATCAATGCCAACTTCATAGACGTGAGCACTCACAGTTTTAGCTAAACCTTTACCGGACTGCTGATATGGTTGTAGGGCTACAACAGGCGTCAAGAGTACATTGCAACGCAAGGCCCTCTTCCAAACACAGTGGAAGACTTCTGGAGGCTCGTCTGGGATTACAATGTGTTCTCCATAGTCATGCTCACCAACCTCACTGAGAAGATGAAAGTAGGTTGTATGGGAGACATTATGTAGCATGTTGATCACTATATATTTTGCACATTCTATATAGAATATGTATAAAGACTGTGTTTGCTATAAGAGCCGCATCCATTTGTCCATAGGTCAAGTGCAGCCAGTACTGGCCTAGCGCAGACAGCCAGACGTATGCTGGCATCACAGTCACTTTCAAAACCATTACTAACAATGCTGATTTCGTGGTTCGAACATTTGACGTGAAAAGGGTAAGGTGTTAATAGGCGTCTCAGCATAATTTAGCTGTAACCTTCACTTTCGATATGTCACATACTATGTTGTCTGTGTTCAGGTTGACTCAGAGGAGGTTCGACAGATCCACCAGTTCCACTACGTCTCCTGGCCTGATTTTGGTGTCCCTCGGCATGCCACCCCCGTGCTCCACTTCCTGCGTCGCATCAGAGACATCCACCACTACAACAACTCACAACCAATGCTCATCCACTGCAGGTTTGGAAGGCTTGTATATATACCTCTAGTGTATCTCTGTGCATTCTATATAGAATGTGAGCCATAGAATCTAGTACTGCTAGGGTAGGGTGAACCCCCTAATAGGAGGATGTCAAAAGCCTACCCAGTTGCGTGGTCTTTCCTGACAATGTTTCTCTTACTTGACTGTGTGCGTGTGTGAGCATTGCATAGAGTGACGTGTTCGCCCGTTCAAAATGCTCATTCTAGCTAACTGTCTTCTTGTTTTACTATAGTGCTGGTGTGGGTCGTACTGGTTCTCTTATTGCCATTGATGTGGAGCTGCAGCGAGCACAGAAGGAGGGGGTGGTTGATCCCTTCAATTATGTCATCAAAATGAGAGACCAGAGAAACCTGATGATCCAAACTGAGGTACACACAACTATTGTACTAAGTTGGCAGGAAATTTTTGAGGGACAAAACTGATTGGCAGGTAAAAGGTTGTGTATAAAAGCGCGATCCCTGCACACAAATTTTTGCGAGAAAACCTACGTGTAAGGGTCTCAAAAAAAGTTGTCTCTCTTGAAGGTATTCAAGTTGTGAAAGTCCCAGGTGAAAGAGTTTACTTTACTGACATGGTCCAACCTTCAGTTCTGCCCACTACAGCAGAGGACAATCAATTAGCTACCTGCAGTGGACACAAAACTGTATTCATCTGTGGTTGTTTTTTACCCCCACATCACAGGCTCAGTACATATTCCTGTACGATGCCATATTGGAGGGGACGACATCGAGAGGGACAGAGATCCCGGTGGAAGGCCTCTCCAGTAGAATGAAGGAGCTGGAACTGATGGACGGGGAGGGAGAGACCGGCTACCGAGTCGAGTTTAATGTAAGTATGCAGAGAGAGCAGTTGATCAGCGTGTAGCATAATAACCTGGGTACTAAGCAACTGTGTTGAACATTGTGTGTACCAGTTGGTATCATATTTACCAGCTATTATCAGTTTGACCTTTTCCACAGAGGTTGCGTCAGTTCAGAGTGAACATCAAGGAGTTCACTGATGCCAATGACAATGCCAACCAGTTCAAAAACAGACTGGCCAATGCCCTGCCATGTGAGCTGAATTATGATCATATGTATATACCCCACTAATACTGGTCAAGGTTGTCGATCTGTCAGTGAGTACTGGCATCGTTTATACAGAATGTTAGGTGACTGGAGTGTATAGTATATTTTCTTTATGGAATTTATGTTTTTTGGTTTTTCAATTGAGGTTGAGTGGGAGTGTCCACACTAATATTGATAGCTTTTACTTTTACTCTCTACAGACAACGACAATCGAGTGTACTTGACTACACAGCTGGGTGTCTGTGGCTCTGACTATATCAACGCCAGCTTCATTGACGTAAGGCCACTCACTACCACGTAAATTTTCTTGCCACGCTATTACGTGAATGAATATCCATGGATGGGTCATCTACATACATTACGTACTTAAGAGGTCTACTCTACCTCCCCAATGCGTGGTGCAACTTTTATGTACAGCACGCTACACTCATGAGATTAGACTCTCCTCCCATTCCCTCGTCTATCTATCTATGTATTTATACAGGGCTACACTCGTAAGGGGACGTTCATAGCCACCCAGGGCCCCCTGCCTCAGACCATCAACGACTTCTGGAGAATGGTGGCCGAGAAAGACGTCCACGTCATTGTCATGCTAACTCAGCTCGAAGAGAAGGGAAAAGTACGCACCGTAGACAGCAATCTATAGCTGGAGACTTTCAAGGAAGAAAGCTTTGGTGGCAAACGTGAATTTCGTGGAGAAAACTTTGCAATTCGCGAAAGTTTCTCCCTTGAAGTTTCTTACTGTGCAGTAATTTGTGTGACATGTTTAAAAACAATTTGCACCTTTCAAATTGTGAAAAGTGTGTGGTGGAAGGTAATTTTGTGTGTTTATAGATAGTGATACTTCTCTAACCAGAACAAATGTTCAAAACTGAGAGGCGTCTAATTCACTGTGCCAGTTCAGTGAATGTTGTTGTTGGTGAATATGCAGGAGATGTGTGCGTGCTATTGGCCAAAGGAGGTGTCGGGTACGGAGACCAGAGGAAGTCTCTCCACTGAGCTCCTCTCAGAGGAGCCTTTCCAGGACTTTACTCACAGGAAGATCAAACTTGACCAGACTGTCAAGGTAGGGCATTAACTATTGTGTCTCAGCCTTTAGAGTGGTGCTTTAGTTTTGGTCCAGAAGAATGGAAATACATGGCACGCATTTAAACTGGCCATATGAAATAAATGGCGGAATCCGGATTTTTCAAGTGCAACTGCCAAACCACACAAATTAAATGACTGCCAAAGTATACAAACTCTCTCTCTCTTCTCACCTCCCTGTTGCCAAAGTATACAACACTCTCTCTCTCTCTCTCTCTTCTCACCTCCCTGTTGTTATGTGCTCAGGGTTCCCTGGTGTCTCGAGTGGTGCATCACTTCCAGTTCACGGCGTGGCCGGAGAACGGAGCCCCCGAGGAGGGTGCCGGGATGATTGATCTGATTGGACAGGTCCTCAGGGTCCAGCAACAGACTGGAGAGAAACCCATCATAGTACACTGCAGGTAAACCCATCATAGTTCACTGCAGGTAAACCCATCATAGTACACTGCAGGTAAACCCACCATAGTACACTGCAGGTAAACCCATCATAGTACACTGCAGGTAAACCCATCATAGTACACTGCAGGTAACCCATCATAGTACACTGCAGGTAAACCCATCATAGTTCCTGCAGGTAAACCCATCATAGTACACTGCAGGTAAACCCATCATAGTACACTGCAGGTAAACCCATCATAGTACACTGCAGGTAAACCCATCATAGTACACTGCAGGTAAACCCATCATAGTACACTGCAGGTAAACCCATCATAGTACACTGCAGGTAAACCCATCATAGTACACTGCAGGTAAACCCATCATAGTACACTGCAGGTAAACCCATCATAGTACACTGCAGGTAAACCCACCATAGTTCACTGCAGGTAAACCCATCATAGTACACTGCAGGTAAACCCATCATAGTACACTGCAGGTAAACCCATCATAGTACACTGCAGGTAAACCCACCATAGTACACTGCAGGTAAACCCACCATAGTACACTGCAGGTAAACCCATCATAGTACACTGCAGGTAAACCCCCATAGTACACTGCAGGTAACCCATCATAGTACACTGCAGGTAAACCCACCATAGTACACTGCAGGTAAACCCACCATAGTACACTGCAGGTAAACCCATCATAGTACACTGCAGGTAAACCCACCATAGTACACTGCAGGTAAACCCATCATAGTACACTGCAGGTAAACCCATCAAGTACACTGCAGGTAAACCCATCATAGTACACTGCAGGTAAACCCACCATAGTACACTGCAGGTAAACCCATCATAGTACACTGCAGGTAAACCCATCATAGTACACTGCAGGTAAACCCATCATAGTACACTGCAGGTAAACCCACCATAGTACACTGCAGGTAAACCCATCATAGTACACTGCAGGTAAACCCACCATAGTACACTGCAGGTAAACCCATCATAGTACACTGCAGGTAAACCCACCATAGTACACTGCAGGTAAACCCACCATAGTACACTGCAGGTAAACCCATCATAGTACACTGCAGGTAAACCCATCATAGTACACTGCAGGTAAACCCATCATAGTACACTAGATACACTCTGATACACAGTAGAACCTATGAACAGGAGACACCAAAGATCCTTTACTCAGAGGCATCCGATCTAATGCATTGGGCAGAACCAATTTTTGGAGGGTCTTTTTTCATTGCAGCTTATGTGTGGGCCACCTGAGTCCCTGTACAGTAGAACTACCTGTAAGGCTCTTGGGGACCAGTGCTAGCTGCCCCTATTACATACCACCAAACAGAAAACAGACTAGCATATTATGTATGAATTTCTCACTCTGTGTTTGCAGTGCTGGCATAGGTCGAACAGGTGCCTTCTGTGCTCTGAGTATAGCCATAGAGAGGGTGAAGGAAGAGGGCCTCATCGACGTGTTCCACACCGTCAAACATCTCCGCACGCAGCGACCGCACATGGTCCAGACTCCCGTGAGCAATCGTCTTCACTCTCTCATATCATATTTCCCTCTCTCTCGTCCTCTCACACACTTTCTCAACAATGTACCATTCCCACCTCTCTCGTCTCACTTTCTCTCTCGTCTAAGCCGTTGCGACTTCTAAGATAGAAAGCAATGTGTGCAAGCTTCAGAAAATCACATACACAGTATCTGTCACATGTGTGCACATATTCCTTTCTCCTCTAACATGAAATATAGACAGATAGTGATGTCAATACATACAGTACATGTCCATAATGTCTCTCTCTTCCGCTATAGGAGCAATACATATTCTGCTACAGAGCTATCAGCGAGTATGTTTCCTCTCTCGACCAGTACTCCAATTTCGTTTAACACTCACACAACAAACACTAAAGTTCCTATTCCACACCACATGTACGTAAATGATTACACCTCTAGCGTCTATACAGGTAGCATTTTCTATTGTATTTTATTGTATTTTATGGGAGAACCTTATGTTTGTCATATAAGATGATTCAGTAATGTATTACAACAGAGGGAGCAACATAACACGGACATTAATTACTTACTGTCACGATGATGCCAGAATGGAGTGATGCAAATATACGCTAAAAACACAGAGTCTTACAACTATTTTGTCCCCGAGACTGTACTACTGGTCTCCTGAGGATCCTCGCTCTGCTTCGGTTCCCTCTCTCCCTCCTCTCTCTCCTCCCCCTCCCTCTCCTCCTCCCTCCCTCTCTCCTCCTCCTCACACCCACTTGCGTTGTCTTCCGAAAGGAGAGAAACGGCCTTCTCCCTGAAGTGGCTCTCCACGGTTGACTCTGGACTAGAGGGAGTATCTTCCTTCCCACTGTCCTTGTCTTCCTCGTCCAGTGGACTACTCTCGCGGGAGACTCGTGACTGCCCCTCTTTCTGCGCTGGGTTTGTCTCGCCGCTAGAGTGCTGGGCGTTGAGTCTGAGGGCCTCGATACGGTGGTCTACGGCACTGAACAACTGCTGAATGTCTTTGTTGTTACCCTGAGCAAGATGAGGCCGAGGGAAAGAGAGAGAGAGAGGATTATTCCTCTCTTCCCAAGCACTGTATAAAGCTGTCCCATAATATTTCGAGTATTATGGGACAAAATGGGTCGGGCAAGCAACATTAAATTTAGTCAACACAGTCTGCGCCGTGAGCACAGCGTGCTAAACCAAAAATTATTTGCTTCTCAGTTTGTGAAATTTCCCAGGGTACTTTGATACAGTATTATGTATAGCTGAAAGAGCGGTTAGCTCCTTGCTGTTTAAAGTGAGTCGGGGAATAAGAGGGAGGGCTCACTGTGATGAGAAAGACGGCGATGTCGTCTCTGTCCTGGGCGGTGATCCTGATACTCTTCTGGTTAGCTCTCTCACACTTCATCTCGGCCCACAGGTGGGTGTTGAACAGCACTCGATAGCTGCCCGACGCTCGCATCACTGGTAAAGAGAAAGGCTTTGTGACAGACTGCATGGTCTTCAGTAATATGAGTGTGAGTGTCAGGCTGGCAGCCTGGTGTTAGAATATGCCACAAGAGTGAGGGAGGGCCTTTATTAGTTAGTCCAATTAATATAAACCCCAGTACGCAACCAGACCGGTAAGCCACCAGACCTAATGCTGCACTGTACAATTAGTCCTGGTATCAGCCCATATTCTCCTCTATTTGTCTGGGTGACTTTATACTTCCTCACAAACACGGATCAGTGGAACCCCTTCTAATCTGGACACCAATGGGATAGCAGGTGTCCTCATTTGTCCTTAGAGTGGGGTTCCACTGCAGCAGGATCACAGGTGGGGCACACTATCTCACCAAGTCTGGACTGGAAGAGCCCCTCGCTCTGGCAGGAATCATTGAGACGAATGTCTCCTCTTCCTCGCTCCTTCCAGGAGTGAGTGGCCGCATCAAATGCATACAGTCTGGCATTGATCTACACAGAGAACGTAGTAGTAATTACTAGAGGAATGCAACGCATTGTTGGTGAGCGAGTGCGAGCAGTTCAATATTTCTCGCGTGTTTTGCGCGTATTTAGAATCACGTAGAGCATTACGGTACGTATGTGCAGTGCCTGACAGAGCCGTCACACAGGTGGAGGTTCAAAAGGCAGCACTGCCTCACACCACAGCAGCAGTAGGTGGAGATGCAAAAGCCAGCACTGCCCCACACCACAGCAACAGTAGGTGGCTCAAAAGGCAGTTGCCAAGAGTTAAAGTAGAGAACAAATCCCAACAGTGAGACTTTGAACTACAAAGAATTTACTCTACCTGTTCTCAGACAGCTACATAGGTATTCAGGAAGTGCGCCTTGTTCCCGGAGCCCCAGGATATTTTTACAGACATTACACTGCAATGCCCTACTTCTGACATGCCTCTCAGACAGAGAGAGGCTAGAGGCATCATTGAATCACAATCCGTCATTTTTCTATCTGGAGGAAAACCTTGGAACGAGGCTACGATACGTGTGAGTGTTGAGCCACAATAGAACGGCTGAGGGGGTAAAGTGGTCTACCACATTTACACCACCTTTGACACTAGTTTCGAAGGAGAAAAACATTTCAGAGCATTCAACTACATACTTCTCTAAAGAAATAATGAGCCACTCTACCCACGCACGTACACACCTGGACAATCTTCATCTCTCCCTCTTCTCCTGTGACTCTCTGGACCTCTGGCAGCAGGACTGGCACCACGGATGACGAGGAGCTCGCTGCTCCCGCCGCTTTACTCTCCCCCACACCCCCCTCCTCTCCCCCACTCCCTTCTCCCCCTCCTCCCACCTTCCCCTCCTCACCACGTCCCTCCTCCACTGGTTGCACCTCCCTCCCTCCCTCCACCCTACCAAACGTGCTGCCGCTACTGCTGCTGCCGCCAGTCATACTTGACAGAGACGAAAATGTTGGAACTGTACTGCTTACAAATGCATGCACATGGGTGGAGAAAAAGGAAAAATACTTATGATAACAATAACAGTGTAAAACACATGTTCCTGACATAACATAGCTCTAAAAAAGCTATATACTATATACATACATATTAAGTTGGACTATAGATGTGAGCCTACCCACATTTTTAGATCAATAAAATGCATGGGGGGTGGTGAATATTAAATAATAGTTAGACGCTGATTCGAGGTAACTACGCGCAGTAGAAAGCCGAGAGCCCCGGCATTGTGGCGCCCCGAGCGCAGCGAGGGCGCTACCCCCGGGGCACGAGGCTTTCTACCGGCGCGTGGTTACCGAGGAATCAGCGTCTAACTATTTTAGAGTGAGCGCTTCACGTTGAGCGCTCTGGCTTTCCTGTTCTTTCGTATGGCGGAGCGCGTCTAACGATGACTCGATGGAGACAGGCTCAGAGCGCCAGAAAATGCAGTGCAAGAAGAGCGAAGCGGCAGAGACACGCGGTAGCGACTCCGCCTTCTTTTTCTGGTTGCGCGCAGGGGGGTCTGCGCGTGCGCGTGGACGACGTGTCAATGTAGATTCAGTTGTTGATCTTGTTGTTTACATGTACATTTTGTTATGTTTTCCTGTTTTATCTGTAGGTTTTGTAGTTTCTGTAGGTTTACTATATAGTAAACCCCGTCGAGGTTTACTACGGGAAATAGTAAACCTCGGCTTTGCAATCTGATTGGTCAATTCGAACCTAGCTCACTCTAAATAATAAAAAGCAATGAGTGGTGGAAAGGAATTCTCTATAGACTTGCTCACACTAGCCTGCAAAATGTGTGCTGAATTAATCCAGTATACGCTTCTAGCATATGATAAGCTGGGAACACAAATTGAAAATGACGACGAGAGTGTGTAAGCTCTACCTAAGGAGAGGCTACATACACAACTGACCTGGCGGACTGGATGAAACCGGAGAAAGATCCAGTCTTTGCCTCTGCTGTGTGGTTGAAGACGTCTCTACCATTGATAGCGGCAGGCGACGAGGCGGAGGAGGCGAGGATGGGGTTCAGCTCACTGTTATCCAACTTGAGGAAACCAACTGAACGGACCGACAGAAAATCACAACATTGAGCAGTCAGGAGGCAATAGTGCAGTGCACATACACATAGGCTTTTTAGCTATATACACTTCTTGATCTTGTATATATACTTTTGTACGGAACCAAATGTTCCACACTGTTGTACAGCACATCAGACGGATCGTGTTCTACTCCATTTCTTGTTCATTCAGTGAGATTGATTGTGTACGGCAGGTGAACGTGGCGCAAAAAGACCAACACACACAAAACCAACAGTTATATAACACACTCAATACGTGTACGTAGTGCACACATGTATATAGAGTGTATGTTTACCTTCAGTGGATGGTCCAGCAGAACTGCTTTTCTCCACTGAACATGACCCTATGCGTGTATGTATGTGTTGATATGTACACGTACATACACATGAGAGGAACCGATAAAATCTAGCTACTATGGACATCAAGTAGTTACACACATCAATCCCATGGCTTACCAGCAACAGTAATTAACATACGGCGCATTCTTGCAAACACAAGCAGACACGAGCACCTTTACTGGGTTCACTCATATTCTACGTTGTTACACACGCCAAAGGTTTTATCAGCATATTATTATACATTCTGCGGTGATGTAGGAATAATTATGTTTGGATAAAATGCGGACGTCTACACAAATGCATTAAAACTCAGCGCTGCCGTTAAACCCACACGTTTTCTGTGAGCGAACCCAATAGAAGTGCTAATGATTAATTGGGCAAAACAAAATCAAAGGTTTGGCATGTGCATGTGTGGTGTACCGGAGGTGGAGGGAGGAGTGAGAGTGGACTGTCTCAAGATGAGACCTTGAGTGGCCTTGTGCAGGGGAGACGGTCGGAAAGAGAAGCCGCTACTCAGAGCCGGCTTCTTGGCTGGCTGGGTGTCCCCCTCATCACCCTCCCCCTGCTCCTGCCCCTCCCCCACCACGTCCTCCTCCGGTACCTGGGTGTCTGCTGACCGCTGCACATGGGGAAAAGAGCGCACATCACTTACGAAGCCACAGCACTATTGACAGGAAGCCGGCGGCCTAGCAGAAGAAATTTTATTTGCTAACCTTGAGATTCTTCTCTTTTTCTCCGGTCTCTTCCATCACTCACAGCGGCAGGCTACACTTCCTCTCGTTAGTTTACGATGCAAACAAACAAGTGAGTGCTCTCCTGAGAGTTTTGGTGAGCATTGTTTAGAATAATGGTGTTGCGCATGCGCGAAGATTTTGCGCAATGCGCAGTTAGGTAGTTATTTCGAAACTAAGAAACTCGACGACAAGCGCCCAAACCTGCCGAGCCATGGACGTGGCGTCTCTGATCCCCCAGATGGACATAGGCCAGTCCGTCAACATACAGAGGAGCGACGGTATGAAAGTCAAAGTCGTGGTGTGCACTAAAACTCGCTAGTGTACGTGTGTATATGGAACAGCCTATGGTTTCCGTGTAGCTACTCTCTTGGTCTATAATCCGTGTCTGTAGGTCGTATCCACGCGGCTGCCATCACGAGCGTGGACGAGGAGAGGCGGGTGGTGAGTGTGGAGTGGTTTGAGAATGGAGAGACCAAAGGGAAGGAGGTCAGGAAATGGGCAGCCATATGTACACACATACATAGCTACGTACTTCTCCACAGCACCTCCTATTGTGTCCATAAATTTGGACAAAGCTGTATTTTATTGGGCTCTATTTAGAAATGCATAGTTGAGCTCTTTTCGGCTGAGCCTTGCATTTGCTGTGCACGCAGTATTCTAGTAGTGTATTCTGAACACTCCCTGCTCTGCCAGAGTGTCGTGGGTTCAAGTCCCACCTGGGGCAGCTCTATTTTCCTTGGAAAAAAGGAGTTGTCCTTGGCGTAGTTGCATTGCCTTTGCCTTGCGACCTTGTTGCTGTTTACATCACACTTGCTCACTAGGAAAGTTTTGAAGACGCGATGGACTCTGGGAAAAAATAACGTTATGTCATACGTGAAGGGTTCTCATTGTGTGGTGTATGTAATTGATTTCGTCATCCAGTCATTAATGAATGGGGTACATATACATACTGGTGTCCACTGTGTTAGATTGACCTGGAGCAGGTGTATGAGCTGAACAGAAGGCTATTTGTACCCAAGTCAACCAGGTCCAGTCGCAAGACCCTGGCCACCCCAAAAGAAAAGGTGCTCTTACTTACGCATGCAGTGCACATGTGCAGCAAAGATCTTGTACGAAGTGGAGATTTTAAAGAAGCATTTTGGTGTACTGTCCAGGTGCCAGGGAACCAGCTAAAGGCAGTGGAAAATGTTCCAAAACAACCATCTAAAGGTGCATCTTTATGATCATCTTAATTTTTTGTGGTATCATAATTATACAAACAGGTTTAGTGTTTATATTTTTTGAATCGCCAAATTTAAAGATGGCAAAATTTTAGCTGCTTCACGCAACTGCATGCACTGACTGCTCTAGCCGCCTAATATTTACAAGCATGATTGTGTGTGTTGTTATCATTGCTGTGTGTTGTAGGATTGGTAGCCCCAAGTTCTCAAATCCAGCCTCCCAACCAGCCAGCCTCCTACCGCCTACGCTCTCGTCAGCCCAACTCCAGTGTCGTCAACCAACAGCCACCAGCACCTCAGCAGTCGTCTCAACCCTCGGTCAAGAAACAACTCCCCCAGGCTCCTCCACCCTCCGGGAAGAAGCAGATCCCTCCGTCACAGTCTGTGGCCGCACCCGTCTCCCACCTCCCTCCTCCCCCTCCTCCCGCCTCATCCGACAGGGATAAACCCGCCAACGAACCACCAAACTCCGCCCCTAATAACAAACCTAATGCTGGTGGGTGTGGCTTTGTGTAGCTCTGCATATTCTCTTCGTCTCCTCACCATACTGCATAGTATACAAATTCTAAGGGAGAATATTTCGTGCTTCAGTAGAGAGGAATCTCATTGTTTGCGAGGGCCATTGTACAAATTTCAATGGCCTTTGAACCGTGGAACTAGCCACGGTTTTCTTTTATGAAAGTCATGTTAGTTACAGTTTGGCTTGTCGGTAAATCACATTCCTCCACACCTTGTCTCCTTTTCTCCATCACAACTATTATCAGTACGTGTATTTCATAGGGACAAGCGATCCTGGATGTTTTACCATTGCCATCCTCATTGTGTGTGTTATAACTTGTGGCAATTTTGTGGATTACACTTGTTGTTGTGTGTTGTGTGGGCAGGGCGGAAGTCCAGCTGTGTGCGGGAGGTGGAGAGACTGAAAAAGAACAGAGAGGAGAGGAGGGCTAGGCTGGCTGGTAAAATCGCTCAGAGGAAAGAGGTGTGTTTTACCCTAAATAACTCTGCGGTCAGATTTTGTATCTAAAATGCTCGTAAAAAATATCGCCCGAAATTTGGCAGTTATTGCATGCTGTTTGTTAAATGAATTTACGTGCATCTGCCAAACTAACTTTCTGATTTTTTTTATATTGCAGGACTATGACACGAGTCACCCTCAGTGGGAGTTCCTACAGATGATAAGGTATGTTTCCCCTGCTCGCTATTGCTGGTTGGTGTGTATAGTATGGGATCTCTTGATCTGAAGGGAGTACTGCAGTCATTTGGACCTGAGACCTCTGGTGGGAAATGAATCAGTAAGTTGCACACATTTGTTGAACGCTACAGTATTAAAATGAACGTTACCATCAATAAAGGGGGTTGGTCTTACCAAAAAACTATTGCAATTTGCCATTCATTCAAGGATTCACTGTCCTGAGACCAAAAGAACTACCCAGCCTAGCTTTTGTTTGAAGAGGATGCTCGGCATCAATTTTACTCACTGCATTGTGTGTGGTTTTTTCTTCAGGTAACATTCCACAGAATCTGTGTGTGTGTTAGAAAGAGACCGCTCAACAAGAAAGGTGACGTCTTTCCCATCTCTCCTCTTCCTTCATGTACCCAGTAGTTACACAACCTATACTTACACATGTATCTCCCTCCAGAGCTGGGAAGGAAAGAAGTCGATGTCATTACTGTCCCCGACATGTCAAGTGTACTGGTATGAAAATTAGGCAGCATGCAATAATGTTCTCAATATCGCATGTTTGACAACACACTATACTCTAACTCTGCATTTGCTTGCCTCTCGTGCCTGTGATCTATACATAGATACCAGTCGGTTTTGGTCGCATGAGCAGCGAGGGTTACAGTAGTGGTGGGAGACCACGAGTAAACGCATACTCATAGCCCGGCCCATCAATTATCGGTACCGCGCATGCACAGTTCGCCGAGGGTTTACACTTTTAGTGCTTTGCATTATATACTGTATGTATGTGTAGGTACACGAACCCAAGACGAAAGTGGATTTGACAAAGTATCTGGAGAACCAAAATTTCCAGTCAGTGTTCGTGTCGGTCAACATGTACGTATATCATGTATGATGTGCCCTTTGTTTTGCTTCTATGCAGTTTTGACTATTCATTTGATGAGAGCGTACAAAACGACACGGTATACAGGTATGTCTGAACATCTGTGGACTGGAACCATTAACAAGTAATCCTAGAAAATTTCTGTTAAACATTGTGTATAATTTTTTCTACTGAGTTGTGAAGACAAAAGGTTCCCTAAGAAATGGAAGGATCCTACATACATTCTCTCAGCCATGATATGTGTGTGTGTGTGTGTCTGGCGTGCCCCCAGGTTCACAGCACAGCCTCTGGTGCACACCATCTTCCAGCAGGGGATGGCCACCTGCTTCGCCTATGGCCAGACAGGGAGTGGCAAGACACATGTGAGTCATGCACTGGCAGTACTTCTTCTTCTAGGTTGTCGTGGGTGGGGGGGTGTGTGTTGGAGTGTGTCATGGTTGGCAGTGTTGCGCTGTAGTTGAGATGGTTGGGAGCCCCCTTGCTGCTGAAAAAACCTCGAGATGTTTGAGAAATCTACCTGTGATAAAGCGGGGTAACACCAGACATTATACATTTCTTACATGGTCGCATAACTTTTGGGACCAGGGGTCCTACTTTTTACGTTCCAAGTATAAGTTTTCTTGTGGAATGATGGTTGGGTTGTTTAGTATGATGTATGTATTTTGTGTATATGTAGACTATGGGAGGGAGTTTTGTGGGGAAAGAGCAAGACGCTACCAAGGGAGTATATGCACAAGCAGGTACTTTTATACCTACAGATGAACCAGGTAATAATACTTTTGTACATATTCTCTACAGCTGCAGATGTCTTCAAGCTGCTGGAGCAGCCCGAACACTCTCAGAAAAAGTTGGAAGTGTGTGCCAGCTACTTTGAGATCTACCTCGGCAAGGTCCCTCTATACACATGTAACCTTACTACCATAGATACCTTTTACACAATACATACATGTACTGTACACCCATTTCTGGTGCTTTGATAGTGCCCCCTTGATGTTATGCAGTTTCAGGTGCATTCGAGGGTCGTGTAGTAAAAAGGTATTAGCTATGTGTATATACTGTGTGTATGTAGGTGTTTGACCTCCTGAATAAGAAGTCTCGACTGAGGATCCTGGAGAATGCCCAGCACGAGGTCCAGATAGTGGGGCTGAAGGAGGAGCCAGTCTACGACCTGTCTGACGTACTCAGACTCATCAGCTCGGGGAACTCCTGCAGGTATTGCCAGCATCTAACATTCTCAAGATTCTCAGAACCCCGTGTCAAATCTTCGGGGGTCCGAGGATATTTGATTGTTCTGCCAGCAATGCAGCCTCCAATACACTCAAGTGGAGCGTACAGTAGAACTGCCAATAGAGGACACTCCAAATAGCACAGTTAGCACATTTTAACCCCCAAAGAAGGGAAAACGTCAAAGGACAAAAGGGCTGGTCCCAACAATGTGTCCATTATTCGGAGGTTCCACTGTACTCTGTGTGTTATTCTCAGAACTTCAGGGACGACGTCAGCCAACCAGCACTCCTCTCGTTCTCACGCCGTCTTCCAGATTATCCTCCGCAAGAGGTACGTGTGTGTGTGTGTGTGTGCACTACTGATCCACACACTCTCCACCCTCAATTGCCATTGAATGGACTATTGTACATATATGTGGCTGGCTGTTTAGTTGGTTGTTTTTGTGGGTCAATATTAATTTTTTCACAAAGGTGTGCGGATTGTGCACATTCATTTAAGAACTGGCTGTATAGGGTATGTTGTATGTATAATTTATGAATGGTGCAGACAAAGTGGAAAGCTGCACGGAAAGCTGCACGGAAAGCTGTCTCTAATCGACTTAGCAGGTGAGTCCACTAAAATCTATATAGCCCTCAGTGTTCAATGGGTGTGTATATATATATTATACAGGTAATGAGAGAGGTGCTGATACGGCCAATTCAGACAGGAATACGAGGATGGAAGGAGCTGAAATCAACCGCAGCCTCTTGGCTCTCAAGGTCGACCATTTGCCTCCCCTGAAAAAATGCTGGCTCGGTGGGCTCGCTTTGTTCACCAATAATATTGGATAATACAAGACTAGTAGTGTGCTAACAAGTTTTCTGTTTTACTAGCTGGTTTGTGTAGTTTACCAGCAAACCAAACACAGCTGATACTGAATGTCGTGATGTTCGTGCAGGAGTGTATCAGGGCTCTGGGGAGGAAGGGAGCTCACTGCCTTTCAGAGGAAGCAAACTAACACAAGTCAGTCACTTTTATATCTGTGTTGTACCACTTACATACACACCTTTGGAAGAAGCTAGCACACGAGGTGATGGACATGCATTTTACTAATGCATCTGTGTTAACACTACTGCATAGGTTCTAAAAGACTCTTTCATAGGAGAAAATATTCGGACATGTATGGTGAGTCCACTTTACATTGCGCACCCAATGATCATGTATATAGCGAGTTTACTGTGAGTGTGATTATGTAATGTTGTATCATTCAGATTGCAATGATCTCACCTGGACTCAGCTCCTGTGAACACACTCTCAACACACTCCGCTACGCAGACAGGTGTGTGTTCTTATGGGAATTACTAGTAGGCGAATGCATTGCATTTTTGGCAAGCGGGAGCGAGCACACAATGACTGTATCTGCACGAGCCATCATAGCAGCATGTAGAAGCATGTTATCCTGACGCATGCACAGGTAGCACATGTGAAACGAAATGATTTCGGATAAAAAGAAGCGCGTAATGAAGCCGTGCATGCGCACTTACATGACATACGCGGTCGTATATAAATAAATATAAATAGAAAATTGTGTGGACCACTAGGTTAGCTCGCTCCCACTCGCCAATTATGAAGATTCAGTGGCAATTGAGAATTTCGTGTTGTGGATTACTTGTGTATATACAAACTTTCAGAGTGAAGGAGCTCCAGTCAGGAAGGGCAGGGGGAAGAGGAGGGGGAAGAGGAGGGGGAGGAGGGGGGCAGGAGGTAGTAATGGCAGAGTCACCTCCTCTGGATGCTCTGCCCGCTGGTCAGGGCGACAGTGATGAAGAATACATCGAGGTGCATTGGGCGAATGTAGATTTGTACGGTCACTATCTTTGAGGGTAATTTCACAAAATAAAAGAAAGCAAAGTAGCCTATTGCATGTATTAATATATAAGTACGTGTGATTATTCCCAGAAGGATGATGAATTGGATAGGAGCAAGGAGATGATAACGTTCCAGCAGGCATGCTCCAATATAGTGGAGAGTGAGGAACAGCTCGTGGAAGATCTATACACTCTCATACAGGTCTGTGTTACAATTGTGAACAGTCAACAATACTGCACAGAAACTGCGATGTCACTGAAATTTGTTCCTCTTCCTCTACAATATGTTTCAACCTTTATTATTAATTTGCATAGCTGTGACTCTCAGGCTCGCTTGCCAAATAATAATTGTGTAGCATTTGTTCGATATAGTATATAGTACACTGTGGTAGTAGTGACATTAGCAGATCCCTACCATGGTGGCCGCAGCAGTGGAGTGGCAGTATTTACATCAGTGTCGTGAGGTGTTGGGGCGTCTACTTACAACTGTGTGTGTCGTGTGGTGGTTGCAGGAGGACAGACAGTTACTGGAGGAGCAGGAGGCGGTTCTGGAGGCAGTCAATGTCGTGGACCACGACATTGACGTGTGTGTCCAGACCCTCGAGAGGATCTACGGACAGAAACTTGACAGACTCACAAAGTTTGGAGGCAAGGATCAGTAGAACAACTGTTGTATGCGCTGAACCCTTTGTCCCATTGCTCCAAGTTTAAAGTTAGACCCATTATCTTAGGTTTCGTTTAAATGTGCAGTTACCACATAAATACATAGGAAACACATTGAGACTTGCTTGTACCAGTGTGCCTACTTTTATACGCGGACTTCAATTTATTTGCCTTTTGTGTGTATATCGAAGTTAGAGGTTCCACTGTCTGTCTGTACTACCCCCAGAGCACCTGCAAGACCTGAAGACTCGGTTGAAAGAAGAAGAGACGGCAAGTCACAAGTACACCTTGGCCAAAAACTCCAGAGGTGGTGGCAGACAACTGCAGGCATAAGACACCATAGCTGCCCCACGTTGTACCATGGCTACTGTACATTCGTCATGATCTTCCACTGGCTCACATCCATAGTTTATGTATTTTACTAGCAGAGGTTGGATTATTTATTGATTGCACATTATTATGGCAAGAACTGTGTTTGTGCAGTAGATTTGTTTTATCATTAAAATTAATGTATTATGTATTGCACTGACACAAGGCAGCGCTCTCTAAGTGTCTCCAATTTTGTTTGCCATGAGGGATTTATGTAAGAATTTTAGTTAGCAGTTATATACACAATACTTTGACGACTGTTAAGTTGTGTGTCACGAGTAACTGTGTGATTGTAACTTGTGTGCCAATTGTGTGTCATGTGGAGGCAGATTTTCTAGCTGTAGCTATTGCGTTGACTCTCCTACTGAGGTCAGTGATCTCCCTGGTCAGCTGGGCCGGGTCGGTGAAGAAGGACACAAACAGCCTCCGTTCTCTGTCTATCAGCTCATTTCCCTGCAGACACTGGCAGCAGCATTAGGCAATACAGTAAGGTTCAATTTTTTACACTTTACTCTAAATTTTTACCTCAAAAAACCTTGGTATTTAACTATGTACATATATTATCTGCAAACAACTGTGCCTTTAAACACACAGTGTATATACATATATACCTTTTTCTTAGTGTCAAAGTCAGCAAGGAGTTTCTTGATGTTTTGTTCCATGGTACTCAGGATTCCCTCCAGTTTAGAGCACTCTTCCTCGTACTCCTGTGACGTATGATGATGTATATATGTATTGTTGTCTGTTCCTGAAGAAGAACAGCTATAATTTACCTTGAGGCTCAGCTGTGGTTGTCCACTAGAACCACCAAATACCTGCTTTCCCAGCATTTCAGAGATAGTCACCCTGTGCAGAGATTTGGGGGGAAACCTCACAGCAATCATACAGCTATGCAGCTCTCAGGTAGTGTAATCACCATGGCCAGTACAATAGTGTAATATCAGATCTGACCAAAGCATGCAAAACTAGCCCAAAAAGATAGGAAAGATTGGATCATGTAATTACAAAAGCCCACACCATAGGACATCCATGGAGTATATACTAACAACAAGCACTGTTCTGTTTAGGTGTTATCTTCCACCTCAATTCCTATATAGTTCCTCACATTTCGTATACAGTGTGTTGCTGCTCAGACAGGAGAGCTGTCAGCAGGGCCTCCAGTGACACCGTCTGCTGGACCAGCTGCCCCACTGCCCTCTCCAGAGAACTGTGGGTTAGCAGTTGACCTGGGCCCGAGGCTGACACACCTACACACATGTAAACAAGCAATGATGCACCCTGCGCAGAGTCTAGGCTGAATCTTAACGTGGGCACACCTAGTATAGAGCACATTCTGAGGGCAAACTTGTCTCTGGAGTCAACAGTTAGTCTTGGTTCCTTCACTGGCTGGAGACTACTGCTCTTCATTGCCTCCTGTGTCATTCAGTTAAGACTCCATAAAGACGATAACCTTAAAGTCATCACTCACTTCAATATCTATGTACTATGCAGTACATGCTGAACCTTCCACATCTTACAGTATAGAGGTGCAGCTACATATGTATAATCAGAAAATGGATACTTGTTTTAGTGCACAATTAATGAACTAGAACACATGACAAAAAATTCTGAAGATTTTCGAACTGGCACAGAGGTGCATCCTGTATGGTTTTCTAGCAGTACCAATTCAATTTTAACCGGCTTCTCGTGTAGGGGAATTCCCTACACTTGTGGCTGTGATTGTGTGTAAAATTTGCTCCCCCCTGCCGTGATAAAAGTATTGTAAGAGGATACAAGTCTGCTGTCAGCAGAGGAGCCCCAGGAGAGTAGTTGAGAGGCTGCAGCAGAGAGGAGTCTGTGGGTGTCCCTGTGCCGCCTCAGCTCCACCTCGTAGAGCATTGAGAGCAGCTCCTGTCTGGCCGTCTGACTCAACAGGTAAGATATCACCTATTACACCAGGACATAGAACTTTGACTTAAGTACACTGATTGTACATACACATGTACCAATCAAGTATAGTTGGTGAGCAAAGTGAGCTTGATACCTAGTGTTGATAATGCGCAATGCCACATACCTTTACATAGGCATTAAAGCACACGTTAATTTGCAATCGGATTTGGTAGCTAATACTGTGTGTTGCATCATTTGTACACTTGCCATCGTCCTGAAACTGTGCTCCGTGGGTTCAATTTGAAAGCTTTTGTGCAGAACACCAGTTTTCTATTGTTATTAACATTTCTCCCTAGATCTATAATACACACAATGTGTATAATACATCCAGTATAATTATAATACCGTGTCCTGTTTGGAGGTGAAGTAGTCCTGACGAGCCATCTTGAGGCTGTAGTCTCCGTGCAGAATGGTGGATATCTCCAGCGTGGCCACGTCATGGATGAGATTGGGCAGCTGCTGGCGGGCCAGGTGACAGGTCTCTGACTGGAGGTGACTCAACTGGCCCCGTCTCTCTCCTATGTGCTGTCTGTTTGTTGGGAGACAGTAGTCAGTCTGGGGTATAGAGGTGACTTGCAGGGGCACAGGCAGTGTTACAATGCAACAGTTAGCTGCACATGCAGTTATGAGTAATGTCTGCAAGTGGCTTAGCTAATGTATTTGAAAATGGATTCTGTCTACAAATCTGCAAAATGTGAGCTTTGGAAACTGGCAAATCAACCCATATGTCGAGTAATCGCAAATGTGCAACTACGTGGAAAGATCACCATGTAAAAAATCCTGACATCACGTAGAGGAAACTACTAAAGTATAGAGTTAACCTGAGGAGGGAGGAGTCCAGTGGGGAGGAGGTGTCCCTCAACTCACTCACCAGCTCCTCTGCTCTCCTGCACACTGCCTCAGCATACTCCTCTGCCAGTATATCACTGACTCTCTGGGACTCCACCACCGGGTACCTGAATACACCACCACTTGTGATGGATACTTAACAAACAAAAATGCAGTATAGGACCAATGATCGTGACATTATTTCATGGAGCCAAAACTATTGTGACTATGACTGCCACTGCAAAAGAACAGCAACAAGGCCGGCCACAAAAGTGAAAATGGATAGAATGTAGTACCACACATACACCAACTAATGGCTCACAGATTCTTTAGTCTGGTCAGCTCCCGACAATGACTGCTGTATTGCTCACTGGAGGGACCTGGATGTATCATTGATATAATGTGTAATAGATCATTCAATGACACTAACAAGTTGTAGGTTGCTAATAACAGACAATCTTTCGCGTGTAAATAAGTTCATGAATCAGATAGTGTATGCAGGAAGGTGTAGCTTACACATCAATGCTTACATCTACAGCACACCAAAGAGATCATCAAAAATCACAGAGTAGTAGTTATATACCTCTCATGAGTATATTGGCAGGGTCATTGAGGTCTACCAGTCCGTCCTCATCCTCACCTGATGTGTGCGCCATCACTGCTATACCCTATGTACACGCAGACACTTGTGAGGGAGAAGATTTTGTAGCCAGTGTGTAGAGAATAACTTGGTATAAATGTCCAGTGTATATACAAATTTCATGCGCCTACAAAATTTGTAGAGGACCTGATCTGTTTTACAAAATTTGTAGAGAAAACTTTTTGACAATGCAAAGTTTTTCTGTTGAAATTTTCCTGCTTCGTGCTTCGCCATTGCAGGGCATCAAAAATGTTTGGGATAGTGATAGATGTATATACCTGAAAGAACTGTTTCTTGGTGTAGGCAGTCAGCTCGGTGAGGTAGGCGTCCTCTGCTGATGAGTAGTGCTCAGAAGAAGTGTGGGAGAAGAGAGATAACTCCCCACCTCCTCCCTCCTCTCCCTGTGTATGTATATTACAATCCAACCTCAACAGCAGGGATCTCAGTAAATAACTACTTCAGCGTGTTTCTACAATTTGCATAGATGTAAGAATAGCTAGTAGAGCTTAAAGGGCTATAGCTGTGGACTCACTTCATTCGCCAATTGCCTCAATCAGCCTCTAGTGTATGATAATGTGTCGTACGTTGTACACTGTACTCTATGTAGCCCACCTGAGGATGTTGGTGGAAAGATATGACATCGTCTACAGCAGACCCGAGCCCCTCCACAGCAGAGTTCACCTAACAATAACAAATATCCCAACAGCACTCTATAAACCTTGGCCTCTTCCACTTCCATTCTCAAAGTCTAAAGTGTCAAAGTGTTCTGTGTGCTGTGCCCTTTCATACATCCCCACGATTCAAATATGGTACTTCGATGTGATTGCAAAAGGCCATGAACTCAGCAGCCATATTACACCATCTGAGCTCACAGTATATGTATATACCATCTCATTGTCTTGTTGTGCAGTGTGGAGAGCAGTCTGGTGGGAGGAGACTGTGTGAGAGTGAGTCAGACTCTCTTCCTCTCTCTCCTTCAGTAGACCAGCCTGGTGAACACTGGGGAATAGGAACAACACTGGGTGCTGATGATAGGGGCAAGTGTGTTTTAAATATCTCTCTTTCAAAAACAGGCACCATTCAATCGTTTTTGGACGAAAAAAACAGCAAAATGGGAAATTTGAGGAAATGAAGAACAATCTACAGGTACTGGCAGTCGTCAACCTGAGGGTAGTCTGGATGTTGTTGATGCTCTGGAGCTGAGTCTTCAGTGATGATACTGACTGCTCCAGACACGAGATTTCTGCCCTGCGAGATATGTATGTAATGGCTACGGTTCAGAGCAAGTTCAGATCAAATCACGGTGAAAGTTTATTACTCATCAAGCAAAAGTTAGAACCTCTGATACTGAACATATGGAGAGAGCACATATGTAGAGCTATATTCTTTACCGGGAGGCATGCATAGATCTACATAATAGTTAGTATACAGTACAGGAATAAGTTCATTAAAGATAGGTTTTCGCTGTTGGGGGGAGTTCATTATCGGAGGTCCCACTGTATTTGTGAGATGCTGGCCTACACACATACCTCAATTGCTCCATTGTCTTTCCCTCACTACCACTGCAGCCCTCGATTTTCCCCAGAGCCTCTCTCAACTCAGCCCCCTGCGTTCAGGAACCACCAGCAGTAAAATTTACGCTGCCATTCACTCTTCTCTAATGGCATGCCCTAGTATACTACTTTTCTGCAGCAGCAAATCTATTCTGTCCTATTGTGCTTCGGTGCAATCTAGCAGTAAACTGGACAGAACAGTCTAGCATAAGGCTCTGAACCAGTTCAACCTTACCTCAAGTACCACACCCGTTTTCTTCATCTCCTCAAACCTGCCAAAGCAAGGCAGCAATGCTTCAGGGAGTATACATCTACCAGCTATTAACGATAGAGCTCACTTGTCTAGTTCTGACTGGGAAAAGGCATTGGCTGGGACCAGTTGCCCGCACAGCCACTGTAGGAAGTGTGCTGCCTTTCCGCCGCCCGACGCCTCTTTAGGGAGGCCCCTGACCCTTCCTCTGTAGCCCACATTCGCTGCACAGGTCTCTAGGCGCTGATGTAAAGAGGCTGGACCTGCAGCCATGATTTCAGATTTTCCCGCGAGAGTTCCAGTCACAGGTTCCGGAACGGAACGGAGGTAGAACGACGTCCAGGGCGCATGCGCGCATAAACTACAGGCATATAATACACGCCATCAAGTGCATGCTTGATCACATGCAGATCGTAAACGTGACAAATCAATATTTTTTGAGGAGGATCAGAGCGGGAAAAGTGAGCAAATCAACTGATTGTGGTACATGAGAATTTCTTATGATGCTAACAAGGGTTTGTTATTATAGTTGACACACCTGAATGGCATGGGTAACATTGGGGGCAAAGATGGATGAAAGAAAGGAAAGTGCAAAAATTATCATAACAAAACCGACCTAAACACATGATACACATGAGTGAGCAAAAAGACACTATACTGTGATTATGATTACTTAATGTTACTCAGATGAATTGTGACCGGCATGCGTTTGATGACTGAGCACGCCATACACACACACACACACATACACACGCACAAGGCCCTACAGGGTAATACGGTGGACCAAACGCCATATTATTGTCAACACTAGACCGGCGTTGTATCGCCCGCGGCCGGCTTTTCCGAGACGTTGTTTTGTGAGCCGCTGCTCCGCTCCTCCAAGATTGTCGTCTCCTTTGCCTGCTCTTCGCTGAGTGGGTTCTTTGCCTTGGGTTTGCTGTTGGAAAAGTCAAAGTTGTTTTCTTTCTGCTCGTCCTCGTAGAGACCCTTCTTGCAAAACTTGGCCCACAAGATGAAGGCGGCTCCAATTAGAATGAGGATCAACACCAGTAGAGCTCCCAGGACTCCGCCCACTATTGAAGCCGTGACGTCCTATACAATATGTGGCAAGACAACAGCAGATTTATTGTTGGGAAAAGCAAGGGAAAAAACACGTCAAATTTCAAATGCAGTTCGTGCAAGTTTTTGCCACTCTGTGCTTGTATGTACAGCAGGTCAAAACAAACCATGTGCCTGCTTCTGGATTGCAAAACATTTCACCCTCCAATTTTATTCTGCGTTACTCTGGAGATATTGCCACTCACGAAGCGTGAAAAACAAGACGAGTTGCAAGGTACACTCTTAGCGGTATAATAGGAGACTTACGTCCTGTCTTGAAGTCTGAAGTTCCTCTACGCACTCTTGCTTCGGTGGTTGAATATCTGTTAATCAACACAACAGAACCTCATAACTACAACACCATTTATCCACGAGTATAACTAGATCCTTGCTCAATAATTCTACTTGTACATACAGTTAGTGTTGTGAAAGACATACATGGGATAGTGTGATCATTTCAGGTGCCAAACATGTACGGCACAACGCTGCAAAGGGGTATGCTGGGTCCAAGCCTGAAGTTTCCAAGACTTTAGCAGCAACAAAGTTGTTGCCCGGTACATACAAAGGCCACACACACACACACCGGCAGTGCAGACGCTGCTCATGCAGGCTGGTAGTTGGGTGAAGGGACTCTGGCTGCAGCAGGTGTCTTGGTTGTCGAGAGAGGGGCAGCACTGCGAGACGTGACGACAGACCCGTAGCCGAGAGCACCACTGGCAGTCCCGCGACGCCGAACAGTTGCTGCAGTAAAACAGTCGACAGGGTCAAAGCATCGGAGGGACACACACGTAAAAGTTGGAGGTTGGTATATAAGGTTACAGTTGAGAAGTTGTGACATGCACACACCAACACCTGTAACTAGGACAGCAACTCTAATCTGGCACATTTCTATCAATGAGGTGTCCTGCTTTTGAGCAATAGCATATGTCACATTGGGGACTCCTCAAACATTAATTTTGTAGCTCTGTCACTTTCCCAATTTGGTGCCAACAGCATCAATGTATTATGGTCAACAGCTGAATAAGTTCATGCATCACACCTCAATTTGATGCGTTCACCTCCAAAACTAGTACTGATGCCATTTGCAAGTCAAATTCATGCCATTGCTTACTTTTCCTGAGTCTTGCAGGAGCAGTCAAGAGGGAAGCAGTAGTCGTAGATGTCACTCTTGGACCTCACGGAGGACGCAGGGACAGAGCTGTCATTGGTCAGCTGGTCACTCTCGAGAGAGGTGGCTGGACAGGCCGGGAAACTGAGAGGGGTGGACGTGAGATGAGGAGAATTAACAACTAGTGCGTTTGCTATGGGCAAAAACAGACTGTTATAGGTTCACATGAACCCTATGCTGAATGGCAGATCAGTTAAGTATCATTAACCCTCGGCGCACAAGCACAGCGAGTAGTTGGTTTTGTCTGTCAGTCTGTTTGTCTGTCTGTCTGTGTGTGTGTGTTGATGCTTATTCTGGCACTACAGGCTACGAGGCAGCCTAATGGCGATACTATCGGCTTCATAACTACGTGAGCCTGAAAAATACAACAGCGATTTTCCTGAAACCACTGCATTCGAGAGATATGCCGTGATAACAAGCGAAAAAGACAATATGTAATCCCACTCGGCTTACCGTGACCTGATCCACTCACTCTGTGTACCTTGGAGGCACAACAAGTCACAACGAAGGGCGTGTATCGACTCACGCATGCTATCTACTCGAGTAGCTAGCCCGTGTGTTACCATTCCATACTCCAACTGTAGTCAAAGTATTAGGGATAGTTAGTTTGTCTCTTTTTCCACTCTTGTGCCAACAAAAAAAGCAAAATCGTTGACACCTTTATTTGAGGGGATAGCGAAATTTGGGCGAGATAGGGATAAGTGCTGCAAGGTACTTGGTCCATTTGTGTGTCTGTCTGTCTGTCTGTCTGTCTGTTTATCTGTCTGTCTGTCTGTAACCATGTTTATGCATTAAACTATCGTGAAACAGCACCATAATATGAAAATTCTGCTCTTTAATCAGTGGAGCATACAAAACTATACCTGTGTGGAGTAGTGCAGTCTTCTGGGCACTGACAGGGACATTCACACCACCGCTTTCATTACCTCCACAGGTTTGACACGACTGCAAGCAGGGAACAAAGAACCCAGTGTAACAGTAAGTTCCGCCATTACATAACCATAGCTTCATCATATGGCTATTTGTCAGTAGGATTGTCAAGCTATGATGATTTTCCGATAGGCCAATTAGTAGTTGGTTACTGCTGCCAATGGCGAAAGGACTGATATAATGTTTCATTCCTATATACCTTGGTGCAAAAGCAGATAGGTTTGATCTCTCGTGTCTTTCTGAGTACTCCGAAGAAGACATTAGTGCCAGGTATTTTCTGGATCTGTGAGAGACAAATTTAACACAGACTGCATAAAAGTTGTACTTTACCCAAACCATGGAGGACACTCGCTTTATTTCGTTCCAAAAACGCGGATTGCTAGAATGCACCCCTGTCTATAATACTTTGCGGGGAAATGTTTGCAAATATTGCTCAAATCCCAAAGAAGGTTTGAATACTCACCGCATATTGAATGTCGTTTTTGCTGACTGCATGGACCTCTTCATTGCTGAGATCAAACTGAAAGGGGAAAGAGATAGGCATAATTGTAGCGTCCGAGGTCTTCGCTGAAGGTGGTCGTAGCGCGCGCTCTCGGCCGCTATCGGTGCTTGGCGCAACGGTCCTTACTGATAGTCACCATTGAATACAGTGATCGGGGAGAGAGCTCCCAACTGACCAGGACATGCGACTTTTATACATAGTCTCACACAACTGCGCATGCACACGAAAGATGTTCTAGAATGTTCTGCCGTCACATAATCTTACGCGAGGCATACAAATAACCACTGTGCAGGTGCCATACGCGAGGGAGGCTCCAACTCACTGAAAAGAATAGCCTCTGTCTCACGGTCTGGTTCAGATAGTCGATACAGCGGAACTTGTAAGCCACCGATTCATTCAGGATGCTGACAATCATATCACGGAACTGTAGACACACACATTTTGGACATATTGAGAAAATATTCATAATGTGAGCACTCTCCACACACATAATTAAATTGCGCACATATTATATATATTACCATTGCAGATAGTGTATATATATATAAATATATTATCTTGCAATACGTAAGAATGTTCCATGCACATTCAGTAATTGTTGAAAATAGGGTGGCCTAAACTTTTTGTACTTTTCGTAAGCAGGTGGGGGGAAGGACAGGCCAACAAACTATCCTGAATGCCTTGGCTATAGCGGGAGTGTGCAGTGCCAACTAACTATCTTGAATACCTTGACTTTAACTAAAGTGTGCAGTGATAATAAATGGCAGAAGTGGGTGATGAAAATAAGGTGACCTAAACTCAAAAGTTCGAAGTAAGAAGCCACTTTTCTTGTCTTATCGTGTGCGCACAATGGATAAATAGTCCACACTGCTATTACGAATGCAGCAAAATGCAACAGTCTTTAGCATATGGACGTGAGTTAACTAACTACACGCCTATTCCAGTCCATTCAAACTGTATGAGAGTCGGAAGAGAGCGATATGAGAGTGGTACTCAATAAGACGATAAAAAAATTTCTATTTGCCCCCATTATTATTAAGATAAGGTTGTTGGGAGAATGAGTGGCTGCTGGCTACCTCAGGTGGGGCTTGAGATTGGACAAAGAAGATTGGTTCCTGGAGATGGGTCCGGTACCCAGGGGTGAGTAGGAGGTCGTGGTAGACAATGTTGCCTTGGTCGTCCAACAGGAAACAACTACACAACATATAGAACACAGCTAGAGAGTATATAGAACAGGGGAAATAGCTTGCAAGTTCTGTAAAAACACATAGTTGAGTAGGTGAAGGCGTTTATGCCGTTCTTTCCTCTAATACCAGTCACAGATTTCTGAAAAATGTTGATGCTAACCATTTCGACCACTTACTATGGTCATCAACAGATGTACTGAATTAAGGCACCAGGTAGTGACGTAGTGACATCAGTCAAATGTTATGTACTTGTGCTTGCTTGCCAAACGTTGCTGCAGTAGACTTGCCAACTAACTGATACCGTAATTCAGGTCACTGGCAAAGGCTAACTATAGAGTTAGGACTGTAGGACCATGTAAGGCAGTACACTTTGTGGAGATTATGTGACTGTGAGATGTGTGAGTGCATAGTCAGCAGTGTGTGTGTGTGTGTGTGTGGTGTGTGAGTGCACAGTCAGCAGTGTGTGTGTGTGTGAGAGAGAGAGAGACTGACTCGTAGTTGTCCCCACTGCACTCAGGAAGAGTCTCCTCCACCAGGGCTCTCAGGGAGGGCAGTGTCAGGTCTGCGGCCACCACAGAGAGAAGTCCACCCTCACCAACACCACTGTATGGATGCATGGACAGCACAGTCTTTTAATGGTGCACATGGAGGTATGTGACTTGGAGGTATAAAAACAAAACCCACCCAAAAAACTCCCCACCCTTGTTACAAAACACATCTCATAGAGTGGTAGGTGGTAAAGGACAGTGTGTCAGTTACCTGACATACGGTATGCACGATTGCTGCTGTTGGTGACACTTACTCGTCTTTGGCCGGAGCCGAGATGGCTGTTCCCACGGAGACGACGTGCCCCGCCCCCCACTGGGTGTGAGGTCGGGGAGGAGTGAGGGTGAGTGTGAGGTTGTGAGGGTGTGCTGCAGAGACGATGAACCACTCGGTCGCCCGGGCCACAAAGTCTGCGTTGAGTCGAGTGAAAGGGTGGGAGAGATATAGTCCAGATGGTGTGGCCAGATGTCTGCGTAATTTGACAGAGGTTATTTGCGAAATTTGGAAATATCGTACTTTCAGGTGTGCAGGGTGCACCTGCAATTATGGCCCAGATTTGTACTACCATTGTGGTTAATTCCCGATTGTTTGCAATACCTTGATCGATATAATATGCATTCTGTACGTTCTGCATAGCGATAATTGATGGTTACTTCTTTTGTGCATCCACAGTATAGTAGGTGGTGTGTCAAAATGCAACGTGGAAAATAAAGTAAACATAATTTTTCTAAACACTCAAGTCTAGAGTTGAATACAAGACATCCACACAAACATCGTAGGCAATCTTAGCTGGTGTCGCAAAATTAAAAGCACTAAAGTGCAAACACTGCGCATGCGCGATACTGCTAATTGTAGGAGGCCGAGGGTTAATAATGTCAATAGTAAAACCAGTGTGAATAGCAAGAGCTGACAGCTAGGTCAGGTTATGCTTGCTTACACTGTGCTTACTCATGCAAATGATCACACTCATCTCACTCATAGTAGTATGCACCACTGTGCAGTTCCAACTAGCAACCACACACTTGATCTACCTAGTAGCTGACAACTTCAGCACTCCACAGAGTTGCTTTCACTGCCAATCTAACCACATTTGTCTGTCGAGTGGCTACTGTATTGTCCTTATAAGCTGCACTATGTATCACGGAATATGTCAGTCCGCAGCTGCTGATGCACAAAAAGTAAGAGTCTTTGCAAATTTTTCGCGCGTTGGCCACATACCCTTTTATGTGTGTGTTAAGAAAGGGCTGAATTGCTAATAAAACAAGACTATATGCAGCTATTTAATGGCTAGGTCTACTTTATGCGCAAGTGCGAGTGTGCGACAAGCAAATCTGCATACAACTTCCTAGAGTGGAACACAAACAAATCATCAAACTAACCTTCTTATGACAAAGTCAGTCAAGTTACTCCGCCCAGTTTTCCACACGTCTCCAATGACCGAAGCCACGCCCAACTCGTTAGCCACGCCAGGGTCGACCCAAGATGTCAGTGTCCCATTGCCACGTAGGAAATTGACGATATCGGGCAGTTTTGACGTCGGCCGGGGGTCTGCTGGGAGGAGTCAACTGCACCGAGACCTGATCTGAGAATATCACAGCAATAATTATTATAACTAGTGTAGAGTAGACGCTTAACAGAGCAAAAGGTACCAAAATAAGTGGTAATAATCACTACAAAGAGTGCACATCCACACTTGGCCAAACATAACCTTTTGTAACACTACCTTCTGAGGAAGTGGAGCAGAAGTAAAAGCATTTTTCTTCGTCTGGTATCTCAGATGTATGATAGAGAGGCATGCGACCTGGATTATCACTGTAGATACCTGTAGAGGCAGGAAGGGAGAGAAAGGAGAGAGAGAGAGAGAGGTAATTGTACACTGAATGAGAAGGGAGGAAGGGAAATGCAGTGGAGAGAGAAAGTGGGAAGGGAAAGAAGTGAAATGGGGAAAAGTGCAGAATGGAGGGAGGACAGGGAAGGAGGGGAGGGGAGGGAAGGGAGGGAAGGGAGGGAGGGAAGGAGGGAGGGGAAGGAGGGGAGGGGAGGGGAAGGAGGGGAAGGAGGGAGGGAAGGGAAGGAGGGGAGGAAAGGAGGGGAGGGAAGGAGGGAGAGAAAGACAATGTACAGGATACAAGAGGATCTAGGAGAAACAATATGTCATGAGTCCACATCAAAAATGGTTAGCCACAACACCATACTGTAAGGCAAGTTATCTCACTCTTGATGTTAATGTCCTTGAGCTGGGCAGTGGGTAGGTCCTCACCAGTCAGCCCCAGGCAGATGTACAGTGTCAGCATGTTGGCGGTGAGTGGTCGGCAGTGGTAGGTCACCCTCACCTCGCGGGAGATGAAGGAGTTCCGGTCCTCACCTCTCACAGACACCGGAGATAGAGACTGCTTTGTTGTCGTCAGGCTGAACTCAGTACTAGGCAAGGTCCTGCAGGAGATAAAGAACGAACACTATGATTTTGATAACGCAGGAACTCTTTTGAGCAATCACGAGATAAGTGTGAACCTGTTTGCTTATCACTCCACCGGCTTGCTTTTTGTGCCTTTGCTTTTGTACTGTCCAGCCTTGCTCGTGTACTGCACTTTTTGAACCCCAACCCAGGAAGATAATTGCGGGTTTTGTGGTTTAAAAAAAATTCTACTGTAACAGTGGGAAGAGTCTGAGAACAGTCTATTTAACCTCCTGGGTAGAGTATCAAACAGTAGTATAATATACATACCCTCGAAACCGACCCTCATAACTCACAGAAGTCTGTTCAGAAGATCTTGGCTCTCCAGTGAGCCGACTGAGACCGCTGACTGGAAATCTCCGGGCACCAGAGGATGGTACAGGACGTTCCCATCACCGTTCACCGCAAAGAAATGAGAGTTGCCACGCCCACTTCCCAGCCGGCCTTGTATGGGAGAGAAGAGCAGTTCCCAGGGCAGGAGGGCTCGGTACAGCCCCAGGAAATCTGACCCATTCATCAGAGCCAGTCTTAGACTCAAGGATGGATCTGAGGGGGGGAGGAGGGGGGAGATGTGAGTTCAGCAGTTCTACCCACGTGTATTTAAGTTCTATCTACATGTTTCAACAACGAAGTATCGAGGTAGAAAGGCAAGGCAAATAAGTAAACTACATGCACAATTTGGACGACTAGGTATGGGTCGTAGCCCAACAATGTGTTAGGACCCACCTCCACGGCTGTTGATGTCTCTCCCTACGTACAACAGCTGCTCCTCCTGCACACTCCCATTCTTGAACAAGTCGTAGTACGTCCTTACGTCGTACTCTGACTCCAGCTTTGTCAGTAGACCGGGCTGTATGACAACACACAGACAGAAGCAATAAGGCATACAGCACTAATATCATTATTAAATATAACGCCCACAGCATTAGAAAGGCTGCCCGAATTCGTACAACAGACAAAATGCATGTCCTGTTTGATATTCGGGGTGAGAGAGTGCCATAGAATATTTAGCGCTGGGCACCTCAGATCCTACTGCGCCCTCCACCATACACCTTTATTCAATCTCATTCCACGCCCTGCGTACCTATACTTAGTACTGCTGTATGCTTACAATTGTTTGGTTCACAAGTGACTTGAGTAACTCAATGTTGAAAGGATTATAGTCAGCGTAGTAGGTCGAGATGACGACCGAGTTGCCCCTGGCCTGGTTGAGTTGAGCGACGTTGTCCAGGACTCGGTCGAATGAACTGAAGTCGTTACTCGCCTTATACAGGTTGGTAATAGACGTGAAGAAGACGATGAGTTTATCTACATCAATTTGAAGAAAAAAAGCAACTGTTCATAATGTTACAATGGGGTTGGTAGAGATTCGTGGATTGCGTATGGACAGTGCAACCTACCCAACTACTGGGTAGGAATACTCCAGTACTAGAGTTAATGTGGCGAGCGAGAGAGAACGAGCAAGTCCAACTGTACGTACTCTTGAAGTGGTGAAAAGTGAAACAAATATTTTGGGGTTGCTCGTCACTTCCCAAACTATAAACATACCGGTATCGTTGTCAGTGCGGAATAAGTTGAAAGCCGCCCGGAAGGCGTCAGTGTAGGCAGCAGGTGCGACTCTGTTGGTGGGTGGAGAGGCCAGACTGACAAACTCTCTCAGTTGATCCAGGAAAGAGGCACACGCCGGGAGGACCTTGTCCCCTCCGGCATCGCTTTTAAACCTCCGGACTTGTGCTCCAACTAGTACCACTTGGACCTGAGCAGTGGGTGAGACTTAGTGTATTGATATTCAAACTAGGGTATATATATATATATATATATACAAGAGCTGTCTTGTTGGTAATTTGCAAGTTATAAAGTTGTACCAACATTTTCAACATGCCCCTCGCTTCCTCTTCATGCACCTTTAGAGCTACATTGTATGCAAACATCATCTTGTGCACATTGCTTCCTCTGCTGAGTAATGCATGCACATATGCCAGCTGGCAAGTGATGTGGGTCTTGAGTCATTTCAACACCTATAGCCCCCCACTACGTATGGAGATGAGTTTACCGTATCCTGCCGTGTGAGAGAGTTCAGTACAGCGAGTGCTGCACTACGCAGAGCTCCAATGTTGGCGTCGCTCTCTCTGAAGTCCATTAGATCAATGACCAGAACAATCTCCAGTGGCTGCGTCCTCAACATACTCATGTACCACGGTCTGCACGAGAGATGGACGTACGTATACGTCGACAACAGAACACAAACAAAATAGTGTCCAAGAACTTTATGCTCGAGTAATAACGTGCCCACAAAAGCACAGAGAATTTCGGAACATAGGACGAAAACATATACAGAGCTTGAGATTTTTTGTCAAGGCAACTTTCAGAACTCTTGTATTATAGTGTGTGACCTGGTGCAGGAACAAACCAATGGGGAACAAACGTTAAGCCACATGAAATGAACTCGCTACATATATATGGTATACATGTATATGTATATATCCATGTATAAAAGTGTTCTGTACTAACTGTAAGTGGGAGTGCTCCAGAGCACAATCGCCGGGCGGCTGAGGAGTTGGGAACCTGAGTAGAGTCCCGTCCACGTGTCCAAACTCCAGCTCTGCCCTGATGTCTGCCATGGTCGGGTCCACCGAGAGAGAGTCTGCGACGGCTGACAGGAGAGGGTCCTCTGTGATAGAGCCACAGCCGTGACAGCACACCGCAGACCTGGGGTGGAGGAGGGACACAGTCGGTGAGTGATGTCGAGTATGGATTCACACAGTACATTGTAGCAATCACGTTAGGGTATATTTTGGCCTGGCATTCTAAGAGTAGCGGATGTGTTGGCAATGATGACAGGTTCTTTCTGCCGTTTTCAACAACTTTCACCAGTATATAAGGAATCTCAGCATTCTGAACACGTATTGAAGTATACAGTAGCAACGGCACTATTTTTCATGGGGGAAAAGCGACTAAACTAACGCTCAAGAAAATGACTGTATCACACAGAGACAAGGGGCCAAATGCACACAATTCGTGGAGGCCCACCAATCAAGAATTACTCACCGACTGTCGCCGTTGCAGCAGTTGGAGGGAAGAGGAGTGGTGGAGGTATTGGCTGCAGTGACACTCGTCATCAAGTTCAGTACCGTGTCAATACGACCCATGGCAACGTCTGTGGACAGCTACAGAGAGAGAGCACAACATATCACAAATCCACACGAACAACTCTTTGGAATATGTAATACTGAGTTATATAAAATCGTGTAAACGCTAACACAGATAGCTTTCTTCCATGAGGTACCTCACTGATTGAGATAATGTGCATCAATATCACTGAATACAGAGGAAAATTGGGACACGGTAAAAAAAAAGGCCTCTCCTTCATCTTTATGGTAGCAAGGAAATCGTGGCTGAAAAACACTTGGTTGATTTAGCTTCACTTTGCTAAGGGACACACATTATGCCAGAAAAGAGGCATAGCTAGAGGACAGGGCAGGTGAGCTCTTGGTCACTAGAAAACAGCAGGATTCTTGTCTCAGCGAGGCAGACAGTATATACTGATACCAGTGCACTTATACACCTGCCAAAACGGGTATCATCTGAGTGAGAGCCCAGCTGCAGGGATGGTGGCAGGTCCACGGCTGGCTTCGCCGCGACAACAAGAACCCGGGCTTGGCAGAAGCCGACAGGAGCAAGTTATCCCACAAAGAGGCACCCCTAATTGAGCTAAAATGGCAGGAGAGTGTGTTGCCAGACCTCAAGAGTGTTGGGGCCTTGTTGTGAGCCAATGGGGGCATTCACGATGTCTATGGCAGTGAATGTGGAGTACTCACCCCCTCTATTTGCCCTGCTAATGCCTCCGCTATTGAGTCTACACTCACCACGAGTGTATCTCCACATAACCATATACTGCTCTGTATATCATACAGCACCGCATGTGGATAGCAGTACGTACACATAATTTCTAGGGATCAGTATATAGGCATGTATTATTGTGTGCGGGTGATTCCTAACCAGCAAAATGCTCCGCAATACCCACATAGTTGGCCTGTTCGTGGTAAATAAAGGGGCAGTGGAGTTGTATCCAACAAATAATTGGTGAGCCAGGCAAGCCCACCTGGTCCTTTGAATGCGTGTAACGGCAGACAGACGACGCACATACCGTAATGCTTGCGTCATTCTAAATACACGCGAAAACATGCGTGAAATATATCGCTCGCTCGCTGAAAAATGTGTTGCATTCTTTCTAGTATATTTACCATTGTAGAGATGTCCAGAGGGGAGTAATTGAAGCCCACTCTCTTGTACTCCGCCTGTTGGTCAGAAGATAAGAGATCATCAATTTTAGGGTCCACTGTTCACTTTAACTAAACTCGTGATTGTGCAAAATTGAGCAACATGCATAGTGAAAAATACATTACTTCGGCCCAAAAAGCCAGTCTATATAGTCACAAACCAGGTTTTTAGGACTTGTGTTGGTACAACCACATGCACAAACATGCTTCATGCTATATGTACACATTTGAAACATTCTCACACATATTATTCGTATGCCGAGAGGCAAGCTGTAAAATCACTTGCGCTCTATATTATACTATTTAAAGTAATTAAGGCAGAAAATGAGAGGGGCAGCTCCCTATAGGATACACATTACCACTAGCCACCCAAAGTTATTAATGTACAGTAGCGGATGCTACTAAAAGCATACTTAGACGCAGCAAAATAAATTGTGCACACGCACATGTGCATAAAATCTAGTGTACTGCATGTGCGTAACTGCAGAGAGCAAGACAAAGTTCCTCTGTAAGTTAGCTACAGGAGCTCTTGGTCGTTTTAAGGTGTACATAAGGTAAAGCAAGGTAGGGCAAGCATCCATAATGGTTACAGCGTAGGTGAAAACTGGTGGTATTGCCACATGAATAGACATCACCAGGCATCAGAATGTGTCTTTTGTGTTTATACATTCAGCAACTACGCAAATACTTTAAAGCCTCGTTCCAGTGGACATTTTGAAACTAAAGATATTTTGGTGGTTTGGGCCCAGCAAGGTGTGTGATTGCAGGTACTCGTCAACCAAAACAAGGTAGCCCACGATTACGAACAGATGACATCTACAAATGAAAAATGGTTCTTTGAAGTGAAAAAATAAAAACGCAGCAGCGTGGGTCAACATCTTATTTTCATTCCCAACACGACATGTGCAAGCCTCTGAACAAACAGTCTAGCTCAAGGGTGCCGCTAGAATCGCTAGGACAGTAGATTTACAAGACAGTAGATTTACAAGACACGCCTTGTGTTGTATACATGTTCCATGAAATGATACAGTAGATTTACAAGACACGCCTTGTGTTGTATACATGTTCCATGAAATGATACAGTAGATTTACAAGACACGCCTTGTGTTGTATACATGTTCCATGAAATGATACAGTAGATTTACAAGACACACCTTGTGTTGTATACATGTTCCATGAAAAGAAAAGCTACGAGATGCCCCACTACGTAACACCACATCTCGTCACAATCCCGTTTGATCGGCTGTTACTGTATTTACAATTCACAATCGAATGATACGCATGAAATGAAATGACAACATGTTATGCGATGAATAAAATACACCACACTATGTAAATACTACATCTCTACAAATTACCAATCACATACCGTTACCATAATTATTATTAAAGGGAATGTGGCAGTCTATATATAGAACCTCACTGGGCCCTACTGAACTGGTCACATTCCTTAAACAATATCTGGCCCCACTATGGTACTACTGGGAGATTGGTTGCCAAATATAGCTTTTGTGGGAGAACTGGTTATGGAGTAAGATCACTTCCTCATCGGCAGTTAGCCAAGACTACACATACATGCTTGCCCAGCAGATATATACACTGAAGTGGCAGGAACAAGTGCTAACCTGTGCATTAGTAAACAATAGTGTGTTTGTGAGAGGGTGTGGGAGAGTAGTAGAGAACTGCAGTTTCCCATGTGTAGGAGACACAAGGTTAGACAACCCAGAAAATTTGGTTAATTGCTTATCTTCCTTACTAATAGCTCAGCATGCCAACCTTCCACCCTACACAATGTGGACATCTGCAAAAGCTAGACAGGTACATTAATTGCATTGTGAATCTAATCAGTGGTCAATTAGCTGCATAGCCCTTAGCTCACAATGACCCAGCCTTCCATTGTCCCATTGGGCCACTCCGCCACAAGCTTGCAGAGCTACACAGCCCAACATGCATTTCTGGCAGGGCTTCCAGGCTGGGCAGCAAGAAACTGGACCTTTTTCATTCTTAAAGGGAATTTGGCAGTATATAAGGGCTAAATTTAGAAATGTTACTAAAAATATAACAAAACAATAGGGGCACAGTGAAATAATGCAATTAAGTTCCGTTTTTAGTAACATTTAGCCCTTATATACTGACACATTCCATCTAATCGCCCACTTTTGCATACAAACTCCCCACCATAATCTTTACCAACTTACTACACCCATCCCCAATATCACAATCTCTCTCATCCAAAAACTCCCCCCCACATGCTTCATCCTTACTATCCATGCCTATACTTGTGCAACAAAAGCGAAATAGGATTAGTGTATCTTGGCAAGGAGTGCACGAAAGTGACTGTTACATCACTATCAATCATCCAAGTCTGGAGCAGAATGGCCCGTGGTATATAATTATGCTGCTCTGTAGCTAGAAACAAAATCTCTACTCCTCCAGCTTGCTGTGTTATTCTTTTTACCCCTTACATGATGGCAACACAAACAGCAATAGTTATCACAGCCAACCCTTTCATCCGCCACATCAAAGGGACTCAAGATTATTCAAGGACCACAATCAATACAGGGAGAGTGGTCCTACTATATATACACCTAACAGTGGCATTCCCTAGGGAGGGAGCAAAACTAACACACCCTATCTTCTGAACCATTACTATACCTACATTGCGAATTGTGGGACACCGTATTATGTGGCTGAAAGACAGGGGTAGTTCAATTAGGACACTGCTATATACCCAGCACAACAAACAATGAAGGATTAGAAGTTTACTGAAAGAAAAGTTGGTAGAATCATTATATTGTCATAATCTCGCAGATTGAACATCATCTGCTATCTATTCACTTTTGCGCTGTAGTGACTGAATGACGAACGAAACACCCAGCATTGCCACGCAGGCAGTACATACAGTACATACAGTACATACAGTAACACTCAGTACTCAGTACATACAGTACATACAGTACATACAGTACATACAGTACATACAGTACATATATACAGTACAGAGTAATTCAGCAATAGATTACTTTCCACAGAGTACAGGTTGACGTAATACAGACGTACCCTACCACAGACTAGACCCATCCTAACTGACATACACCGCATACTATATTCTTAGAGACGAGCTCAAAAGAATGACTTGGAGAGTGCAGCAAATGAGGTCTCCGTAACCGTGGCAGTACTGACTGGCACTATCTTGAACAGAGGCCCACTATGTATAATATATAGAGCTACTCAATACTTTGTGTAGGGAAGGCTAGGTAAGTTCATGTATAGGGGAAAACATGGACCCGCGCGGTACACACACAGGATCGACTGTGGCAAAAGAGGTGACAGGAGGAGTGAGACAATGTCTTCAAAGCAGAGGTACAAATACAGTTCTCTCTGTACAAAAAAATGTGCACACTGTCCCGCATCTTAGATGCATACGTCTGTATGTGTGCGTAAATGCGTCCATTGTAGTATGCATGCAGTGTGCATTTATATTGTACCTGTGTATGTTAAGATGTAGTTCCAAGTTCGTATTACACGAGCCCCAAGACAACAATACACTGGGTAATAGTGCAACATACACAGATACACAGTGTTTGTGTGAGCTTTGCTGGGTAATAGCCAAGCCTTTGCTGCCGTAGAAGGTCCTTCTACCTATTACGGACCCCAAGCCTGAGTTGGTGCTTGTAGCATAGTGGCCACACACACAGGTGTAGCGTACTGCGACCGAGAATGCAAACCACAGCTATTAACCAGTCCATAACTCGCACTGTATACGTATATACCACGGAAGACATAATTCATGTGTTCATAGTGAGGTTATAGGTAGTTGGCAACCGACAGCACCACTCCTGACCTACAATATTATCTCAGTACAGTGGTTGTATAATACCCACACCGCTACCTCAATAAGACGCATTATTATGCGAGACAAGATAGAGAAAGTATAAGCTTGTACTATTGTATATACCAGTGTTGGCTTCTACAAGCGGAATACTATATACAACATGCACATTGTGCATGGGAATACGCATCACATGAGATGCACCTAGTATGCACACCTCAGCCTAGTAGCAGAGTATAGGAGTGTATACATAGTTGGCTAAAGCACAGTGCCCTTCATCATCGCATACAGCAATAGAGCACCAAACCTAAAAGGCTCAATGAGCCATTTTGTTGCCTCACAAAAGGCCCCACTATGCCATGAGTCAGAGGCCCTGGTGTAAAGCTGCACACTCTGTGAGACGCACACACAATTTTAGTAGTCGGTCTACAACTGCCACTCTATTACAGACAACTAAATGTGCGTGCAGACACTATATACAGCATGAGAGATATGCATCTCCATATCTTTCTAGAAGGGATTCTCCTGCCAAGAGTGCAATACAGCTTGAGATGTATATAATTTGACTGAATGACTTGGGGATAATTGCTCCATTCTTTCAAACACATGCTGACAGGTGTAGCTACATTAGTCTGGATAAATGACAGTGACCCTGAATTCCAAAGGTAGTGGTGAAGTAGTGAAGGAAGTAAAGGAAGTAAATGGGAGATTAGGAACAGGATGATCCAATTATTGATAGCTGCTATACACCCTGTCTGCCAAGGTCAGAATCCACTCAGTTTGTGAAACACCAAGGTCTGCAGGTAAAACATACACAACTGGGTGTGTAGGACGTTAGGTTAGATGGTCCTCAATTAATACTTCCACATAAAGCCACATTATGTGCAGGGGAGAGCAGTACTACGAACAAAGACAGTGTGGTTTACCTCCCACAGACCACCTGAAATCAATGTATCTCCTCCTCCATCATCTCAACGTTAATTCACCCAGACCCCTGGCTCCCTTCGTTCCCATCATAATGTATAGCTATACACAACCCACCAACCAGAGCTATTCAAGGCTTAGTATTTTCGCAGTGTGTGAAAGGGCGAGGAATATATAATTACGCCAGGTTGCACTGAGCGACACGAAATTTACACGATGACCGCAGGTTTAGGTGTACGAACTGTGTTCCGAGCAATTTTGAACACGGAGAGCACACACGCAATGAAAAGACATAACATACACCACACACGCTGCACAGGCAGTCTTCTACAACGATGACCCATTGGTCCAAACTCTACCAGCTACAACACTTGTAAAAAAAAACAGTTTTGGGACACTTCAGGTTGCAGACTGATTTTGTAAGACGTATGAAGCGAGTCATTCTTTTATCATTGACCGCCACACCCAACTCGGTCTCTATAGCCATAGAGCATGCCACCATTCAACTTGTGTACAGTCTGGCCAAAAATGGAGCAGTGTTGTAATGGGAAATTCATTAACTATGCGGAGATTTCAATTAGTCTGACCCAGATTGTTTTCACTATCGACCTCACGCATCTTTCTTCACCTCACAGCTAGCTAGCTAAACCAATAGAAACTGTACGGCTAAACTAACACTGGCTAAGGTAGTCCGCCTTGCTCGCACGCACACAGACGCGTGTATAGCACGAGGGTACCGCACTCACTGCTAGTGTGTCGACACCAAGAACGTCCCTACGGATTTCCAGGAACTTGTCGCTTAGTTGGCTTGTGGCTCTCTTCATAATCTCCTCCTCCACCTGTCCCCACGATGGATTGGCCAGGCAAAGAATGACGCTCACGACTACGGCTAGCACCGTGGACCGCCGTCCCCCTGCACATTTCAACGGCGTCAGTGCACCGCTCCTGGTCCGTAGAGAAAATATGGTCATTGCTCCTTGGTGCAGTCCAGCCAGACGCTGCAGAAGACCTGCCTGGTCGTGTATCTGTGGAGGACAATACAGCGGAACGACGGGTAGTATTAGCAGATTCCGCGACCGATTCTCAAGTTATTAGCGCCGTCGTCGCGGGTTGTACCCGCCACTTGCGGTGCGGATGCGATATTTGCGCATGCGCAGTTATCACGCAATGACAGTTAGCAGCATGTGTGGACGCATTCCCTATTCTCTGTGCAGGAGCATGGCCGCAAGAGTGAATCACCCTGCCGTCGTCCAGCGAACAACCACAGACACGCCATCGAACTTTAAAACCCCAAACGAGCGTCTACTGGAGCGACTGCGAGAGCAGAACCGGTTGAACCGCCACCACTGTCGAGGGTTGCACACCCACCTCGGTTAGTTGATAACATCTTACTGGGGGTTGGGGTGGGAACGTGCAGGTCACTTTGCAGTGTCTGTAGCTGTTTAGATCAGGGCTGTGGAAATGCAGACTAAATTCCATGACCTTTGAACCCTTAGGTGTGCCTCATGGCAGTTGCAAATTGCCGTCTAGCCTAATATTGTCAAATCGGATTTATTGTGCTGAGGTGGTGTGACTGCAGGAGCAAGCATGGCACAGCTCCTACACTAATAAACAATTAACAAGGGTGTGCTCCCCTTATTTAATCTGGGGAGTAGCCAAGGCGTGTCCTGCTGACACATGCTGAACTGGTCTTGTGACCCCAGTGAGTAGTGGGCATTAACCAGTCGTGCTTTTACATTGTTATTTTTTACGTGGGCCTTACTGTTCTATATCCTTGATGATGCCGATGATAAAAAACGGTAGTGAATACAAATACTCCATGCACTTAGTTGAATTTTTCCCTATACGGAATGTTTTACTCCCTAAGTTAGTGAAACCGTTCTAAAAGGACAGATTTAAGCTCTATAAAAGTTCCTCTAAGCACACTTAACTGATTAGGATACTTTCTTCTGCCCCCACTGGCGTCCAGATTAGGGGGTTCCACTGGTGTCAAGATTAGGGGGTTCCACACTCTATTTTCCACAGCTATGCAGCATGGCGAGTATGAGTGGCAGGACCCAAGGTCTCCGGATGAAATGTGAGCATCACCGTCCACATTTTGCTCTCACCCCTCCTGCCCCCCTAATTGTCGATTAATTAACTGTGTCCCCCTTCGTTAGTGTGAATGTGGTGTACATAGACAGACGCGGAGAGCGGCAGGAGATACGCGGGAAAGAGGGAGACAATGTCCTCTACTTGGCACACAGACATGGCATCGAAATGGAGGGTTAGTTGAGAAACACAACACAGTATGTATGCGCCCTATCCCTGTGTTTATTACTTATTACACTTGTACATGTATTGTCATACGCACCATGGCACTGGCTCAGCAGCATTATACTCATTCCCATACCTACTGGACATATAAGTGCATACACTGTTGATTGCATTATAGTGTATGTCCACTTTCAGTCTTGTGGCAGCTGTCTCTGCCAACCACGTCTGGGTCCCCTGCCAATGTACATACCTAGAGAACTAGGCCCAAATTCCCTGTGGAAAGAGTGTATTATGGGTGTTTGTGTAGTGGAGTCCATCAGTGTTTAAGATCTGGTTCTACTACTGACCCAGGGGAATGTAGTCTCAGACAAACAGTATAATCTCTCTGGTAATCTTGATGCGTTTTGCTCCGTAGACTTATTGCTTGGATGGTAGGTATTTGGTCAGATAAGTGTTTGTCTGAGAGTATTGTACTGTGTAACGGGAGACTTACAAGGGCTAAAAAAAACTAGGTGGTGAAAACTTTCGTGGATTGCTACTCCTGATTCAGATCGCAATACACAATGTTCCCACAACAAACCAAAAATTTTATATAGCGGAAAAAACTCGTTTAAACCACGTAATTTGTGTAGGGGTTTCAAACTGCTAACGACTGTAGCTGAGTCAGGAGTCAGACTTGTATGTTATGTAGTGAGTGTTTACTCTGCAGTCTCACGGTCACGTACCACCCCCCCCTCCAGGTGCATGTGAGGCCTCCCTTGCCTGCACCACTTGTCACGTCTACGTCCACCCTCACCACTATGACGTCCTACCAGAGCCTCTTGAAGAGTAAGCCCAACATAAGTACAGTATGTAGTGTGTTTTTGTGCTCAATAATGTCATTGTGCATGGGTGGTTTATGCCATCATCAGTATGAGGCCTAAAAGCGGTTGGGAAAATAACTGAAAGGTTGCTATGCTATTGAATCTGGTATACAAGCATATTACGGTAACTGCTCTATGAGATGTTTACACACACTTTCCAGGTTGACAGATATGATGGAAAAATCGCTCAATTGAGACGAATCATTTACAAGTTCACTCCATTTCTGGAGTTCAGAATCTGGCACACTTGTGTATTAGAAACTGGGGAGTAACCCCACCCTGTCCATTATTGGTTGAGAGTTGCAGGTGTCCCTGAAATATGCAAAATGAGCATAAATGCACCATAGCACCAGTATTACACACATGCAAGCCAATGCTATACTTGTAGGAGTGCTACTCTACCAATGAGCACCAAGTGCACATGACGTGGCTGTTATGATTACGGTGCAGTGCGATATAGTTGCTGGCCCAGGTGTCCCTGCTCTGGTGCTGCAAATCACATAATGCACCCACAATTGGTCCTCAATGCTGGCTAAGAACATAGATATTAGACGTATATACAGTGTATTGGGTAATGTGAGTAATGTGTGTGGATTAAAGCTGTCCAGACAACAAACATATATTTGGTGGAAATCCTGTGCCTATAGTGTATCTCCAAACCTTGTCACTTCATCCGCCATTACTGTCACGTGACAGCCATGTGACATCTTATCACTGTGATCAAATTAATCATCAAAGATTGGGGGTCATTTTGTCATAAATAATGTTGGACTGATGCTCACCATGGCCCATAAAATTGACCCCGAGTGAAAATGTACACTTGCGTGAGGCGGTTGATGAATGAGGCAGGCAGGCCTGTATTTTGTGTGTGGTGAAGTCAGAATGTGTAATACTCACATAAAGGTAGCTAGGCAACCAATCAATGCGCTGTGTGTGGGGTTTAATTTCCCCAAATGACTCTTTGGCTCTCACTTTCCATCCATTACCCCCTTTCAGCCCTGTTGTTGTAATGTTTGCACTGGTAGCAAGCCTAGCTATCTTTGACACACAGTTTTCTCTGTTTTTTAACGACAGTGGCTCTGCCACACTTGACAATGTGCATGTGCGAACATCAAATGGAGCGGTTCAAAGGCTGGACTCTATGGACTTTTATTGTGTTTCAGTCATTGTCCATCTCCTATTTTATAGGGAGGATGATTTGTTGGACAGTGCTCCTCTACTAGCTGAGAACTCAAGATTAGGTATTGTGACCATAGCTTTCCCTGTTGTTTTATCGCACCCCTCATCTCTCTCTCCCTCTCCTCTCTCTCTTCCTCCTCTCTCTCCTCCTCCTCCCCTCTCTTCCTCACTCTCTTCCCACAGGCTGTCAGATTGTGCTGACCAAAGACTTGGAGGGATTGGAACTGACATTACCGAAAATCACTCGAAACTTTTATGTCGATGGACACGTTCCTCAGCCACACTAATAGATTATGTGTCTGTGCAATGTTCTGTGTGTGTATGTACACTGTTAGTGTATGCATTGGTAGTATCCCCGGGCTTTTTTGCGGGAACGGTTTGAGGAACGTTACTTCCTCCCGTGTGTAACTTGCGTTTTGATTTTTGATTGAGCGCATGCGCGGCCGATCGCGCGCGTGTACTACTCGGGCTAGGCTAGCTGTGTACGTAGCTTAGCTAACCGTCTCTGTGGGGCAGAGAAAGATGGGAGACGAAGGAGAAGTTCCGCTGATCCAGGTGACCAACGTGTCTCCCCAGACCACCAACCAGCAGATGAAGGAGCTGTTCTCGTATCTGGGAAGCACCAAGGAACTGAAGGTCTACCCAGAGAGGTACATTTGAGCTTCCCCTGAGATGGCAGGGTTTAAACGTCTCGTAAAATAGCTCCACTACTTTAGCCTGGGTGGCCTTGTACTGTACCGATGATTGCATTAAACCAGCAAATGTTCGGGTGCGCTCTAATTAGAGTTCCTCACCTCTCCAGCGACTCGGCAGTGAGTTTCCCGAGTAAAGTGTGTTTTGTGAGGTTTGCGGAGCTCGCCAGCTGTCATACTGCTCTCCACCTCACCAACTGCATCTTGGTGGACAGAGCCCTCATTGTAGTCAAATCCAAGTACCGTAAGTCACAATGTGTGGGTGTGTGTTGAAAGTGCCACAATTTTCTATGTGCACTATTCACTTTCTGTCAGTAGGTGTTACTTTTTTTACTCCAGTAAATTCCCCACCCCTCATTTTCTCTCCCTCACTTTCCCTCCCCTCATGTTACGCATACACATCATTTGTATGGGCTTTCTCCCTCTCCCTCCCTCCCTCCCAACACTGCCTCCACCCATGTAGCTGAGATTCCAGATGAAACAGTCGCTCTCTCACTGGCGGCTCCAGCCATTGCGGTCGCCAACATCGGAGTTCAGCAGCCAATCACCCATACAGCTCCCCTCCTCCCCACCCCTCCCAGTCTTTTTAACATGGGTGGACTAGGGACCTCTGTCCTCGGGAACCCACCCTGTACGGCAGCTGCCACTGTCGCCGCTCTCTCAGCCGCCATCCCCGGCCTCGCTGGACTGGCTCCCGGCATGGTGGGCACTAGTTAGAATTCTCTACATAGTATATACATAGTACTATATATGACTGTATGTATGTGTGTAATACATATGACACATTAATGCAATAGGTATGTACATACAGAATGTACTGTAAGTATGCATGGTCTTTAGGTGGGTTTGGTTTTTAGATGCTATATAGCTGTACACAAAGTGTTGATTGAATTCCTATTTCCATATTTGCAGCTGCAGTTGCCAGCTATGTCGGTGGCCTCAGTAGCTACTTCCATGGGTGTCACGAAACCACTCATCTCCGTCATGGGCACAGTGGTCCCCCAACCTCCTCCCCTGACGGGGAACGTCGACCCAACCAAGATCGAAGAGATACGAAGAACAGTCTATGTTGGGAACCTCAGTACCAAGGTATGTGTGTCGTGTAGGATGGTACGGATGATTGCAGTGTGCACCTTCTTTTGCATATCGATCTTGACTTGCAAAGCCACAGGTAACCGCTGCTTTTCTCTCGTTCTGTGTGTGTTTGTGTGTTTATCACCCTATCTCCTTTCATCTCTTTGTTGTGGTTGTCTGTTTTCCTTCATTTACCTCTTCCCTCTCCCTCTCTCCCTTCTTCCTCTCTCCCTTCTTCCTCTCTCCCTCTCTCCCTTCTTCCTCTCTCCCTCTCTCCCTTTGTCTCTTACTCCTATCTATCTTCTTTCTTCGCTCACTCTCTCTCTCTCTCTCCTTGTGGTTGTGGTTGTTGTTTTTTCTCTCGGGTATCATTAGCTGACGGCTGAGCAGGTGCTCACCTTCTTCCAGCCATGTGGAGAGATCAAGTATGTCAGAATGGCCGGCGATGAGACACAACCCACAAGGTATATATATATACACATACAGTACTTTTAGCAATGCTCAGATACTGTCCGTTGACCGAGTGGTGGCTGTTAAAATTGTCACGATCTTACCTCAAATGTGCCGTATAAATATTGATGTAACACTACACGTGATGGCCACAAAATTTCACCACAACTGCCACTTTTCCACGTGGTCAAAATTTGCCCCCTCCCTCCTCCTTCTCCGACTTATAAAAAAGTTAGGCTTTGTCTTTTTAGTGTGTATGTGTGTGTGTGTGTGTGATAGTGTCGTGCATAGTCTGTGAAAACGGGGCTTTAATTCACTGCAGGTTTGCGTTTGTTGAGTTTGCTTCTCCGGACTCTGTCCCCATTGCTCTGCAGTACAATGGAGCCATGTTTGGCGACCGACCCGTCAAGTAAGTTTGTATCTGCCGCCTCTCATCATACCCTTAAATTGCACATTGATGCTGGTCTTTGTCAATTTTGATGTATGATCCGTGTCTTGTCTTATGTATGTACATGTATGTGTGTGAGTGTTAAAACTGTGTGTGTTGGGTTCCAACAGGGAAGCTAACGTGGACTCTCTTTTTCTACACTTCTTGCCATTATATTAGATAATCCGCCTACTCTGGCAAGTACTGCTCTCTGCGTGCACTGCATCTTACACTGCACGTGACGGGTCCTCACCTCCATGACACACAGCTGTTTTTCTCTATCCCCTCCCCCACTCCCCCCCCCCCCCCCCTCCCCCTCCCCTCTCTCTTTTGTCTGTCTCTTTCCAACACATGCACCCAACATGTCAATACACACACACACACTGCTACTGAGATCTATGCGTCTACTTTTTCAACATGCATCTCAGACCTACTTATCTTCACATGCATGCATACACATCTACATCTCTACATGCACACACGCACACACACATTCACTGTGCGTATCTTCCACACGTGCATGTACGTATGCATGCAGAAGGATGTTAACTCTTCAATCTGTTATCACAGGAGACCATCATCTGCCAGGCTTTCATCTCCATTTGTCTTCTGACTTTCTCATTTTTCTTACTCTGTTTCTGCCTCAACTCACTCTGTGTACATGTGTGTTTCAAAGCATGTGAGCACAACTAGCATCAGATTTGGTGTCTATATTGCCTGCTCGTGCAATTTTTTCCGCAACGCAAATATGCCAGAATGTATGAGAAACTCAACCTGTCCTTTCACTAGTAAAACTAGCTAGTGGTGCACAAAAGTGCCACTCCAACACACGCCAGTCTGTATGTCTGTGTGTCCAAATTAGTCAAGAGCAGTCTGTTTCTCCCGCAGAGTGAACCACAGCAAGAACGCCATAGTGAAGCCGCAGGGTGTAACTCCGCAGGAGGAGAAGAGGGAGGTGGAGGAGGCCATGAAGAGGATCAAGGAGGCCAACAAAGTCCTTTCAACTACCGTCGTCGTCGTCAATACCAACTCTGGTACATATTGTACATACGTGTAGCTTTTAAATAATTATGGTGGTCCTTTGAATGTAGCGGTTTGGTGGTTGCACTCGAATTGGCTCAAGCAGTCATGTGTGTGCTCAGCATGATGAGGATGTCCAACAGTATTCCTATTTAATACCCGCCATAATATTTCCATATGCCCTAATGGTATACTGGGTATACTGATTTTTAGCAATGGTAAACTGTTACTGTACGCTGTATACAAGTTTGCCAATCTGTGTCTCTTCTCTTGTTCAGAAAAGACAAAGAATGAAAAGAAAAAACGGTCGCGTTCTCGTTCCCGCTCTCGCTCTCGCTCCAGATCTCGGTGAGTTAACAACAACACCACTGTAATATATGTGTTTACCGTATAGTTTTCATTCATTTGCACAAAATAAAGGGGTGTTGGTAAGTGCATGCATGCATGTGGAGGGAAGGCAAATAAAAACCTTATGTTCCGGAATGGTAAACCCACTGCACATTAGTGTGGTGGTTGACGATATTTTATGAGGTTGCAATGTCTGTTGTGGCAGATCTAAAAGTCGACGCAAGAGAAGTAGGTCTCGCTCCAAAGACCGTCGCCGACGTTCTTACTCCCGCTCTCCACGTCGGAGGTCAAGGTACAACCAGATACCTAGCTACATGTAGTACCTTCCGCCTTTCATTTTTTGCCTTTTGTAAGAAACCTGTGTGTACGGGCCACACTCACCCCATTAGTGTCAATGAGTCTTGTAGTAACTCACATGTTTACTAAGATGGTGGTAGTGCCTTTCCCACACAACCCCCCCTCTCCCGTAAAGGATAGTGCACGGTCATTTGTAGGACATGGGCAGCTGGTCCACGTGTGTTGCTGTGTATGCAGGTCACCTCGGAGGAGGTCCCGCTCGCCGCTGCGTCACAGTAGCAGTCGCTTCCCGGCCTCTCGACGAGACTACGGCTACAGTCGACGATCTCCCTCGCCGCGACGAGACCGGGTCCGCCATCGTGACCGCGACAGAGACCGCGACCGTGATAGAGACAGGGAGAGGGAGAGGGAGAGGGAGAGAGAGAGGGAGCGAAGAGAGAGGGAGAGAGAGCGGGAAAGGGAGAGGGAAAAGAGGGACAGACGTGAGAGACGAAGGTCGGTATCTCCAAGTCCTCATCGGTCACCGTCACGCAAATCAAGGTCTTTGTGTGTACATCTCTCTCTATGTAATATGTCATATAAGCAATGTATTATTATACAGGAGCTCTCGAAAGAAAGAGAAGAGAGATGTAAGTCGCACCCCCAGCCGCAGCCCCCTTCGATCGGGCAGCCCCTCTCGTAAACGCTCAAAACGATCCAAGAAGGACAAGAAAAAGCGCCACAAGCGGTCTCCCTCCTACTCTGCTTCGGCCTCGCCCTCTGCAGAGTCTGATTCCCATTCCCCGAGTCCGGAACCAGCCGCCGTCGGTGGTGGTGGTGGCAGCGGTGGTGGTGTGGCGTCCATGTCATGGGGGAGTGAAGAGGAGGGCGGGGGCACGGGACAAGAGGGAGGAGGAAAAGAACTCTGACAAGGGGGGTGGTGGAGGAGGTGGGAGGAGTTCGGGAGGGGAGAGTGAGGAAGAGGAGGAAATGGAGAGGGGGGAGGCGGGAGGAAGCAGGGGGGACGGTGACGAGTCAGAAATGGAGAGGGGGGAGGAGGGAGGAAGCAGGGGGGACGGTGACGAGTCAGAAATGGAGAAGGGGGAGGAGGGAGGAAGCAGGGGGGACGAGTCAGAAGACAGCTCCAATCAGGAGGAAGAGTTATCTGACGTGGAATAGCTGGCACGTGGGAGACTCAATGCTAATCTCCATTTACAGAATACTGTTTCTTTACTTTGTACAAAGTAAGACATTGACTGGTGGTTGTAAAAATATTTTGTTGTGTGAGTACACAAGGAATTTGGTTCACTTTTGGTGATGTCTATTTTCTCTCTGTGCTTCAGTATACTTTGCTTGGAGCTGTAAATAAGTATAGGAATTACATTGCAAGTTAGCCGTGGATGTGTTAACCTGCTTCAGTAGAAATTTCCCTTCTTTTTGAAGCTTGAGTGTGGCCTTATCTTTACTGACGTCCATCTGAAGTATATCAGCTGTATAGCGGAGAGATGCCACTATTCATGTCAAACTACTGCTCATATATTTGCACTCGCATTCGCTAACTAATAATTTACCTAAGTTAGCCTGGAGAGTATTGGTGCTGGTCCGTATCTCGTCCAGTGCCACGTACATCTCCCGAGCCTTGCGATGTGTGGCCGTCTCTTGCGACATCATATCCTGCTCCTACAGACATTGTGAAGACCACGGAATTATATACACACATTTTCTGAACTGCATATGTGTTCATGGCTTCCTGCTCGTGGGTTACAAGAATGCCTAGATATTGTTGGTTTAGTTAAGGAGGAGAAATTGGTGTGGGTTTGAATTATACCTGTTTGAATATATACCTGTTTGTTGGTCTGCCTGTGTGTGAGCTGTCTGAGAGTGGCTGGGGCTGCTGGCTTGTATGGGGAGCCGTGCTTCAGGGCATACCGCAGTCCATGTATGCAGCCATACAGATCTGCAGGCAATAATATCAACATAATTTAGTGAACCAATGGCATTATATAATTATACGTAAGCCACATATAATAGTTGCTAGAGACTGTTGGACAGATAAAAGTGAAACCAGAACCCTGTTATATAGGCACCTTTACACTGTATAATGTGTGGTAGATCTAAGCACAAAGAATGAGACCCACCAGTAGGTATTGGAGGTGCAGGAACAGAGTCCTTCACAAGTAGAGCCTCGTAGCCTCGGTAGTGCTGTGGGAGCTCATCTGAAGCATGCTTCTGCAGTCTCTGTTTTCCCTGGTGGTCTGTCTCTCTCTCTTTGCTTCTCTTCTCCCAACCTCTACTGCTCTCTCTTCCACTCGCCTCACCTTTCAAAAATTTCCGAAACTCCTCCTCCTCCTCACTTCTTCCCTGCATAGTGCAGCAACAATTCATACCATGAACTGGGTTTTACCAGTAAAAAAAATCCATAGATGCACGTAAGTAACGTTTTTTTAGTACAAAGGCAAAGCCAACAACACACCTACATTTGGCTGGGATTCAAACAAACGACACTGGTGTCTAGGCACACCTGTGTAATGAAGACACTGTCTTCATTGCTGTCTTCTGTTGCTGGTGATCTCGATTTGGTGTTTGTGAGGGCGTGTGAAGTGGGAGGGGGAGATTGGTGACCAGTCAAAAGAGGAGGAGGAGGTGGGAGAGGGAGGTGGTGGATAGGAGGAGGAGGAGGAGGGAGTGAGAGCTGTGTCTGAATGTCAGGCTCTGGGGGTATCTGCAGACAGTTTTATGAGACGTAGGATCCAGTAAAACTTCTATACTCTGCATATTACAGTACCTTTTTGAATTCTTTTGCTTGTTGTCCAATTCTGAATGCCTTGGCTTTTGGTTTATGCCTGCAAATCACGAGGTTACAGGGCACTGTATGCAAGCCAGGGTCTGTTTCTCACCGAACTATGTGCAGATTTTTCTTCTGAATCAACTCTATCTGTAGTCGAGGGGGCATCCCTGCAGGAATGGATGTTATTGCACTGATGAACACTAGCTTTCTCTGAAAGAATGCTACAGATTTGTAGCTCTGTACATCTCTCTAGCTGACTGCATGGCTGCATGATCACCTTTGCACATGCTGATAAGGGGGTTCCCGTGAATTATTAACTCCTTCAGAGCTGGCCACAGACCGCAGGCCAGCAATCCCTCAGACGAAAAAAACTGCAAAAAGCCAAGTACACACAGCTATGTAGATATAACTATACATTCGGTTCACAGAAAGAATTCACACTGCAAACAGGGGAATGGTACATAACATTGTGCCATAGCCAAACATTACCTAGACTGTAGTGGATTATGTGTCTCACCAGGTTGTTGGCGAGGCTGAGAGTGAGGAGTTGGGGGAAGGGGGCCATGGTGGGAGGGAGTCTGCTCACTGACACCGGTCTCTCTGTCTCCGCCAGCCCTGCTGTCTCTCTCCTCCCCCCGCCTTCTCCCTCTTCACACATCTCACTACTTCCACCATCTGCACACCATTCGCCCTCAATTCTCTCCTCGGGAGCTGGCATTTTCTCTTCTACCGGCAGGTTCAGCTCTGACCCACTATTTCTCCCATTTCTATGCTGTTCTGGTGCCTCTCTAGACCGAGAGGGTTTTCTATTTGATGCCCCCTGACCTCCAGAGATTGCTGATCGACCACCGTTTGTTGGAGTTTGGGAACTCCTAGCAGTGTTGAGTGAGGTGCCCCTGTCATCATCAGGTCTGAGTTGACTGGTTCCAATCAGCCGCAGTTGAGGGACTGTGTACAGCTCATTGTTGTCCAGATTCAAATACTTCAGCCTATATACAATAGAGTGTATTTTGTGAGTGACATAATAGGAGTGTAAATTCCTCTATTTGTGACTGTATACTCTGGGAATATGTAGGAGAAACTTTTGTTGTGATTCAGTAGGGGGGAGATATAGTAATGGTAGTGACGTGCATTTCAATCTGGATGGGCATGACATGTATGTAGCTACAAATTACCGACCTCCTGAGGCCAGCAAGAGTTGAGAAGGTGGTCTGGTCAGTGAGTTTGTTATCGTCCAGCCACAGGGTCTCCAGAGCAGCAAACCTCATCCCCACGGAACCACTATATATCAATTCAACCACAGCCAGTTTAACTGGGGCATAATTATATTGCCTAAAACAACTAACACTGTTTTTTACACTATTTCCAAAGAGCGCTCCAGAAGGCATGGCAAGTATTAGTTCATAACCCAAACAAAATACACGACTGGTGTGTGGATAACTTACAGTAGACACAAACATACAGACCTAGTATCCGAGGTATCCTTGTTGATCCTAAACGGTCTCGACATCTCCACTGGCAGAGCCACTATGTCATTGCCTGGAAACATTATTACACAAACAGCTTTGGACTGCAGCTATATACACATCTGTGGCGTTGTTCTGACCCGTGAGGTGGAGCTCCCTGAGCCGAGGAAGTGTTCCCAGGGCCAGCATGGCTTGACCACTCACAGCATTGTAGGACAGGTCCAAACACTGTAGAGGAAGAGACTCATGTCAATACACTTGGATTTGAATGGGGAAACTTGTGCAAATTTTGAGCGTGAGAACCACTGGTAAAATGCATAGGTATTTCCTTCCATTTTCAGGTACGTATACATACAGTACATGTCAGTATGTTAGCCTCTACCCAAGGCCCTGGGAGTGAGGCTGGTGACTGTATATACCTGTAGTCTGGTAAAGTCAGTGTGATCGATGGAGATGTCAGATACTCCACACATACACAGCTCCAGCTGCTCCAGGACAGGAAATGTCTTGAATGCCTCTGCATAAAAATACACAGTGTTAAAGCTGTACATAGAGGTGGGAGCCCTGAAGGTCTACCCATTGGCAGTGCTGAGTCTGATGCATTCATGAGGACCAGACTGTCAAACGCAGCGAAATCCTCTGCTCTGTACTGCAGATAATACATGTAATAGCAGTGATATTATGAGTTCTCCAAAAAGGACCACTATCTCTGGCTCCAAGCATAAGCCCTAGTACAGTGTAGCTTTCTTGGTTTGCTCACAGATTTCTGATGTACACCACTGATGTCTGCATGGCTCAGGTCACTGGGTGCATCCACGAAGCAGTGTCTCATGAGGAACTCTCTGTTCAGAACCCTTCTGGTGGCTCCACTGGCCTCCCTGGTGTTGAGTGGGGGAGACAGCAAGCCCCAGCTGCCTGAACCGTGCCTGCCCTGCTGCTCCTGGCTCAGGAAGACCGCTCTCAGGTGCCTTCTCTGCTCAGCTTGGTACGCTGTCACCCATTCTCCTCCTGCAGTGAGCACTAGGAGTGAAGCAACTGTGTACTGTTGCTTACAGGCTGCTCAAAAGTAGGAGCTTACATAAATTTCATTTGTTGCTGAGCTCACACACATAGCTATGTAGCCAAGTAGTACCTTGGTAACTGGTGGACTTCGTAAATCTCCGTGCAGGAAATCCGTTGACAGCGACTGGACCCAGCAAGAGTCCGTTCTGATGCGCCGCCATAACACCTTACAAGTGACTCAGTGACCTGATCATCTATTGCTTTGGCCCTGCTCTCTCTACTCTAGCTCTGTAGAGAGAGAGAGAGACTGTAGCTATGCAGCAGCGCATGTGGTCTGCAGAAGAAATGTTTTGTCGTTTCTATGGAGACTGCGCTTTTGATTGGCGGGACCTCCTCTCTCTGAAAAAGAAGGCGGTGCCGCTCGGCTGGAGAGTAGCAGTGTCCAGGATGACGGCGCCCGTGAGCAGTGCGGCTTCCCGCGCTGCCGTCTGCCCCGGAGATCCGGACACGTTTGCATTGGAGATGATAAAGTTGATCAACGACAAGGAGTTCAGGTGGAGACGGCTAGGCTAGCAGCAGCAGCAGATGCAGCTGTCTCTTGTGCATTCCCTCTGCAGTGATATACGCTTCACCGTGGGAGAAGAACGACAGACTATCTATGCCCACAAGTGCCTCTTGGCTGCAAGGTATAGCCTACTAGTCTAGTCTATGAAAGAGTTCTCTTGAGGAATTTGTGTATATTGCTAGCTGGCCCTCGTAGAATCATGCTATTCTACTGTTCAGGTGTGAGGTGTTTCGAGCAATGTTTGCAACCTCGGAGCAGGCTGTCACGGAGGACAATGAGCCTGATCCGCTGGTCCTCTCAGAGGTCCAGCCAAACATATTCCTAGCTCTCCTCGAGTTCATCTACACCAACTGCTGCAGCCTCTCCACTGATATGGTGAGCTCACTTTTGCGATGCAAGTTTGAACTTTGAAAAGCAAAAAGGCAAAAAGTGAGGGAGCTTGGGATAATGCATGCGATGCTCCTGCCTCTGTCAAACACAATGAGAACAGGAGCATTACAGTCAAGTAATGTCCACACACGCAGACCTCCCCTGCTTCTGAGTAAGCCTGGGAAGTTACAGCTCTTTGTATCTTTATGTGTGTGCAGGTGATTGATGTACTGGCTGCGTCCATAGAGTATGGTCTGGATGGACTCACCAAGGTAGGGAAGAACACCACTTTTTTCCAGTGGTTTTTGAATGTTTGTTCTACCGGCAGCTGTGTGTTCGGTTCATGAGAGAATCAATAGCAGTCGACACAGTGTGCGAGTTCACTCAGGTCAGCTCTTAGCTGCTTTCTGTACGTGTATATATGTGTGTATTTTAAATGCACGTGTACATACATAATAATGCAGGCAGCTCTGACATATCAGCAGACCACGCTTCAAGAAGAGTGTCTTAACTTCATTGATGGAAACACAGAGGTTCATGATACACTTGAAATCATATTATAGCGATACCTTCATTAAAATTCCAAGCCATGCCTTAAATTTTCAACGCTCACTTTCTTATTGTGTATATATCTCCAAAGTGTGTGGTGTACTGTACAGGAGGTGTTCAAGAGTCAGGGATTCAATGAGCTGTCGGAAGACGCCCTGTCCTTTGTACTGCAGTCAGATCAACTCCAGATGGACGAGGAAGACATTCTCGCCAAAGTCACAGAGTGGGCCACTGTCAACTCTGTGAGCTTTGTTTTTGCAAGTGTGCCACCAGTGGTTCAGTTACGTACAAATCTTCAGGTGGTGATGGGGCAGACCCTGGGCGAAGTGGCCGTAAAGGTGATTAACCACGTCAGGTTTGGCCTCCTGGACCCTGAGAAGCTGAGTCAGATCGAGAGAGACAACCAGCAAAAGAACTTTGTTCCTGTGAGTTTAACCATTATAGCAGTGTTTTACTTTAGCCGTTCCCAGGCTCCGTACACATATTTACCATAATGACCTTTGAATCAAAGGAGTTTACTTTACATTGTGTGCTGACTAGGTGCTAAGCCTGACTCCATGCTCCACCAAACTGCTGGTTGATATGTGTTGTGTTGCAGGTGCCTCTTATATCGGCTGCGTGGAAATTCCATGCTCTCAAGAAGGTGGATGTGACAGACCCCCAGACCCGACCTCGGGCTGGAACAGTGCCGCGGGAATCCCTCAGAGTAGTGGGGTTAACCCCTCAATAATGACTTCCCCATGCAGCACTGTTTTTGATCTCTCTCCACTGTACTTGCTGTATCCATGTCCACCTCACCATTGTGTACATAGTACCAACTGTATTATTGCTTGTGCACAATTGGTATAAACTATCGTTTAAAAATCATGTTACAAAGAGCCTCATAAAAAAAAAATACATGCACAGTCTTGTCTTGAGTAAGCAGTACATGTAGAGTCTTGAGCATGTAGTACATGTAGAGTCTTGAGCATGTATATAGTACATGTAGAGTCTTGAACATGCAGAGAGTTCCTTTTTCTGTTGGAGGAGATCCTCAGAGGGAGACAAAGTGGTTCGTTCCTCCGTTATTATCCCAGTGGTCTCCGAAAAAGAAGGCCAACTCCATCACTCGGCAGCTCTCTCCCTCCGGCAGCTCCACACAGACCTTGAACCTGTCGAACCTTCCTCCCTCTGTGGTTTCGATCCACTCGGCAGCAGTGTCTTTGTAGGTCACCCATCCATCGACTGTGTGTCTAGCTCCGACATTCTTCTCGTAGCAGTCATTACGGACCAGTAGTGTCCCCACTACTGTTTTCCTGTCCGAACCAAATTGAATTTCCTCCAAGACGATACCTTCCTTCTCCACACGTTTGTACACTTTGTCACGTGTATACTCCTCCTTTGCTTCAGTCAGTGTGTCCATACTCTCGGATGTGATCCCAGTAATGCCAGTGTCTATTGAGTTAGTGCTGGCATCGGTGTATCCCGAGTCGCTAGTGTGGGTGGAGGTAACTTCGATGTGTTTCTCACTGTCATCTTCAGACTTCACCTCACAGATGCTGCTATCCATCGATGGATCTCCGTAGTCAGGTATGGTTGTGGTACTGTTGCATCGAGGAATAAATGTCTCGCAGGAGGCAGAATCATTGTCGGAGACTTGATCATCCATACTCATACTCGCCTGTCGATTCACTAAGCCACAGCTAGGGAGTGCGATGTCCACAACGGAGAAGCCAGTACTCGGGGTGCACAAAACTTCGTCTTCTTCGATGAAAACATTGAGGAGGGATGAAGTTGCCTGATCATAGTAGGTTGGAGCCGATCGGGCAGTGTCAGTAGCCGTTTCTACTCCGATAGGCCCATCGAGAGCAGTGGAACGAGCCGGGGTCCCCGTAGTCGACTGTTGTTGCTGGACGCTCAGGTGGACGCTTGAGGACGCCGTTGACACGCGCACGGGAGTAGATGCGTTCCGATTATCGGGCACCGTAGCAGCGACCGACTCGACACGATGCGAAACATCCGCTGTTGATTGACTTTGTCGCTGCTGCAGTCGGGATCGGTAGGTGCTGCGTCGCTTCCTCCATATCCGGATCCTCCTGCGACTACGACGCCCGCGGTGGCGTCTCCCCCAATTCCGCGGGCTGAGCCTACTCAAAAGAGCAGCCAAAGCCGTAAACACAACACCAATGAGCATCGAGAGGAAAATGCAAATGCAATCGCAAAAGCGAAGCAAAAAATCACCAGCTGACCGAAACAAGCAAAACACAGAATTTGTGTTTCCCGCGAAAGTACCGCGTTTAACAACGGCGCTCGCTCGCTGCTATTGGATACCGCTGGTACGATCGACAATAGTATACCTACCTACCTACTACCTTCGCGTTCGTTCTGACAACTCGCCTGCACAGGTCATGCCAGGCAACCAAACTTGTCGCATTGAGTCAGCCAGCTCACCTCTGGGTGAGTGACTGGCTCATAATCCTTACCCTCCCGCCCTCCCTCTAAAATTTCTTAAAGAAAAGTTTACTCTGGACAGTGGAAACAGTCTCTCTCTGATGGTTATGAAGATGCTCGTCTTTTCTAAAGGCGAGTTACTACTTTGCCTAAAGGCACTATCTATATAAAATGTTTTAATCTCTCTTTGTACAGTCGTTAGTGAAGCTGAAGCCGACAGAAATGAAGATCCTCTGTCGAGAACTTCACCAGCAGATCCTCTGTCAATATCTTGAATAGATCTGTCGAACCAGCAGCAGATCCTCAGTGAATAACTTCACCAGCAGAAGAACTTTACCAGCAGATTGTCGAGAACTTCAACAGCAGATCCTCAGTCAATAACTTCACCAGCAGATCCTCCATGCATCTATGTCACTGACTGCTATTGCAGCTCAGACTGAAACTGGAGCTGCGTGGAATACTGACTTATGGCTGATTCTGAACTGACTAAAGACTGTTTGCTAAAGATCATCCGTTGAGCTGAATGTTAGGTTAGGCATCCACTTAAAAAAAATTTCTCATGCAAGCAGTTGCTTGCTGCTGGAGCATAATTAAAAAACATAGCTACTACTGCAGAGCAATACAGACCGTAACTATTTACAGTGCAACACAAGTGTTTTAAGAATATGTGCATGTCTGGTAAAGTCTCCACAGGACGTATCCTCGTCGGGCTGGTGGCTCTGGCCGTGGGCTGGTGTGAACAACAGTGGTGCAAAGACCTGCGAGATCTTGTCAAGGCTCGTCCCATTCGTAGCTCCATGCTGGCACACAGCTCTGAAATGAGCCAGCAGAGCAGAGGCACTGGCAGCGGCCTCATTGGGAAGACGCTCTATGAAACTGGCGAGGGAGGTCCCTTCATCGATTTCGAGTTGTTCATTTACAGCATCCTGGACACTGGCGGTGAAGTCGGGAGGGAAGAGCGGTTGGGGAAGGTTGAGGAAAGAGTCTTTCAGTACTCCTGTGAACGCGTGCAACGACACTCGGGGTACAAAGCCCCGCAGTAAGCTGGGATGAAGAGTATCATTTTGACATGCTGTAAGTGCCTCTCCCTTGGCCTCTTCGTGTGCTGTGACCTGATAGAGACCCGGGGTCTCAATACCGTACTCTTCGACTACTCTAATGGCTCTTTCAACCACAAGTGGCAGGCCAGAACCGGTTCCATTGACGGATATTGACTCATCCTTCAACGACCCACCTGTGGGAGTGGCTCTGCCCTCCCCAGCGAGGTATGGCTGACGGCATTGGAGAGAAGCCGAGACTAAACTGAAGTCGGCCGATGGGATTGAGGATCAAAGCAAACTCCTTACGAGACCTGGGAGTCTGTGGGGTGGGTGAAAAGTAGGCAAAGGGAATGGTTTTGACCGAGGAGAGGATCCCGTTGACAAGCCCGAAAGAGATCTTGTGGTTATTGGTGAGTTGGATGTGGTACTCGTGGTTTATCTTGGCTACCTCCTCTTGTTTGAGCTGGGTTACCGTGACGGAGACTTCCACAGTTTGTTCCGAGTCGCACGAAACTGAGCAGACTAGCGGAGCATCATCAGAAGGCGGGATGAGGTTATCGACGGTGCCAAGTACCAGGGAAAGCACCCCACTGTGCGGTTCGGTGACACACATCTGATCAATCTTCTCGTGATCAATCAGATTCACATCACCTAGACTACCTCCAAGTTTCCTTGGTGAGTGTGCTGAGTGTTCCGGCTCGCTGTGGGTGCTGACTCTCAGTGGCTCGTGACGTACAGTCTCATAACCAGGGCTCTCGGCATCGTCTTGTGTCTCCGGTCCAATTCTGGTGTAAGCATAAGGGACCAAGGCCTCACTGCTGTCAGGGATAACTCGAGCTCTCCTGTTCCTCACGGAAACCTCTCTATCTCCTGGCTTGGGTCGCAAGGTCACCGTACCGTCAGTGGAGTTGAGAGCACGTTTTTGGTTGGACCTTAGGGAGAGATTACGGACGAGAGCCGGGGAGGTGAGTACCTTTACCGTGAGAAAGAGCCTCTGGACGTAGCGCACGATGACTGTGACGGTCTCCAGGGGCATGTGCATCACATCGATATCGTTCACCTTCGTGATCTCGTCGCCGACGCTTAGGAGTCCGCTAGTCTCCACGATGCTGCCCAGGTTTACCCTCGAGACGAAAACGCCATCGCTCCTGTCCCACCCGTCCCCCTGCCTGATGTAGAAGCCGAGACTCTCCCCCGGCTCTCGCAGGATCTCGACTACCCTCAGCACAAACGTCCCCGAGTCGTCGGCAAACTCCCGGATCCCGGCGATCCTGCGGAAACTGCCCTCCACCACTGAGATTTCCAACTTGCCTTTGGGCTTCGTCCCGTGATCGCTTTGCTCTTCCGTTTCCCTAGCATTCTCCAAAATATTACCTGCATATACATACGTACGTAGCACAGCAACATAGTCTCATGGGTGGCACAGACCTTGGTAAAGCGTCGTTTCTGGATTAGAGGTTTGGAGTTGCGAGAGAATTTCAGGTGGCAACTGTTTCAGTAGCTCCTCGTCGCTCTTAGGAGTCTCCGAGCGTCTTGGAGTGGCCGGCAAACGACGTATCGTCATCCGCTCCATAGATCAGCCCAGCCCCTCCCCCCTAGTCTGAGAAGTCGTCTGCGCGTGCGCACTTCACCGTCCTCTCTAGGGCGGGTTCGCGTACACAACATTGTCATGTAGCATCAATGATAAAGTCAAGGACCACTTGTCAGATTTGTGGCTCCCAAGTGTTTAGCTATGTACACAATCTCAGAGATGCGCAGTGTATAAAAGATCAAGAGTTGTTAATTGTACAACTGACAACTCAGCCTCTTTTTGCCTTTCCTAACAACCCACCCATGTTATGTTAGCTGTAGGAATGAAAATAGCTATCAAATTTTCCAGCCAATTTGGCATAAATTATGCTGCCTTACAATTAAGTATATTAACTTGCAGCTGCTAGTCATACACTCAATTTTTGTGTTGCGCAAACCATTGACATATTATAGTTGTGGAATTACAATAATTCAACGTAACCAAAGCTAGTTCATGTAGAGGTAAAATGCACATATCACACAGTGTTAGCTAAGTACAGTCGGTATAAAAATTTTTCACGCTGTAGAAAATGTAAAGAACTTGGAAGTGTATCTCTCTCCCCTGAGTCCAAGCAGCCTCTCTCGAGATATGGCTCTCACGCGATGACGTCCAGCTGGTAGTCCTGTGAATGTTCCACAGCCAGAGGATCCTTCAACTATAAGCAAAATATTTCGCATAATTGTGGTGCAAATGATACACACCATCAGAGAGAGTATAGCATACCAATGCTGACGTATCGCTTGCTGTTGTTGTCTCTCAGCACAAGTTTTATCAGTGAGGCTGTCTGGGATTCCACGCAAACATCTACACTGCTTCCATTGATGAAGACTGAGATCTTAGTCTCAAGAGAAGATGGAGCTGCGGAGATAGGACACAGTCACTAGTGGGCAGTGCAGTATAGCATACTTACCAACTGGAGTGTTTATGTCAAGATTTGGTAGCTGACAATAGTAGCCAAACTCTTTTGGATCTGTGAAGACTTCTCCGTGTGTTATTGGAGGGAAGAAGGTTCGAAGGTAGTCGCTCTTCTTGTGACCATCTCTAACCAGAGGGCCATCCGGGAAACTTGAGGATGGGTGCCGTTTTGTCCACTCCTCCAGGATGCAGTCCATCATCGTGTGGTGGATGATGAACAGTGGATCGTTTGGTGCACTGCCAAAATCAATCATGGACCCTTGCAAGTGTGGCGGAAGGGGTGTTACACCGCCAAGCCCCACCAGAAAGTGGGCCTGTTGAAGATAAATGAAAGTTTGTATATACTAGAACAGAAATAGCCAGCTGCACTATGCATAGAAGTGGGCTCAGACCACAGTACACCAGGAACAAACTATTTTGCAATAGGCTAAAGCCCATATGGCATGATCAATGATCACTCACTTGCCATAAGTTGGGGCTGAAGTTTAATATGATAGCTGCTGCAATACCAGTATATAGTGTGGGACACTTCAAACGGGACTTGTACACTAAGTTAACTCAGTAGTAGATAGCTATGACTTTCATCAACCTAAATGACATGCTTGGTCAAACACCCATTACTCCCTTGTTGCCCATGCATGCAAGGCACCTTTCCATGTACTCCAACGCTAATTTTCAGGACAGAAGAATCGTCGGGAACGCCCACACACAGGGGACCACCAACAGTACATAGACAGTATACATCTCGACGACATTCCTCCACATCACTAACACGGGGCAGATCAACCACAGCACCAAGAGAATTCACTGAATTGAGGTCAGTAAGGGCTCAACGGCATACTCTTCCAGTTTGAAAAGTTCGTTGACTTCCTGCAGTGAGGGCCAGTCTGGGTTACTGCTGTGGCAGAGAATCGGATTCCCTATGAAGGGACAACGTTGGATGTACCCAGTGGGTATATTAGGGATTGCAGATCTCTGGAGTTGCATGACATACGGCGTTCCAGTCTCCCACAAGGTCTCCAAACACAACGGGGCTATTGCTGACATTCCTAGTCTCCCCAAAACGACTAAAGGAGAAGAGCTCTTCACTCGGTAGGCCGTAGCTGGTCTGGATCTCGCGCCGCCAGTCCCAGTAGGGGAGACGGAACTTGTAGTAGTCCTCTCGTCCCATGGCCTCCAGCATTGCCTGGATCTCATTCTCCAGGAAGATGTGGAACCATCGATGCCACGTGAAGAATGCTGGTCCGATGTGAGCATAGTCAATGTAGTCAGGTGAGACTGCAGGGATATTTAAACAAGAGAAATAAACCCGTAACATCTCATAAGCATCGTTCTGGTGCATAGAGGCGAATTCATCTAGAGAGCTGGGGACAGTGAAGTGTCTGGGAACAGACACATATGGCCTCATTCTGGCTTTTGATAAGTGTGTGGTATTTGGACAATTTGCCGCCTTATGCCGTCATGTTGCAGGCATAATGTGGCATACCAAACACAATTCAATGCAGAGGCAAATGCCTTGGTAGCTATGGCACAGAAGGTGTGGTAGACTAATACATTAAAGATGTCACTGCGCAAACTAATTGCATTCCAGAGTGAGACCATCCAGACATCCAATTTCACTGGTGAAAACGTTTGTGCCCGAAATAATTGTGCCGTTTCTTTTTACTGGGTATGAAAGTGTACCTAGACTGTATGGCTACATACTAGGTATTCTCTCAACTTACAGAGGTCTACCCCGTCTTTTCCAGCATAGTGATGAAACCAGACCCACAGATCATACAGAGAGATGTTGGTCATGACCAGGTCTGCAGTTCCAGGTACCCTCTCCTCCAACACAACACTATAGTCCGTCTCCCAAGTTTTGGTCATCCTCACGATGGCAATGAATTCCCTCCATTCCTCCTCGCTGAACTCGCGGACTGGTTTGCGAGGGATGATGGCTCTCGCAGCGCAATCTGGACCGTAGTATCCGTACTTGCACCGGCTGCAGTCGTAGCCGCCAAAGTTTCCGCTGCACTTGCAGATTCGTGTGTAGTAGTGCGGCCAGTTCACGCGAACATTTGTAGTATCGTTGCTGTGTCGGTCGAAATTGACGGAGGCGCACTCTCCGCGTCCGGCATCTTCGCCACAGACTCCGTCGGCAGTGACTGGACAGCAGGTCATTTGCTCCAGACTCTGTCTATCAGCACAGGCAGTCGGGATCTGGGCCACTGAACCCCGGTACAGCAGCACCAGCAAAAGAACAACACATGCAGATAATCCCTGCATCTCGCACCTTGACACAGATGATACAGCCGCGCGACTCGACTAGATCAGAGTCGAGTGTGGTCGTGTGGAAAGCTGGCACTTCGTGCGCATGCGCAGTGATTCATCGGTGCGCATGCGCATATGCGCGACGTATAGCGCGTTACGTACGTACGTACAGCCAACAGTCAACAGTCTGCAGCAAATATGCAGTAGAGGGTGATTCGTTTTCTTTCATTCAGATAGGGGTTATACTTTTTGAGTGGTAATAAAAACACACAGATATGCAGTGCAAAAGCATGTGCCTGGGATTATGCTTCTCAGAACGCTGAAAACAGTCCAGGGGTCTAGCATTCATGCCTAGAGAGGCTCTCTCTGCATGCCTCCAAGTCCAGAAAGGACTGCATTCGGTCTAGAGAGGTTCTCCCTTCTCCAGCATCCCAATTACAGCGGGGCTTTCCATCCATACTCCGTGAGCAATTCACAGAGAGAATGGCAAGGACTCACGGACAGTAGAAACACTGACACTCCAGTGCACCAACCAATATAGCTTCTCCCTGTATTTTCTTTCTTACTGCCAATGGACAGAATTGTCCATAGTGGCACAGGCAGTAAAACTGTCTTAGAAAACTTGGTGTTTAGCCGCTAGAGTGAGTGTAATACAAACTAAAGCACTACCCCTCACTGCATGCATGCCGAAATCCATACACCTTGATCATTTATTATCTGACATACACCACAATAGGAATGTATAAATTAAAGTATCTTGAGGCAAGTTATGCACACTACTGCAATTACTCAGTCTCTAGAGAGCTCCCACATCAACTTAACTTTTTTCGTAACATAGTCTATTTCGTAAACAGGTTCATTATTGCTCCAAGACATAAGAGGAGGATCAGGGAGATTACACCAAGGTCACTGGTGCTCCTAGCTCCAGCAGTAGTAGGGTGTTTCTTCAGTCATTGTAACACCTGCATGGGTAAAAGGGGCGTAAAACTAAGTTTTTATTTTGAGTTAATTGATGGTAACCTTCGGGGCAGCCGTAGTCTGGGTTAGACTCAATAGACCTGAGCTCATTCTCATTGTTGGAGACCTCAGGGCAACCCTTGTAGCAACCGATGGTCCAGGGGAACTGGTCGGGAAGGTGGTAGTGGTAGGTTGACTCTCCGTCAATCTCGTGGGTGTGTCCGCTGCACTCGTCCAGGTCAGTGGGGACTTTTCCTTCCAGTGAGTAGCGGCCGTAGAATCCAAACCCATCAAACATCCAACCGAGGAGCTGCGAATGCTCCCCATTGATGTCCACCGGTAGCCGACAAGCCTCTCTCTGCTCCGTGGTGTTGATCCCCAGTCCTGAGTGGATGTGGTAGGAACCTGTGGGTGCTGCATGGCCAGCACACGGGTCCACTGTGTGGCCCTCCGATTCAACAGCATCAACATACTCAGTGGGCGCCCCAGCATCAGGACAAAGAGATGAAAATCCACATGGAGATCCGACTCCAAATACTTCAACTCCGTTTATAAGAACTCCTATAGCTCCAAAGATGGGCCTTGGGTCTTCTTTCAAGTAGGTGATGTTGTTAAAAACACGGTGTCCTTTTCTCCCAGTGGAATGGGCACCTTTGCAAACGTTGGCTTGAGGGGGATGTTGTAGATCTTGCTGAATTGGCAGGCAGAGTTGGGGTTGGTCCATTCGGGATTATCGTAAGGAGGACAGGTGTCGGTCGCAATCTTGCGGAAGGTGTCGTCTTCGGTGATTTCGGCCATCATAAACGGCGCTTTGGTCGGACATTGCTGCGTCGTTGTGCAACCTTGTTGGGGAGGCGGTTGTTGCCCTTGGACATGCACGGTGCACACCACACACAGAACAAAAACAAGAGTGGACTGCTGAAAAGAAGAGAGCCACATCTTCACGGAGCTTGAGCAAGTTCTCCTGAGCATCGATTGGTCACAAGATTGAGCTCTGCGCTGCAGTCCAGCCACTCCCCCGCCGTGTCCACGAGAGCATGGCGCGTTAGGGGAATACCGCCCTCTTTTTGCGCCGTCTCTGTTTCGTCATCGAGCATCATCGTGCGCGCGCCGCAAAGCAACGGCGGCCAATATTTACCGCAGGAATGTTGGTGTGAAGTCATCAGTGTTCGGAAAACAGTTTGCTTCGAGGAGTGGGCCCGTTGGAGAAAAAACGAGCGACTGTGTAGCTCTTAGGCCCTCCTATACGCCCGGAGAGGCTTCTGCGCCTTCAAACAGCACACCGATCGGCTGGGAAAGGCCGCGGAACCGCGCGAGCCGCTGACGATGCCCAGGTAGCGGCTACTGACCGACCCCTTAGACCGATCGACAACTCTACAAGTAGATCTGACTACAACTGCATCACACTCGAGGCTCACGCTACCGCCTCGACACCGGACGGGAAAACTAGACATGGCCGACCACGACGTTTGCACAATACTAGATGGTGAGTCGGTTTACGAACGTTGGACATTTCTATTACGGTTTTGACCGTGATAATAGAGGTGCAAATTCTGTGTTTATAAGTGGCTAAGTATCGCCCGCCATGAAAACTGGGGTTTGAGCCCATTTCCCGTGTCTGGTCCCTCCCAATACAGAACGCCTCTACTTTGCTACACTTCGATCTAAACCACGCAACACTACATCATGTCACTACTTCTGTGTGGACGACGAGTTTATCTACGAAAAGTGAGCGTCTCTCTCTGTTGCGAAAGTGTCTTCAGATTTTCTTCTTTTTTTTTTAAACAGCTTCTATGCTGATTTTGGACCCCTCAATCTAGCAATGCTCTACAGATACTGCAACAAAGTCAACAAGAAACTAAAGGTGTGCTGTGCACCCATCACATTTATGACACATGTCTACCTTAATTCCTCAAGTGAAGTTCACCATAAATTAGAAAACCTATGTTTGGAAGCATTCTTTACTCGCCCTTTTCCGCCTGTTTGCTGTGCACAAGTTGTTGTGTTGAGGCGTGTTATGTTACCTTATGGGATGGTACACCGCCAAGACAAGCCCTGGTTTACCCACACGACGGCCATCCGTCTACATGTTATTAGGGGTATATACTTTGGTGCCGCAAAGCCTCACCATCATGTGCCGCTTTGATTGAGGGCAAACAAGTGTAGGGTTGTAAGCTATCAGCTGACACACCAGCTCCGGTGTGTTTTCATGTAACCTTTGCGATTTTTACACTCACTGACTTGTAGGCACGTTGTAGGCTAATGTTTGGGGCTAGGTGTGCCTGCTGCTCCTAAAGAGCATGCACGGCGTAGCACTTGCTCGCCTGCTGCGTGCGTGTTCCTTACTACTGTGCATTTTAGTGCGCGTGATGTGGCGTATAGATATAAGGGGGTGGGGAGAGAGGTAGTGGTAATCTTGCCGAGCAATCTGACCACAGTCCACGAAAGGTTTACCATTACCAGCCACAGGAACTACACTCTATACTCTCACATCCCTGCGCACACATACCCAAACAAGGCCGACCATGTTAGGCCAAGCAAATGTGTGCGCACAGTATATACAACAGTCGGTGTCCCAACTATTGCATTCTTGAATGCATTCCGCTCTATTCATGCGGTCGAATAGAATGAGTTGGGTGAGGCTCAGTGTCGCATAAGGCAATTGGGACGTCTGTCTGCCTTTGTCCCACCATTGTCTCGACAATTCTGTGCGTTGCGACTGTGTAATCTCAGTGCACGGCACGTGCCTCTGTTTATATGCGTAGCTCTCCTGAGGCCAGGGGGTCACCGTGTATATAGTGACCGCTGGGAATCTGTCTACATACAAACACCGTGATGCCGGCTACATCATCATAGGCTTTGGAGCTCTGTTCGCAAACTGTATATGCTTAGATGTTTCGAACGGTGCCTCTCTGCATGTTTAACATGGCAATCTGGCAAGATGATGGGTGACGTGGGTCTGTATTGTGTAAATAAGTGGGTGAAGGCGGCAGTGGTCCTGTGCTAGGCAGTGTGTACAGGAAGCTAGTGTAGGAAATACGAGAGTAATGAAACCTTACTACGCTACACTGCATCAGAATGTGCGTGGTCGTTGCTGTAAGGGCACGCAAGTGGGACCTTTGGTCACACTACATTATCATGTGTAGCAAATTTGCTTTGGAAATAACAAACTTTGCTGGTAACAAACTTTGCCGAATGATCATACTAACCCTACCTATATGTGTGCATGTACCTATTGTCTTTCGTATTGTTTTTTTTTCCACCAGAGCTCGTCTCTGGCTAAGAAGAGACTCATCCACTATACCTCGTACGACGGTCGCAAGAGAGCCAATTCTGCCTATCTCATCGGGTGCTACGCTGTAAGTTGTACCGTCCCTGTTTGCCCTACTGCATGCGTGTCTTTCTACGGTTTTTGGTATATACAGTGTAGTGTTGTGCCGTAGGTTTTGTGTACAGTGGGTTCGCCATCGAGTGCGACACGTACCGAGAAACATGTTCAACTACCACGTACAACAACCTTACTGTAGGAATACTGGGGGATGCTCCTCAAATTCCCATTGGGAATTGGCTCGTCCTGGCACATCAAATGCCCGCCAGCGTTCCGACGAAGTGTCTTGCTCCTAATGCAATAGAATGTCGGGTGCCTTGCATAGTTTGTCGCAAATCCTGTTAGTAATTGGATCTAACGTATGTAAAGAACTGCACGTGTCTGTGTGTGTTCTTATGAAGCCCTCCCCACCTCCTTTGTTACCATGACAGAGTGCTGGGACTAGGAGGTATATATACCTTCTGGTGTAGTTCTAATATGATTGGCTAGCAACTGCGGGATTTTTCTATTTGTATGTGACGGGCACTGCATTAGCACCAAATACGCGTGAAAATTGAACCATTAGCTAATAAATGTGTGGCATTTGTTCCAATTGTATAGCTTCCTAGTCTGTGAACTGCAATAATATGATTTTTTTAAGGATCAATTTTGTGTGTTGATTGTATGCCTCACTACAACCCGAGCCTACCCCTCCCCTTGTTATAATCGAATGGCTAATGAGCTTAGTCTTGAAGAGTTTTTGGCACTGTGTCTGTCCGTGTGTGTGTGTGTGTGTGTGTGTGTGGAATTTTATAAGAATAGCGTCTGTACGTGCAAATTCAATGACCTTGACAGTGTGGCCAGGAAAATTCTTCCTTTGACTGTCCCGTTTAATGGTCAACCAGCTCATTTTAGAAAGAAGTAGGGTAAGAAGTCAGACAATTATTTTGAACTCGCTAACATTCCTCATTGTATGGACTATCTGTGTGTAAAGGTTGTGTGTGTAAGGTAGCATGTCCGCTGTAGTACATGAAAACCACTAACAGAAGTTAACAGGTGTCCCCGCATTCCTCTGGCGTCAAGTCCACTACTAGTGGTACGCCCACTCTCTCTTCCATGTCACAGCACACACACACACACAGAGAGACCACTTTCTGATGTGCACACACACTCACTGGACACATCTGTTCTCTTTGCAACTAGAAACACTGTCAGTGGTGCCTCCTTCTCTAGGAGTTATTACCCTACTTTTGGGGATCCAGTATATTGTAGCTTCCCCTTCATATCTACATCCATCTTCAGTTCTCTCTCTCCTTGGCTCCAGATCATCTGTCACAGAAAGACAGTGGATGAAGTGACGCGTCCACTTGGCTCCTTGGCCCCTCCGTTTCTCACCTTCAGGGACGCCTCCTGTGGACCCCCCACCTACCCCCTCAACCTCTATCACTGCTTCTCCGCCATCTACAAGGTACAATACGCAGTTGATACTGTTCCCTCGACTAAAGGCTGGTTTTCCATATTATAGTCTTATATACTTTGTCTTGTGCGGTCAGCGGAGGTCTGGGGAATCTAATATATTGCTACGTGTGTTTAAATGAACAAAGCCACAAAACTCTTTGATCTACCACCTTTTAACCCCTAACAGTGTACTACATGCTCAGATATTGTGTTTATAATATGGCATACGTCACACGGTGCCAGGCCTTCGGATAGTTTGGTAATTTCGTAGACAAAACTAATTTCCACTCTCCATGGGATTCAAATGTATGTGTACATACTAAGTATGCGGATATGCAGATGCCTTTGTAGTATATTGGATGCCTAGTCGTACCAGTGCTGGCACTCATTTTGTCAGTAAGTTGGGACAAAGTAGAGATTATAGAAGCACTCTGAACCTTTGTGCTGTATACTGTAGCATCACACACACACACACACACTGGGAGACAGTTTCTCCGGAACAAATTCACCCTCCCACGGAACTTAAACTGAATTAGTTCTGGCGGTGCCTGTCTTTGTGCCTATACTGTGATGTATTGTAAGGTGCGTGTGTGTGTGTGTGTGTGTGCTCAACGTTCTTAGACTGGGAGAGAGAGTTACTGCAGAGCAAATTGAATCCTCCCACGGAAAAGGCCAAACCAAATTAGCCTGGCCGCGTGAGATACCTGTTGCGTTACGTTTGTTTACGTCTGCGACCGCACGTGGGAGGACCGTGTCATGGTTTTGTTTGTGACCGCATGTCGTCAAGTCCAAGGATCACTGCAACAGTGTGTTATATACATGTAGCTCCCCGTCTATAGCTCCCTCATATTCAGAATACACGTCAATGGCAGTGCTAGCTTCCTCATATTCAGAATACACGTCAATGGCAGTGCTAGCTTCCTCATATTCAGAATACACGTCAATGGCAGCGTATTTCGTCCATACCATATGTGCATTGATGATATTGTCTGCCTCTGTCAATCGTGGCAAGTGTGTAAAATGCTCCCGTGCTGCTGTAGGCCTTGCTGCATGGATTTCTGGACTTTTCCAAGTTCAGCGTTGAAGAGTACGAACATTTTGAGGTGAGCTGATTGTTATGCATGTACCTGTGTACTTGTGTACTCGTGCTAGTAGGTGCAACAGGGCCGTGTGCCACTATGTAATGTGATGATAGTTGATCCACTGTGACACATGCCACTATAAAATTCCCAGCTTTCAGATGTACCCACTCTCTGTGCATATTATTATAGTGATATAATACTATCCTTATCCCAACGGTTATTCGACGCTCGTTGCACATGTGGAGGCAAATAATTATTATTATAAACTTGCTTTGTGTGTGTGTGCACTTATGAACACTCTGGTGCACATGTGTAGCAGGATTACTGGTACTTTGATTGTGTGTGTGTGTGTGCGCGTGTGCACTGTTTCAATACTGTTAGCTATACAAGCAGGTAATAGTACCTAATCCCACATACCCCCGCCAGTTGCTACAGCAGATTATATAACACCACTTCAGTGTATTGTTGCATAGCACATGGTTGTTTTATGCCTGAGGCTCCTCAGGCCACATACGTACATGTATATATGTGTAAGCGGCACAACCAACCTATTGTGCAGACCGCCGAGGTGTGTGTGTGTGAGTGGAGTCAAGAATGGTACAAGGTCAATGAGGTGTGAGGGCGTGTGCCCGTGTGCATGTGTGCATGTGTGTGGCAGCAGATGACAGTTGCCATTTTCGCCTCTGATCAACTTAGTGCTCAATTACAGAAGAATGCATCGTTACGTCCTACTGCGTATACATATGCACCTAGCATACTGCAGACGTAACACGCCCCTTGTGTGGATAAGTAATATGAAGTAATTTGGTCAAGAAAACGATTGGGGGGCTCTTAATTAATTCTGGGTGAAACATTTTGCGTGCGTGCATTGACATTGCCCTAGCATTATATTTATGTTTATGCTTGAAACAAAGTATTTAAATGACATTCCTTGGGGTGCCTCCCTCATGCAACTCATGTATGGTGTTTCTTTGACTCCGTAGTGATTAGATCTCTTTTTTCGCTGTAATTATTTCCCTGCAGAAAGTAGAAAATGGTGACTTCAACTGGATCGTTCCAGGTAACTGACATCTCTATGCACATACATGCAAATACTGATTTCTATGACGCTTTGTGGCTTTTTCTCGAACACCCACTTATCTCAGCAACACATGCTACCTTTGCCAACAAGTGAAACATTCTCTAAGCCTGTGCAAGACCCCTTCGACCCCTGTTCATTAGCCTTAATAGACAAGGGGGGAGGGGCACCACACTTTCCCCCAGCCACAAGCTATATACCTTTGCCAACAGCTGAAGTATATACCTCCAGCCTGTGTGCCATCCCAGTTCATTAGCCTTTATAAGCGAGGGGGGGCACCTCTATCCGTATGGACCCTATTCAGTTCTGCCAACCGTGGTTCTTTCTTGAAGAAGGAGACCGCCCCCCACTGTGTCTTGCCTTTTTCGGCTGATTGACCAATACGGAGCTGTTTGTTTCCACGGCCCACCTGGCAGCCAGCTGGCCTCCTGCCAGGCCCGGCCGTGATTATGCATCCAGGAATCTCCTTAGCATTTTCCTGTCCCACCGTCTGAGCTTGTTTTTATGCGGTGCTTGCCAGCGGGAAATGGCCCAAGGCACTGCTGCGTATACTAGATACCAATGTACGTGGTTGTATTGCTGCTGTTGTTGTTGTTAGTGAAGTTCTGTGTTACTCCTCAGGGAAGTTCCTGGCATTCGCGGGCCCTCACGACCGGAGCAGGATCGAAAACGGCTACCCTCTACACGCCCCTGATTCCTACTTCAGCTACTTCAAGTATGTACTGCACACACACTGCTGCGGATCAATAGTGGGTTTATTGACTGTGTATGCTCCAGCCTTTCAGCCTAATTGTCATTTTGAGAACCGGTGTACCGTGTGCTACTATAATTGACGGTATTGGAGCCCTTGCACACATGTTGCTGTACAGTACAGGTCGACGCTATTCAGTGGACACACATGTACAATTGTCTGCTACCAATTGCAGTGTAATAGTGTGTGTGTGTGTGTGTGTGTGTGTGTACTGTAGTGTCTTGTATAGTTCATCTACAGCATCATGTACGTACACAGTGGCCCACACGCCCTACTCACTAGGACATTGTTGTGCAACACGACATGCCACGCGCCATGCTGAGTATCTGTATGGAACCTATTACGACCACACGCCTATTTATAGCCTTTACTCCGCTGATAACCTGGCGTCCACAGAGTAGAACCCAGCCATAGTGTGATGCAACAACAGTTGAGGTTATGCAGTGCATGAGCCACCAGCTAAAATTGCAATTGTTATGCAACTTCCGAGTGCGTTTTGGGTTCTGATTGTCACCTTCGACCAATCAGATTTACTCCAGTTAATTTACGACGTTACCACAGATTGTAGCATTTTGCAATGCGCGAGCCACCAGTGAATGCATTACATCATTGTGGAACTTCCGAGTGCACATCCCGTTCCCTCCCCGGCCAATCAGATTCGAGGCTCACACTTGCTTTGTTGTGTGAACATGATCTTCGTTTTCTGTCGGTCTTTAAAGTGCTATAGTGCCATGTTCATTGTGGACCATGGAGCAATAGAAACACAGAAAACCCTTTAGTACCGTACTTTGTGCAAAACAAGAGTGCATGCACAAACTGTTAATTAGAGTGCATAATAATTCTGGTATGGGGAAGTGATCAAAAAACCAACCATAAGTGAAGGATCTGATGATCTCATAACATGACCGGCAGTCAGTGTGTGTATATATTATATGTAATACTGTGTAGTGTAGAGGTTCCACATCACATCAATTACAATAAATGGTCGTTAATCAATTAATTCCTGTGGCTGCAGGGCCCACAACGTGACGACAGTCGTGCGACTCAACAAGCGGATGTACGAGGCTCGCAAGTTCACTGATGCCGGTTTTGAGCACCGAGATCTTTTCTTTCCTGACGGATCCAACCCTTCAGAAAACATCCTCCGGTACTTAAACTTTTGTATATACAATGCCTGCGAAGTATTGATGCACGTGTAAACTACGAGATAGAGAGTCAAAGGCACAACAAACAGGTAGTTAGAAGTGTGTGGTATGTGAAGATGTAAGGAGGTATGGTATGCAGCAAAGTTGTGTAGTTATGCATCATACATACAGATGTATGGGACTATGAGTCATTCATTTGACCTTTGACCTTGGACGTGCAATACTACGTGTATATATGTACATTTCTTCTTTCCTCCCTGGATTTAGGCGATTCTTGACCATTGCCGAGACTGCTGATGGTGCCCTCGCCGTCCACTGCAAAGGTAACACACATTGTCCACAGTAAGATTACTCAACTGTGTGTAATCGTGGGGCTAGCAAAGAGCGTACTCGAGCGTGTGAATACTCACGTTGGGAGGCGCACACTCACTGGAGTACTATGGGGCGAAGGGAGGGAAGAAGTGATGTCTAAGCGCAGCGGTGGCATGTGTGTGTTTACATGTGCACCCCTGGTTGTGCAGTCTTTCTAATATCACCTGATTAGTCATGTGATTATATAGTGACCTTTGTGGTGAGCCTTACATATTATTTATACTACACAGCTAAGAGTTTACTGTCAGGTTGTTACTCAGTGGGGGGTGGATGCAGTCACAGGCAGAGTCATGAAAGGGTCAAATTTCTTTGAGTGTGGAAGAACAGAAAGATCTTATCTTTGCTCGGCTGGCGTGGGCCTCTTGTGATGTGTTTGTTCGAGGCCAAGACCCCAGTGAACATTCCGAGGAACTCTTGGTTGCCAGCGAGCTGTTGTTGTGACTGGCACCGAGTGGCAGAGGAGCACGTGCCCACTTTGCAGTCGCTCGCCTTGTTTGGTGGGTGATTTGGCCCGCGTGTGCCTGCCTCCATGTGGCGTATGTGGCTAGTTGGCAGCACGAGGGCCAAGACTATACCCTCTATGGGATTATATGGTGCTAGTCTATGAGATTATGTAATGGACTGCACTGTGATCCTTGTACACAGCACACACTGTGTGTGTGTTGTGCGGTAGTGCTGCTAGTTGTTTCTCACATCAGATACACGTCACACTAGATATACATAAATTTTAAGAATAGAACGTATATGTTGGTGATGGTCAACTGGGTTCATATAATACGTGTTTAAGAGATTGGTTTTTCTCTCGATACCTGCCAAATTGGCTGATTCCCACTTTGAATAATTTGCATGCCATCCCAAAGTAACGCTGTATTGTGTCTATATAACCGCTGTTGACCAGATTGATTATTAGTATCATCGTAGTGTATGTTGTAGTAGCCCAGATGTACTGTAAGGAGGATCCTCCTGCATTGGATGATGAATAAACATGTCGATGCATGGCAGTGCAAAATCAACCTAAGAGCACTCGGGAACACTTCGAGAAAAAGAGCTCCGTTCCCTGGGTGGAAGTGATTTTGAACCCATGGCAAACAGAGTGGCAAAATAATTATGTATTATAGAGCAGACTGGGAGATAAAATAGCCAAAGTAGGACAAATTCTGTCAGCACGATGTAATCAAGCATGGTTTATTTTTGTGATTAACAGCCGGCCTTGGACGTACTGGCACTCTATTTGGAGCCTACCTGATGAAGCATTACAAGTTCACGGCAGCTGAAGTAATTGCCTGGATTCGGTGAGTTGCACATTTCTACTGGTTTGACAGTGAGTGTGTGAAATTATGAAATTATGAAAAATTTCGTACAGTAAATTTCGTTAAGTAACGTTTTCAAATTTATGAGCACAAAGCGCCAGCACAGGTTACTACACTTATTTTCAGCTATATGCGTCCATAGTAGGTTATGACTCTGCCTTAATGTTTGCTACGCCAGCTAGCCCACTGCGGTAAAGTAAGATCAGCATGTGGAGCAGACCAGCTCTCTCCTCATGATGAGCCCCGAAACGAACAAGAACCCTCCAATCTATTCTCAGAGCTTCGAAAGTTGACGTGGGCGAGTGAGTCTTCTGTGCCAGTCGCTCACTGTGACTGAGTCGAGGCTCAGCAAAGAGCTGACTGTAGCACAACACCGACCTCAATGGCGCCGTGACATCTAGTGAAGATCCCGTGTTGATAAGTACAGGAGACGAGGAAGGGAGTCACTGGGGGATTCTGGAGTGGCAGGAGTTCCTGTCAACAATCCAGTCAGCTCGTGCAGTGAATGGCTCGAGTTAGCAATAAACTCAAGAGGCTGTTGACGCGTTGCGATCGTTGATGGTAACAGTACGGACTGTACCGCTTGGGCATTCCTAGCAGAGTGATATCTCCAGTCAGAAGCGGTGATCCTGGCAACGCTGCGGTCGCAAAGACTACTGTGAGAGAGCGTGGAATGACCTGCGGGCTCGTTGATGTAACCCTCTTCAAACTTGGAGCCATCAGAGAAGTCAGAGCAATGGAGAGTTGGGCTGCGACTGTGTTTGCTCGAACCGACGTGCCAATGGGCGGGGCGTGAGCGTGGACGCGCGCGCGATGACCGTGCCTGCGGTTTCGGCTGGAACAGACCCGCGCCGTGAGTTCTGCAATGCCGCATGAGGATCGCGAGGTCGGTGTCCGGGACCGCGCGATCAGGTCCACCCTGCCGAGCGCCGTCTGCAGTTCGTCGACGAAACCTCGCCGCCACGCGGGCAGCCTCTCCTTCGGGAATAGAGGAGAAGGGACCGGCCTCGAGAAAGAGCGCTCGCTCGAGCCAGAACGCCTCCTTCGACGGGCCAGCGTCACGGTCCGGAAGCTCGTAGGGTGACGTGCCTTCCGGCGGTCTCCTCACGCGACGCTTCGGAGCCGAAAGCGAAGCGGTCAGCGCCGCGTGCAAGACCGTTCTCGTTCGGACGCGCCGGATTCCCGCAGCAGGTCCAGCGCTTCCCGATCCGACCCTCCCGAGCGCGCCCAGGATCGAAGGAGCGCATCGACTCGCTCGGCGAGAGTAGCCCCGGAAGATCGGCGAGACGGCGCCAGATCTCCGGCCGCGCATCGAGCGCGACCGCGCGCCGATACTCCCGTGCCGCTCCCTCCGCATCACCGGTGGCGGCGAGCGCGTCACCCAGCGTTGCCCGGTAGGCCGCCCGCCGCAGGCGGTACACCGCGCTGGCCGCGCCGGTGAACTCGTCCAGAACGATGCGCCCTTCGGGGACCTCCTGGCTCCATTCCGGGGGGGAGAAGTTGTCGGAGCGCGTGACCGCATCGAAGGCGCTCTCGACGGCCGCGTCGCCATCGCCGGCGTCCAGCAGGCGCCGCGCCTCCGCGTGTTCGGCTGGAACCGGGCGGCTGCGCCGGGCGCTGGAGGTCGCCGTGACGCCGAGAACGAGGGCAGCCAGAAGTGCCCCGCCCCGCGAGCGGCGGATCAACGGAGTCGACGGAGCCGTTCGACCGCCTCCACGAGAGTCTCCCGGTCTTTCTTGCAGAAGGTGAAACGGAGCCGTTGGCGGCCGGCCGCCGGATCGGCGTAGAAGCTGGACCCCGGCACCGCCGCTACCCCTACGGTCTTTACGAGGTGCTGCGCGAAGGCCACGTCATCCGGGAAACCGAAATCGGAGATGTCGGTCATCACGTAGTACGCCCCGCCGGGCTCGAAACAGCGAAAGCCGACCTCGGTGAGTCCGGAAACCAGCAGGTCGCGCCGTTCTTCGTATCCCTTCCGCAGTTCCTCGTAGTAGCTCTCGGGGAGCTTCAGGGCCGCCGCCCCCGCCTCCTGTAAAGGAGCGGCCGCGCCCACCGTCAGAAAGTCGTGGACCTTCCGGATGGCGGCGGTCAACTCCTCGCTGGCCACCGTCCAGCCGACCCGCCACCCGGTCACCGAATAGGACTTGGAGAGGCCGCTGATGGTCACGGTGCGGTCCGCCATCCCGGGCAGGGTCGCGATCGGGATGTGCCGGGCGCCGTCGTAGGTGATGAACTCGTAGATCTCATCGGTGAAGGCGATGAGGTCGTGCTCGATGCAGAGCGCTGCGATCCGCGACAGTTCCTGCTCGCTGAACACCTTGCCGCTTGGGTTTTGCGGCGAGTTCACGATGATCGCCCGGGTGCGGTCGGTGACGGCGGCCCGCAGGGCATCTTCGTCAATCGTCCAGTCGGGTTCCTGGAGGCGCACGTAGCGGGGCACCGCTCCCGACAGGATGGTGTCCGGCCCGTAGTTCTCGTAAAACGGCTCGAAGACGATGACTTCTTCGCCAGGGTCCACGACCGCCAGCATCGTGGCGATCATGGCTTCCGTAGAGCCGCAGGCCACCGTGAAGTGGCGCTCGGGGTCCACGTCCATCCCGTAGAGCTCCCGGTAGCGCTCCGCGAGGCGTTGCGCAGCGACTTCGCGCCCCAGGTGATCGCGTACTGGTTGATGTCCCGGCGGATGGCCTCGACCGCCGCTTCCTTGATCTCGGCGGGCGCCGGGAAATCGGGGAATCCCTGGGCGAGGTTCACGCCGCCGTACCGCATGGAGAGCCGGCTCATCTCGCGGATGACCGACTCGGTGAAGAGAGCCGCCTTCTTGCTCCCGCGGGGACGGACCGCCAGGGTCTCGCTCATTCGCCGCTGGTGTCCTTCGCCTTGCCCAGTTCCGGATACAGCGCGGCGATAGATCCTCTCGTTCGCAGGATGAGCTTCACGAGTTCCGCGTTTCGGTGAAGGGGATCTCCTCGATGAACACCTCGGCCGGAATCGTCATGTTCATGTCGGTCCAGTCCTTCACGCGATGCGGCCCGGCGTTGTATCCGGCGAGCGCCAGTTCCGGCCGGCTCGCGAACTGTCTCGAGGAGCTGATGAGGTAGCGGCGTCCCGAACGGATGCTCACTCCCGGGTCGTCGAGCCGCGAAGTCCGGTAGCTCACGCTTCGAGCGGGCGCGAGCCCGTCGGTGGCGGCGATCACCTGCATCAGTCCGCGCGCTCCGACCGGCGACCGGTCCGCGGGACGAACACCGATTCTGCCGGATGAAGCGACGCGACAGGTAGGGGTCGAGCTCCATTTGTCGGAGCGCTCCTGAATCCGGTCTACGAAGCGCAACGATAGAGGAGCCGCCACCAGGCATCGGGCAGCGCCTCTCCGGCTCGGAGGTGTGGAACGGCGCGGCGCGCCGGAGCGCCTGGATCGCGGAACGTGTTCGCCGTCGTCCGCGAGCAAGCCAGCCGCGGATCGCTTCGAACGCCGGATCGTCGGGGAGTCCACGCCGGGAAGCGGCGCCGGCCGCGTCGAGGCGCGCTCGCCGAACCCCGCGGCGTAGAGCTCCTCGATCCGCGCGGCCTCTGCGGTGCGCTGGACCTGGAACCGCTCGAGGAGCCGGTGGGGCTCGCTGAGCGGCGCTCGCGAGTGCTTCCAGCCGGCCCGTCTCCTCGGAGCGTTCCGCGGCCATCCTTCCGTAGAAACGAGTTCTACCCGACGAATACCTCCCGGTAGAGCCGGGCCGCTCCCTCCGCGGTCTCCTGTCCTTTCAGCGAGCGCCCGGCGAAGTACAGGAATTGACGGCCATGAACGTCGCCCGGGTTTTCCTCGCCAGCGCGGCGCTCGACACTCCGCGGCCGTTCCGTCAGATTCTCTATTGCGGGTGACCGTCACGCAGAGGACGTGGCCAGCGGGCGAAGAGTCCGTGCGGCCGTTCGTGACTAGGCCTGCCCGACCAGCCGGAAAAGCGAGAGATACTGGCAGGGCGCGCTTCCCGGTCGTTCGGAGCAACGGGCTGCGGGCAGGCTATGATCGCGCCCGTTCGCTCGACGCGTGATCCTGTTCGACGCGCTCCAGCACAGTTCTTCGAAGACACCGGTATTCATAGGAGTGGTCCGAGCGTTCCATGCCGCCGGAGCGACTACCCGCAAGAGATAGTAGAGGGCCGCCGGCCGGCAGGATCTTCGCGCTTTAAATCCGAAGGCCAGCGTGCGGAGCGGGCGCTGATGCCGGTGCCCGTTGGACTCCTGAATCCGATCGGAGTTTGAAACCAGGTCTCGATCGCCGCCTTGGCGAAGCGCGGGCGACCTCCCGGTAGTTTTCGTGAGCTTACGGTGGTCCCGCCGGGCGAAACCTCGGCCCGCGCATGGCCTCGGTACTCCTCTCAGGCAGCCGAAAGGGTCTTGTACGTTCCGCGCTTGTACGCCGCCGGGAGCGCTCAGTGTTGCCGGACTGTCATCGTGAACAGAATGCGCATACGCTGCGTGGGTCGCTTCCATCAATGTGTAGACTAGAGGTGCTCTTTCACGCCCCGGCGCCTTACCTCCGGGCTCCGAAGGGTTCCTTTCCTGCCTATCGTGTGTGCTCGGCCGCGCCTCTTCCCAGATAGATACATGGGGAGGCCTCGGCGGTACTTTGCGCTCCGGTGGGTGAGGGGTTTCGCGATCGTAGAGTACGGCCGGAGGACGCGTCCGAGTCGAAGGGCACTCGACCTCTGATACTCCGGAAACTGTCGCGTACTCGCACGCAGCAGTGGCGGATGGCGTACCTTCCGGCGGGCGCCGGCAGGCTCCTGCCAGGAGATGATGGCGTCGGCCGTCGTTGAGGCTCCGAGGTCGGGTTGCGCGTGAGCACGTTTTTTCCGCCTTCGACCAGGCCTCCTGCCGGAGGGCGTCCGCGCAGCGTTGGAGGCCCGCCGCCCGCGCCCCGGGCGGAAATCGGGCCGGGTTCATTCGGCGATCCTGGAGGCCTCGCCGGTCGGTGCAGGGATTCGATGAGTGGCAGCCTGGGCGAACCGCTGCGAGCCGGCGGCGGCGTTTTCGGCGACTCAGGGCATACGGAGAACTCGCCGGGACCTGTGGCGTGTGGGGCGAAGTGGGGGGGGCCCCGGGAGGTGGGGTGACGGTCTGCCCCAGCGTGCTCCCCAACAGGAGAAGGAAGGACCGACTGCGACCCGGGCTCGGCGCCGGCCGCATGGCGAGGTGCAAGACCGAACTGCACCATGTAGTAGAATGCTACGATTCGCGATACGGCGGTTTAGGGTTCGGCCGTTCCGGTCTCTTCAGGATCTGTGGTTGGTTTTCAACTGCGGACTGGCCGCCTCAATCGCGCGAAGAGGGGGGGCGTACTGGGTTCGACGAGGGTATATGAAGCAACGATTGCATGTCGGGGGTCCACCTCTCGTAAACGGTGGAAACAAAACCAAAGCCAACACTGAATGGGATGTGTTTAAGTAGCCCACGTTCTTCCTGGGGAGCACGCCTGCCGGGGGCGGGACAGGGCGCTCGACCTAGGGCGGCTTTTTGCCGGCGGTTCTTCCGAGCGTCGGTGAGCAACAAGTTGATAGGTTCCCGGCGCGATTTCGGCCGGGGTTGATGCGGTGCGGAGGACGGGAAAGACGGGGGAAAGGCGCCTTCGGGCGCGGGTTCCCGCCCACCCAACCCGCGGTATGCTTTTGGTAGAACGTCGGTTGGCAGAGACTTTCGGACGCGGGTTC